ATTAATAAAAACTTTTTGGTTTAGTTCAAAAATTCTCTAATTAAACACTCTTCAAAATCATTATCAGAGCTAATCCAAGTTTAAAATGCCGTGAGAATTTTCAATCTGATATTTCATCAAAATAGTTATCAATTAGATACTAGCAAAACACAAAAATAAATTGAAAAAAATTTCTTATTCAGTTGTTTAAAATCAAATCATGAGAAACAAATCGCTTTAAATCATTCCTAACTTAAAATACTTCAATTACCTTGTGTAAAGTTTCCTTCTCTTGAAAATTTAATTGTTTTCATCTCCCCAACTTTGAGTTATACTCTCAAAGATTTTTCTTATCGTAGACACAAAGAAATGATTTCTTATGCAAATTAGGTAATGATGTGCGGTTGTTGTTTTATGGTACTGTTGTTTCAAGCTCATTACGTTTAATTATGCTGAGCTCAATTGATAAGGGTGGAGTCGACATGAGAATTTCCCCTTTTGTGTCTTCACAATGCTATTATCTCCATTATTTATGTGGCAATAAAAATAAAATCTGTGACAATTGATTGTTTTCGTGCGTTGTTATCGTAGCCACGTGACACAAAACTTCTAAGTATATCAAATTATTTGACTCGGCACGCTTGAACTAGGAACATATTATGATAAATAAGTTGTTTTTTAAATCTATTTATAGAGCCTATTAAGGGATAAATATAAGCGGTTTGGAATAAATAAGCTGAGATTTAAATAACTCAAACTGAGAATGTTGTTAAAGATTGTGATGACAAATTTGTTTTATGATGTTACCCTTTGGAATGATTTCCAAATATTTATCGGTAAAGACGGTTGAATAAAGAAAAATCTTTCATCTTGAACATGAGTTTTCCACTCGATATTTGTCTCCGACATTTTGACACTTCGTGAACTTATGTGGCTGTTCAACATAAGGAATAAAGTTTTCGTAAATAAACGAGAAAAACAACAAGCCATAAATCTATGAATTAATTCACAACAATTTTTCTTGTTCCAGTTTGTTGGCGAAAATGTGAAAAACTGTGGAAAAAAAGCATATTTCTTTTACGGTTATATATTGGAATATTATGGCAAAACAAAACATCTGCTTATTCCAAAGACTAACTTTTGTCTGAAAGATCAAACCGTGAAAATGTATGATAAAAGTCGCTGAATTTATTTACGTTTCTTTCCATTGTTTTTCTTCTTTTATTATTTTTCATCATAGCAGCAAAATTTTTCTTTTTCATAGTTGAAAGAATTTTGTTGTGAGGCAATTGATTGATAATGTAAACGATTTCCATCTTCAGAATCATTAGATATGATAATGACTTCGGTTCTAGTCGATGATTGATTTGAATTTTTATCATCGCCTTTGTGCATTAGAGTGAAACATTCAAGAGCCTTTCCTGTTTGTTTGAACTTTTGCTGCATAATTTGTAAGTCAATTTTCTTTATTATTACAAGGAAATTCGATGACTTCAGAAATATTTCAATGCGTGAAAATCACCCCAAAGCATCACCATTCACCACAATTTTTCACAGTTGAACGAATCGAGAAATCGAGATGAACTTTACATTTTTTATTCTTATTGTGAGACTTAAATAATTCCTGCAATTCTCCATGGAATGGAAATGAAATCTTGTACAGATTTTTCGTTTCTCAAGCAATAATGAATTTAAATTGAGCAGTGTTTATCATCAGCAATCCCTAATGACTCAAACACGTTTCCATATAAGACACAGATTTATCTTTTGATCAGCATATTTGGTATCTTTCGAGTCCCTTTTTCCGGCTACAGCTGGTGAATCTCAATTCGGCAGACATGAATTCTTATTTCTGATGATCTAGGCTTTCATCAAGAATTTCAATCACGTAATCAGATTTTCCACTTTGCCAAACACTTTTCACTCAATGAAAATTCTCTTAACACTAAATCACTTTATTTCCATCATCTGTTTTCCATGCACTGGTCTTGACCCCCCATCCTTGACTGTTTTGTGGTTACGTGTTTAAATGTTTGATGAGATTTGTTGCAAGTCTATTCAGATTAGTTAGACTTAGGGAGATTTGGAATTATAATCTGTTTTAATTACAAATTACATTCATTGGTGGTGAGTTGTGATCAGAATAAGTGAAGTTGGATGAATTAAATATTTTCCCATTAGGTTTGTTGGGGGTTTTTCTATTTCAATATTGAAGTTGTTAAATGTTCCGCCACCTAATGAAATGTTTTCGGTGAAAACTTTGTAATTAACATGCTTGGTATGCATGTTTTCACCTCAAATAAATATGGAACACGACCAAAACGACTACGTATGCTTAACATTTTTCAAACCATTTTAACTGCAACAATCAATTATGAAAATTAATTTTTTTCTCACAGAAAAACTTTATTTTACTTACACGTCATTACTTTCGCCAAACTCAAATTTATGTAGCGATTTCGCAATGATATCGGCTCAAATATTGGATTTAGTGCATATTTTGATTACACTGGTAATTGAATCAAAATTGCGTTAAATAAAATCCACACATAATAAACATTTATGTGAAAATATGAATCTCAGTCACTTCTCTCGTGAGGGTGATTCGCTTGCCATAAATTTTTAGATCATTTTAATCCGTAAACATGAACCACATTTTCCCTGAAGGGTGGAATTGCGAAGGAAAAGAAGAGAAAAAAATGTTTATTAAAGCAAAAATGAATTGTAGGATGGAGTTAAGTTGAGATTGACTCAAGCATTAGAATGTAGACCACTTAGTATGATTGCATTTCGCACGTCATTCGTTATGAAGAAAATGTAATAAATAAAACTGTTGCCAAAAATATCTATCTCGTTGACTTGTTTTCCATTGGGGTGTAAGCACGAAATTTGATGAATAGTTTGAACTTCTGCATCTGTTTATAATTTTCATATGAATTGTTAAATATTTTCTTTGTCTGTTTATACATAAGCAGAGGTTAAAGACTTAAGAAACTTAAAGTTATAAATTACCCAACTCTCTTTTATTATTTTTCCAACAGCTTATCATTTAAACCACTAATTAAACAAGCAGATAAATTTTCTTTCTTCTCTTCTTAACAACTGGTGGTGTAAAATATTTCTCTCGAAGAACTTGAGTAAAGTATCAGAGTTTTGTAATTTATGAAGTTCTTAAGGCATAATTAAATCATTTTATGAAACTTTTCCTTTTTACGACGTTTTTCTCTTTTTTATCATCAGACTTTTAAATATTTCTCATCTCTTTTCCATTATAACGAGAAAAAACTTGGTACTAAAGCACTTGGAGGGGACTAAGACGATAGGCCGAAGAGAAACTCATTTGTATGCAAGATGCGAAGCGTTAAAGGATAAATGAAATTTAATGAGAAAGTTGAAGAAAGAATCTTAATGCTTTTGGGACGAAAATATTTTTGTCACATCTTTGAAATATTCTCTAGTCAAGAAAACACATTTCACATCAAATCATAAAATCAAAATCATAAAAAATATATTACGCCATTTTGATCTGAACAACTTCTGCTTTCAAAAGATAAAAAAGAGATGCCTCGAATTTTTATTCGGTTGTGGAGAAGAAAAATCCGATTATGATCATGAAAATCAAGAAGAAAAATATTTAACTGGTTCGACTTATTCTATGACCCTAAACAAAGCGTTAAATTCTGCAATTCGTCTTTTTCTTCCTCGTCCTTCATCGCGTAATTTCATTAAATCTTAAATCGATATTCGTTATTAAATCACAAAAAATAAAAATTTCATTGCTTTATTTAAATTTTTATCGCTTTTCCGACTCAACTTTTTACGGATCAGTGAAAATCGTAAAATATTTTCAATTGAATTGCTTTTGATATTTCAAAATTTATTGTTTGCCATATTTCACGACATATTCAAAACTTTTAATGTTTGTTCAGTTTTCTTTTCAACTTTTATGCATTTTAAGCGAATGTCTAAAATAATTTAACATTTGTTTAAACTTTAAAATGAATAAAAATTTCATCGAGTTACATTCAAATTGTTAACTTTAATAAAATCCACAAATGTAAGGCATAAAAGCTTATTTAAGCTCTTAAAGCCGTCTAATTAAAGTATGATCTTTTGGATCCAGCTGCTTCTTTATAATTAGCAATTTAGATGAGAATACATTTAAAATATGGTTGTGACATATGCAGAGAAGCTTTGCTTCTTTTTGTCGTGACTTTTCCTGCTCATGCCATTGCGTCTAATTAAGCAATGTCTAATTAAACCGGATTTTCATTTTTATACAAAATGAAAATCGTGAAACATGAAAAATGCAAATGAAACGAAATGAAAAGTTTAAGCTTCGCGTGCTCAGTGAAAGAGTTTCTGTGTGATAATTTAACATTCTTATCTCTGGTGTTTCCATTTGAATTCATTTCATTAGGTTTTCTCCTTTGTTTTCATTTGAAACCTTTTATTTAAATTCTGATTTCCAGTCGAGCTCCAACCTAAAATGAAATGTTTTTCGATTCCACAAAAAGCATAAATCAAGCTTAAAATAATGCAAAATCGTCGACATTGTTAACAGATTATTTCGGATTATCAGCTGGAAAACAAATGTTTGTGAAGAGCGAGAAAATGGAAAACTCAAATGTTTTTCAAAGATTGGAAATTTATGTCGACCTCGATTGCGATGTGATCCGGGTTTTTGTTTTAACGACTGTTGCTGCTGGTCTCATAAATTTCCCTGCCTACTAATGGGTGAATGATGTTAAGCCGATTAAATTTACTGAATTATTGTCTACTGAATTCTATTTACATTTTTGTGGGGAAAATAAATAAAAGAGATTTAGTGTCAAATAAAAGTAATTGAAAAATTGGTTCGATTGAAAACTTTCTAAGCTTCGAGACGTCGACAATATTATCATCAATTGATTTTTATGAAAGTTCATTTGATGTGTCAGAAAAGCAACAGAAAAGTTTCTCATATGTTGAAAGGAAAAAATATCTTTAAAGCTCTTTCGTAATGTCGCCATGATGTTTCTATTTTTGGTATGTCATGCGTCGTCTCCAAGTATGTTCAGGAGAAAAATATTCTCGAAATCGTTTCCGTCGCTTGTTATTAACACAATAAATATTAAGTATGAGAACTCACAACTTCTGTCTTTCCATAGATAACATTTTCTACGAGCTGAGACAAATCCGATTATGATCACACAATTTTCTTTTTTTTTTCATTCTTCATTCTCATCATAATAAAATTCATTCGTAATTGCAAATGAAATCGGAACCTCAAGCACTTTTTTTCTATTTTAAGCAACAAATTTTCATTGTGTCGAAAAACAGTTATGGAAATTTTCATCCCAGACGATCCTCAACAAACAATAAATTCCATTTACTGTTACTACGAAACGATGCCAAAAATATTTTCAATAGCTTGTCATTTTTATGGACATCCTCTGCATTATTCCGAGCAAACTATTTTCCAAGAGAATAAAGAATATTCAGCATTTGCATATATTTCACGCTTTCCATAGTTGCAAATATGGTTCGAGCGGGGGTGGAAAGCAGAATAATAATGAGATAAAATTTTTAACTTCTTTTTTCTTCTTCATTTCAACAAATAATGTTTTTATGAAACTTCGACGACAATTTTAACAAGTTTTTTCGTCCTTACTTTCAACTAGATATTCCCATGATGGAAAAAGTTTTAATGTCTTATCCCATTCATAAAATCTTTATTACTAAACTTTTCTTCATCGACAATTGGTTCTGTCGACTCTTAAGAAATCTAATATTTCATAAGTTTCACTTATTATATCATTTCGTTGTTTTTTCTTGTCCTCTCTAAGATAAAACATTTAATGTCATAAATTATTTGAAAAGTTTAAAGTTATTAAGATATTAAAATAAAAGTAGATTGAAGTTTTTTAACAGCAGCACAAAACTCTTTCAATTTATTTCATGGACCAATAAAACTATTAAGTGCGCTAACAAAATCTCCAGAAAGTGATTATGAACATAATTTAATGTTGCCCTAAGGGAAGGAAAAACAGAAAACATAAAACCACAACGAGTTCATTGAAAAGATGAACATCTTTCTGCCTTTACATTGTTCCATGTTTATGTAAAGAATCTTTTCTATCTCGGAAAATTCGAGGGTGTGGCTTCAATTATAAAGCTCTTCTTCACATATTTCATTCGAGTTGTTGAACATAGCGCTTCGGTCTTTCTTGAGATGAAATAAAGAACATTGTTTTTGCATGGAGGTTTTTGTTTCCTTTTTCTACTCTCGTTATTTTGTTATTCATATGTAATGGCAATCAAACCACCCACTCCTTATGATGTCAAAAAAGAAAAATGTTTCCTATCATAAATCATAGCTGAGTCAGCTCTGAAACCTAACTACGAATTTTCAATCTAGCGTATGGTTTAATAATAAAAAAAAAGCCACAGCATGTATTACACCATTGCAAACATGAAACTTCTCAGTTGAATAGCGAGATGAACACAAAAAAAATCGAACATACTGCAAAGTAATTACCAACAAGTCACTAATGAGTTGAGATAAAAACATATTGTCCCTGCATCAGATAATCTGAAAGAATAGAAATTTATTTTCATCCCAAACTATAAGATTAAGCTGGCCGCATATACGAAAACAATTTTTACCCTTCCCTCGAGTACATAACAAAGGAACAAAGAACCCTCCCTTGATTGATATTTAAGAATCAATTGGAAATGCAACTCCGGTTTCCCTATCATGAACTCTGTTAAATATTTTAATCGTACATATGTAGAATTTTCAGTCAATCCTCGACAAATGTTACTAAATAAATATTTTTCTAGTTGAAATCTTCGCGGTATTTTAAGTTACATTCTTGCATGAAAAACATTTAGTAACAACCGATACTTGACATATGTCGAAACAAAATTTAAACATGGTGAGGAAAACATTGAATCACAACTATTGAAATAATTCAACAAAACTTCTTTGAAAACAAACTCAAGTTGAAGTTATTTTTGAAACATTTGAACGCAATTTAAGTTGGTAATTACGAAAGGATATTTAAAAGTATGCGATTTGGAATTATCACTTCAGAAACATCTAATGGTGAATGTTAATGCTGACGTTTAAAAATACTTGTTAAAACTTCAAAAAGAAAAAACTTTTAATGTAATTAACTTCATGAATTAAAATGTTTTAAATGCATTTCAAAAGGGGTCTCGAAATAAATATAAATAATGCGAATTGAATAGCCAAGTACCCGAATGACTCGCCTAACTGCAAGCTTAAACGATTATTGATACATGTTTAATATCGTTTTCCGTAAAAATAAATTGAACAGATGTTTGGATTGTAGAGTAGCAACTTAAATAGCTAAAGGAAGAGAAATCGGAATTTTAAATGCTTAGCAAGTGCTTTGTTGCTTTTGATCCTTCAATCGTTTTAGTTACATTTAGAAGCAGATTTTTTATTGAATATTTTAATACTTTTTATATCGATGGTCGGTCCTTGAAATAAATTTTAAAACCTGAAACATTTTAAAAAAATTAAAACAGAAAATTTGATTACGATTAAAATTCAACAATTTATTTATCAATTATGACATCAATTTTATAAGAAATCGAGAAGACTACATCAAGTTGATTAAATAGTTTTCAAATGTAAGATGTAGTTACTAAGTAATTTCTAATTATTCATCTTTACACTTTTAAAGTTAGTTTGTAATGTCGCAATTTTCATCAGAAATTGTGACGATACTTTTTGCTACTTGATACACATTCATTATGCTTTCAATTCACAAATGCTTTTGGTTTAAGACTCAAAAAGCTTAATTATTCGACGATGAGCTTTTAATAAATGAAATTTACAATTAATATTTAATTTTTAGTGAGAGATCTTTTAACTTTCTTTATCACAAAATGAACTTTTCAAATTTCTATTTGAACCTTCGAAAATCCAACTTCTTGAAACTCTCACGGAAATCATCTCATTTCCGTCGCGAATGAAATTCTGCAATTTCATGTTCTAACAAATCGCCTTCTTTATCTTGATGTGCTGTCATGTGTCTTGTCAGATGATGACGTTCACGAAATGATTCTGAACAAACTGGACATTTCAATTTCTCTTCACGTTTCCGTCGATTAGGATCGTGAACGTTTTCATTTTTATGATGTGATCGCATGTGACTGTTGAAGAAAGTTTTAAAATTAATAAATTTAGTCAACAAGATGAATTACTAAAAGACTTACTAGACGAGATCACTTGTCATTCTAAAGCTGATATTGCATTTAGCACAAACATTTTGAGCTGGCAATGACAAAGCTCCGAGTGTAGTTGGAAGAAGTGTCGAGAGAATGGCAGCAGCTGGATTTCTAATAAATTGTTCAGGTTGCGACATAAAAGCTGCAGCATGATGATTTGATCCACCGAATTGAAAAGATGTAAGATGGCTGTGATCATTGTTGTTAGAATGATTGAGATGTGCAGAAGGAATTTGACATCCGCGATAAATTAAATTCTTGTATTTGCCATGAGAAAATCCAGATTGATTTATAGCTTGGAAAGCGTTCGAGTTCATGAACTGAGAATAATCTGGTCGGAAATTTCCAGACGGTGGACTATAAGAAATTGGTGGACTTGCTGATGAACAACTAAGTTGATCTGGTGACAATGGCGGTGGAACAGGAGAATCGAGATTATTATTAATTTGTGGAACTTTCGAGAAAGCACTTCGTGGCAAATCATTTTCAATAATTTCATCACTTTTCTCTGACGATGCTGTGCTGTTTAAAGATCCCGAACTAAATCGATCGTCATTCACTTTATTAACATAATCACTGCTGATAAAAACTTTGTTATTATTCATCGATTTTAAGTTATGATAGCGAGTCATAAGATCACTTCTGACACTCAACTCAGTCATTGGAAAACTTTCAACATTCAACTCAGGTGAATTATTTGCTTTTTCCCTTCGCTTTGATTTATCATCCGGTAACATAAGAAATGCAACATCAAAAGATCTTTTCATTGGTAATTTAGTTTGACCTCCGTCAATTTGTTTCACTTGCTTATGATCACTAAACATTTCAATCTGTGATGGCGACATTTTTGATACAACTTGTTGTCCACTTGCTACATCCATTGTCATTTTAAAAGCAGAAATTTCTATTTTATTTGTTATTAAATTTAGAATTCCCTTTGAATTGAATTGTCCACTGTTGTCAGTTGTTGTTAATAAATTATTACTTTGCACTTCTTTCTTTCTATTAATCCACAGAAAATATTTTCCTTTCACAAAAATCCTTCATCAAATATGTTTTGACTCAACGACAACAATTCAGCGACTGCCGTCGTCAAACAGTGGATGAACTGTTTATATAAAATAAAACATCACTAAGTTTCATTGGTATATGTTTTCATTCACCATTCATTACAAGCCCACCGCAGTGCGCATATTGCATATTTTTTCCCTTTGAAATATGTGCAGAACTCTACAAAAACAATACTGTTTTTCAAAACATAACATATTTGCTAGTACATTAAAAATCTGATGTTTTCTTTAAGGGGAAAATGTTCAGCAAATGATTGCGAGGGTGAAGCTTTCGTTTTTGTGTGTGGCGAGATTATTCCAGTGGGTGTGGCTTCGGAATGTGAAGGAAAATATGCGAGGGAAACTTGTAGATGGAAAATGGTGGGTGTGCGAACATTCCCAACTGAAATATGTGTTTCAATCTTTAGAATATTTTCAGCTTCTTCTTGTACATACATAAAAACGATACGAAAACTTGAATACGTTCGAGTACAATAGACTGGGGTCTGGGGAAAGTACCGCATATTATGTCAAGTCGATTATCGACCTTGTCAATCATGTTTTGTGTTATTAAGAAGCTCAATTTATGAAAGCAAGGTGGAGAACATCATTTCCATTCACATCATAGGATTGAAATTAGATAAAAAGGAATTGAAAGATTTCAAATGTTCCGCTAAATGGACATTCACTGAAAATTCAACTCCATTAATCAATTGTAACAAATCACTTCCAATAAAATGTTGTCGTTATGTATCGAATCAGGTGTCACTTGCTGACACGTGACTATGAACTATGAGACGACACTAAATTGCTATGCAAGCGCAATGCGTCAATTCGTTTCGATTTTGTTCACCCGTCGATTTTATGTTGAGATGTGATAAATCTTTTGGTTAAATAAAATCAACTCGAACAGAAGAATCTCACAGATGTTTTTACATTTCCCTACTGATTCTTCCTTTTCCTCGTTTTATTTTCATCGTGAGGGTTAAAACATTTACAGGACCTTTTAAATTATTTCTTTTCGGCTTCTGATAAAGTTATCATGACATTTAGTTACGGGTAAGAGAATTCTACAATCATTTGATTGCTTTTAGCGATAGTGAAATGTGAGTGAAGGGAAGCAATTTTTACGGATGTTTTTAGCAATCATAACTTGAAGTTGGTAAGAAATATTATTGGTAAGCTGAAGAAAAAATGAAAACAATTCTAATCTCGATGATATCAATTTAATTAATCTCAAAATGTAACAAATTCAATTAAAAGATTCAACATCTCTTGTATTGTTTTCATATTTACGCCTAGCCACTACATGATTTTTTAATCCGATTATATTTATTCGCATTGATGCTCATCAAGAGAATCAGTAGCAAATGTTGTCAAATAAGATTGATAAAATCTGATTAGGAAACAATCAAACCCTATGACAACGAATGAATTCTAATTTTACGCCTATTTGATCATCACGTTATGCTTAACTTTCCTTTTCACCCTAAAAATAAATAATCGTTCTTCTCAGATATTTCTCAAGTAGGTACTTTGTGGAGGATTTTCATTGACATTTGGAACGGTATTTTAATTTGGATCAACGATAAACAGTTTTCCTTATATTGGATTAGTTCAATCACTTATGATTCAGATGAATGATTACGATTATTGCATCTAACAAAGAGTAAGCAAAGTGGGAAAATTTAAAAACATTAAATGTGTTTAAATTATGATCAAGTGATGCTTTTAAATTGTCTTCGACTCTACCTTCAAACATATTTTCAATTTAAATCTTAAATCCCCTAAACTTTAAATATCGGCTGATTATGTTGCATATCATTGTCTGCTTTTCAATGTCGTAGCAAGGAGTAAATAATCAAGTAAAATCAACAACGGAAAGAATATTCGCACAGATGTTTTTAACGCGATTTTATTTTTCCGTGCATATGGAACGAGGGTAAAGTCATTTAATTGTATAGTTGTAAGTTCGAACTCAACCCCTATCTCGAATATTTTCTGATTGCACAAATCCTCGGAAGGGATCAAGAGCGACAAGTGAAAAGATTCATCTGATGTGGTTTTTAATGATTTTATAAATGCATTATTCATTAGAGAGCTGTTTTTATGTTTCAGCTTTGTTGACCCATATGCTTTGTAGCACATGTTTCTTTATCAAAATATCTTCTTTTTGTTTGATGTTTGAAACGAATGTGTGAGATTGAAGAGATGTGATGAAACATCAACAAGTACCCTCGTTTAATGACTCTAGACGTTCTGTTTCTCACTCATAATAGAAACATTTGAATGCAATTTGTTTTTAGCTCAGTTTGCGATCCCAATTTGTTTTACCATCAACCACTAGCACATATGTTAGCAAAAACAAATATGTTTTCTTGGTTGGCAAATAATGTTAGCAGTTTGAATATTTTTTCTTTCGGTATTCGATACAAATCTAAAAAGAATGAAGAATTATCCTAGAAAAATTTTGGCTGTTGTTGTAGGTCAAACAAGTACCAAATCAATAAATCTTTTCACTGAATCATAAACTTTAGTAAAAGGAAATCTTTAAACACTTGATGCAGGTGTTATGTCTTATGAAAATATGAATAATTTATTAATTAATTATGTTGCCTTAAGATCAGAATATTTTATTTGCATAATGAACAACGCAATTCCTTGCATACTAATCATCTTTAAGAAATTTATATTTAACATGCATTGCATAGTCATTTATAAATTAAATTAAACTAAATCAATTCAATTTTGGTTTTGTTAATCTTCAATGAAATCATCTCAAGCATAAAATTGCTTGTGTAAGTTTTGCCAACTTTAATTTTCATAGTGAACATAAATTTGGTCATTCTGCACATAATTCGAATCAAATGACATCGCTATCGATTACCAAGAAGAAATGTATCATGACTTTTTCTTAACAATCATTCATGCTACATCAACTTCATTCATATCAAATCGAATTTATAAAATAAAAGTAAATACATTTCCCATGTGAATTAGATTTACACATTATTATGTATGTCACCTTTTTCACTCTCAATTTATCGGAAATAATGACATATTCTAGCCTTAAGCAGTATTGAAGAATTAATATTGCAGTGGCATTAGCTTGTCAAGAAGACGATGAAGTAAAAAAAAGAAAAGTTGATCTTATTGAGTATTCTTGACTGTTTCTTTCTTATTTGAGGGTCAAAAATTTGATTTTCTCAATAAAATTGAATTTAAATCCTTTTTAAAAATATTATTCCACAAGAGATTTAATGTTAAGAGTTTAAACATGGATATATGTTCCCACGAAGAATATTCTCGGTAAATTGAAACAACAAAGTGTAACGAATCAATGACAATAGCATCGCTGCTAACAACGTTATGTCTAAATCTATTTTGTTCGTATAATATAAAGTTTAATGTATTTATCGTAAAGTTGAAGTCTTTTTCACAAATCTGATTCAAATGTACAGAACAAATTGATTTTCTAGGTCATCAAAGCGAAACTAAAGATTTAGTTTACGCAATACTTTCTCGCAATAAATTAGTTTTTATACAATAGGGTGGATTGTGATGTAAAATATTTAGAAAGTTTTAAACTTCAGATAATGATTTTGAATAATTTGTGATGATTGATTACAACTGTTGTTTCATCGAATACATTAAGAAAATTGTTAAAATTTATTTATTTTCATAAAAGATTAATGAAAGTGTTTAAGATTCTCTTTGTTAAGCAAATGGCAATGGTCATTGATAAGAAACAATGAAATTCTAAATCGGAAACAATTTATAATCACTGAAATAAAAGAATTCATTGTTTGCTGTTATATTCTTCTTATCCTAAAAAACAAATTAAATGAGGTCGAAACAAGATTGTGGTTCGTGTCTGCCAGTAGCAACAAAAGAAATTGATAAAAACGACGGCGGATACCTAATTTGCATTTTAAACATTTATTATTGTGTTTTTACCCTGTTTCACCTCGAGTGATGAAAAACGAGGGAGGAAAACTCCTCAAAGGAGTCAATGAGGGGGAAATGATGATGATACTGTTAGTATTAAATTGATTGAAAAGTCAAACAATTTACCATGTTCATTAGCACTTCAGCCGAGAGCGGATAATTATTGGAGTGTATCTGTGTAATTTTAAAGATTTTAAATCTTTTTGGATTCTTTTCTATGTCACCAGTACACATTTTAAAAGAACATGTAATTTATGACAACATATGTGAGAGTTCAAATACAAAGCAATCAATCATATTTTGAAAGAAAATCCCTTGATTGACGATTCGTTTCCGTCAAAACCATGGAAATGTTCATGGAAAGCAGATTTCCGTCGCAATTTTGTGGGTTCAAGAATATAATGCGAGACTCGTTTAGTGAAAAAGAATTTTCTTCCACATTGTTTTTATTTTATTTTTAGCACATATCAAAATCAAATATTTAAGAAATTTCAATATTAAATATCTACAACAAAGAATTTTCTTTCATCATCAATGCATAAAAACTATCCTGAAAGGAATTTTACTCAATTCATTATAACAACAACACAATCAAAGTTCAATCACAAAACATTATTTAATTTGAAAACTCTTAGATGAACAAATAAACTAATTTTAGTTTGGATAAATATGAACGTAATATTAAGGTAGGTACATAAATATTAATTAAGAAAAATATTTCGATTTTAAATAATTCAAGTACGAGAATTTTTCTTTCCTGTTTTGTAGTTATTTGTAGACGGAGAAGCAAACATCTACACCTTATTTGGTTCTCTGTGATCGTTCCATGTAAAGCTGATAAAGAATCTTATTTGCATCATAATAATTAGGATTATCGTGCAACTTCAGTTCTGGATTATAATTGTATTGATGATTTTGAATTTCATTCTGTAATTTTGGGAATTGAGAAATGTCAGACATGAATTCTGTAGAACTGATTGGTGGAAACTCAGGCGATAAATGGAGATTGTTTATTCGCTTCGAAAGAGGAAAAAACTCTTCAGAAAGATCTTCATTTTCTCTAGAACGTTTTCTGAAACTATCAAAGATAATGTCAACAAAGACTTATTTCATAATTCTCGAAATTCATTACCTGATATCTGCCATAATTAATAAACAGATTATTTAAAACAGTCTAATTGGTTTAGCATAGGTATATTAATCCTATAATTATGTATTTTACAGAACTACGACTTTGATTTGAAGAAAAAACTTAAATGAAAAGAAAACAAAAAGACAATCTCACAGGGGCTTTTAACTTGTTATTTCAAAAAGAAAACTCTCCAAAAGACGTTAAAATTTATAAATAAAAAGTTTTGCCGATCCTAAAATCTGATCATTATAATTTTAATAAATATCAAAAGCAGATCTTGCACTTTTTGTTAAATATCTATATTTAAAACATATTTTGAATCTTTAAAAACCAAATATGCACTTTAACTCTTCTAGATTAATTTTGTTTAAACAATCTAGCTAAGCATTGAAACGGCTCAGATTTGAAAATTTTTTTTGTAAGAGCAATTTTTATGTCAGCATGCATTGATAAAAATAATTTTCATTCGTGAAACTGAATCAATTAAGTTTTGTTTGTTTTTCATAAAATATTTAAAGCAACGTTTCACCCCAGCTGATCAAGTTGTAAATCGAAATGAAACAGGACCTACCTAGAATTATAAATATGGAAATTATTAATCCGCCTGAACCCCAACTTGTTCATGATCCAGTGACATCTGCTGACGATCCAATGGCTTTGTTGAACATCATTAAACTTAACGTTGCAAAGCTTGGCATTGTTGCACCCCAATGCGGACTAGAAGTAGCCTTTTACCATTATATTTCTAGATCTGTTTATAAGAAATTAACTGCAAAATCATCAAACACTTCACCAGAACTTATGCCACTTAACGAGTCATTCCCTTCAACCTCTGAGATAACACCTGATCATTCAATGGATAAGGAAGATGATAATTCGGATGACATTCTTTCAAGTCCGAAGCAATATGTAAGAGCGAATAAACGAAAAAAAGTATACAAAAATCATGGTGTAATGACATCAGTCGAAGCTCTTTCTACATCAATGGCTAAGAAATAAGAGAAGAAGGCAGTGTCAAAAAGAGAAAAGATAGATAAAATTAGAAAAATGAAGACCGAGAATTAACCTTTGCGCACTTCAAAAAGAAAAATATCAGCAGTATGTTATCTATCTAAAATTGAAATTTATCTTCTATGTTATTGAATTATCCACAATAAAAATTATGAAACTTTGCTTGCCATCACACCTATTTCTTCTTTTTAATATCTATCTATTTTAGTATCTTATCATAAAATCATAACTAAAACATTAAAATATATTTATCATGAAAATTAAGTTGAACAATTTGATGGTGAAAATCATCTCATTTGTTTTTTTTCGCTAAATAGTCTTAACTGAAACATCTAAGGCGTGACAAATAAATGTAAACCTTTACATCGGATCATTGTTGACGACAGAATTTTCGTAATACGCGAATATTGTTCGTTATCAGTCAAAGAAACTTTTGATGCCAAACTCATTTTTATTGGTGAAAGGAATGAAAAGTTATTAAGTGTCAAAGTCAAAAATGTATTTCTTCAGTCTAAGCTGTGACAGTACGATATGTTTTAAATGCTTCTTTTAACACATTTACATATATATTTATAGATAGTTTTGCATGTTCACATTGAAATATTTTCCAGAACTTCATCTCCAAATATCATATTCAAAGTTGTATTTCTTAAATAAAACGTATGCAGAATAAAATATATATTAAAGAATTTTCAGTAATTTTCGAGTCAGTCTCATCAGGAACGTTGTCAACGATCATTTCAGAAGAAAAACATTTTTCTACTTACAATCGCTTAGCATCATGAAAGTTTTATTATTTGCTTTAGTTTTCGCTGTGATTTTGATTGCTGTTTCTGGAAGAGAATGTCCACTTTGCAAGAATGGAGACACTGATGACTGGAACTGTACATGTTCTGGAAGGAAACTCAAAGATAATTGTTCGGGTGCTGGATTAGGTATTGGCGCTGTACAATGTTTGGTAGCACGATATTGTTGCCTTTTCCCACAAGTAAAAACATGTGTGGAAACGTCATAAAAATTGATTTTTAAATAAATATTTGAAAATTTGAAAGAATGTTTTATTTGATTCCTCGAATGGTTTAAAAGCGCCAATAATATTAATATTTAACTGATGTTAAAGATCGGAAAAAGAGAAACTTAAAAAAACTGTGCAAATATATTTTTCGAATATCATCATGCGCAAATGTTCACTTGTACACATGCTTATATCTGTTTGCTTTATAAACATATGTTTCATCAATTTTTAAGGTATAAATTCTGCTGAAATATTTTTCGTAACTCGTCTTTATCTTTATAAAAGCTACGCGAATGAACTTGATAACTGAAAGCTCATTTAAAAGTTCATGAAGTTTGATCATGAAATAAATATAAAATACAGCCAATTGTTTAGGTTAGTCGTTCATTATTAGATCCTACATATCATGAAATTTTACTATTCGCTTCAATTTTTTTTATATTTTTATATGGAAATAGTCTTGACGAAAATTGTGGATGTCCTATCTTTCATCAAAAAATGTGTACGAATTTTGGAATTGTTCAATATAAAATTGAATAGATATGAAATATCTATTTGGACATTTTATTGACAAATTTTTAACTTTTATTTTGGAAAGTTAGACATGTGATGAGAGAGAAGTATGAGGTTTTCACCTAGAAAGTTATGGGAATTGTTATCTCGTGATGCAAGAAGCTTTTTCAGAAACTTGCAGGAAATAATTCTATACAAGTGTGAGGTACTAGACTACGAAGAGAGATGATTATGGGAGAGAGCGAGGAAGTTAATATTTGCAAGCCGGTGAAAGTAAACAAAGCCTTGCTACATCTTTTTATATTAAATTTGATTGAACATGTGAAATGCATCTTGTAGAAATCTCTCTCTTTAATTTAAAATATAATAAATTGGCTATATAAGCATTATTGCCATAATTTACTTGACAGTCACATTTGAATCGTTTTCGACAAATATTTCAGCAGAAAAAGTTATAATTTCTTACCAATATTCGTTAATATAATTAAATTATCATGAAGATTTTATTGTTCATTATAATTTTCGCTGTAATAATATGTAATATTTCTGTTTCTGGAAGTGAATGTCCACTTTGTGAGAATGGATATTCCTGGGACTCGACTTGCACTTGTTCTTCCGAGAGAATCAGAGATAATTGTGGAGGTTTAAATAAATACTGTATTACATGTGACGTGCCGAATTATTGCTGTTGTCATCCATTAACAAAGGATCTGGTCTGGGGGAAATATAAGCTTGTGTTTGATAAATGTAACCATGAAAGAAATAAAGAAAATGAAGAAAAAGAAAGAAAATATAAAAAAAATTATAACTAACAACTTATACTTAAATAAAATGTTTTTAAGTTTGGTTTTGGTTTTAAAAGCTATTAATTTAGCGTCATATTTATGACTTTTGTATGAAGTTCGTGAAAATTATAATTAAAAGAAGTTGAAAAAATGTTTACATAAATAAAAATTTTCAGTAAGTTACGTGTCAGTCTTTTCCAAATCGTTTAAACAGTCAAAACAAAATATTCACCTGAACGAATTCAATCATGAAGATGTTATTCCTTGCATCAATTTTCATTTCGATTCTGGTTATTGTGTATGGAGACGAGTGTCCACTTTGCAATGAAGGAAATACTGATGACTGGACCTGTACATGTTCTGGGGGAAAACTTAAAGATGATTGTGGAGGTGCTGGACAAGGTATTGGCGCTGTACTATGTATTGTACCACAATATTGTTGCATACCTAAATTCAACAAGTGTATAATAGCATAATAAAGAAATAAATCAAAATTGAAAGAGATCCACATATCCAGATATATTTATTTTAATTCTTTCTTGAAATTTTAAAATTATTTCATTGAAAGTTCATCAATATTATCGTCATTTCATGGATATTTTATTAAAAATTCACAGTCTACGAACAATCTTCATATAATATCAAATTTATAAGTTAAGAAGTTCATATCGTCCCTTGAAAGATAAAAAATTGTTGAGTGGTTAAAAATTTTCGTGTCTCACAAATTTCATTTATCACACATCCAAATTTTCTGTCATTTTTATTGTTCTTCAATTTTTTTCTGTCATTTTCAATTGTCAATTATTCTCTCTTTCATATCTCGTCTCTCAGCTCTGTGAAAAATTTTTACTCATAATTTTTTTTACTATTGTGTTATCACGCGAAAGGCTTTTATTAATTTATGTACATATAAGTTGTGTATATCCAACTGGCTTGAGTCGATGATCTGTTTCGAAAGAAAAATAAATTTTCTTCTAATGACAGTTTGAGAAGAAGATTCAAACGAGCGAATCATGAGAAGTTTACTGCTTGCTTTAGTTTTTGTTGTAATTGTTATTGCTGTGTCTGGAAATATATGTCCACGTTGTAGTAGAGGATATACTGACGATTCAACTTGTACTTGTTCTGGAAGAAGACTCAAGGACAATTGTGCAGGTGCTGGAAAGGGAATTGGTGCTGTAACTTGTTTAGTGGAACAATTTTGTTGTTATAAACCGAAAAAGAAACCATGCTCATGTCACCTTAAAGCCAAAGCCAAAGCTGTAGCAGGTCAATCTTAATTGCAAAAGCTAATTACTTAAAAAAAATTCAAGAAAGTAAATAAAAATTAAAAACAAATTTCATGCTTAAAGCTTTCAAGTAAGTAAATTACTCAAGCAGCATCAAATTATAAAGATCCTTCGTTTTTCTAATCATGCAACTAAATTTTCATTTACCTCTTCGATCTCATTTCTCCATCAATAATTTATATATAAAGTTTTTATTGATGTATTGTTGATGTGGCTTGCACTTTATTAAAGTTTCTTTTTACTTTAATTTATACTCTTATATTGTCTACATATAAAAATGGTTGTTCAATAATTTAGTTGTCAGTCATATACAAATTGTTCTCCAAGATTATCTGTTTGAAAATAAAAATCAGTTTCCTTTTTAATCAACTCATTTATTTAAAAAGAACTTAATCATGAAAACTTTACTTATTCTTTCAATATTTGTTGCACTTTTAATGGTTGTTTCTGCAAAAGAGTGTCCATTTTGTCCCCATTATTCAGGAGACTCAAGCTGCAAATGTTCTGGAAGGAAAACCATAGACACTTGTGGAGGTGTCGGGCCAGATGCTCCATGTTTAGAACAGCATTTTTGCTGCTTTTTACCAAAATTAAGTAAAAAATAAGCAGAAATGGAAGCTTCAACTTCAGTTTGAAATTTTTCATAAGTTTTGCTTAATAAAAATTCAATAAATCAGACATGACTTTTATAAAAACATTTCAAACTGAATTTTTATTTTTAACTTTGATTCTTTTGTTTCTGTAATTTTATAATTAATAATTTTGTTTGTTTTTCATATTTTTTAAGTTATTTGGAAGATTTTGTTTTTAATAAAAAATATTTGTTTCCACGATCCAGCAAAATAAAATTGACTGACGTCAACATGACATCAAAAAATAAACAGCAGTTGAACGAAAAAACTGTTCAAATACCTACTTAATTTTATATGACTCATTCTTCTTCACAATAAATTAATTTTAGCACTCTTATTTTCAATAAGAATTTTTAAATGATACGTCTTATTCCTAATTCAATTCTGCATGCAAAATAAATTATGAGTAAATTTTCCACTGATATTTTATGCTCGATTATCGCTGCATAAGTTTTAAATATTTTTAACGGAATTATTCAAACTATTGCGCCAATTTTTTTACTGAATACAATCATCATTATAATCATCATCATCATCATCAACACCTAAGAATTTCACAAATCCTACAATTTCGCAGTTATTGTCAGTCAAGAAAGTTTAGATTGAAGTTAGACATTTTAAATCCTTTTAAAACATCTCATTTATAAAATCAAAAAATTGTGAGTAATCAACATTAATCATTGTAATCAGCAAATACAAAACTCAAGAATGAAAAACTAAAATAAAATTGAATTGATTATTTTCTCGTCTAAGTTGTGAAATATTCTGATGTTATCTTTAAGAAAATTACTATAAAAGTGTTTGAGATTAAATATTATAATGAAGGTTGTAGAGGGGTCGAATTTTAAAGTAATTAAATTTATGCCGGCTTTTTTAAGGTTTTATTTACCCCAAAGAGTTTTTATCTTGTGTAAAAGTTGGAACGAGATGTGTAAAAGAATTGTTTTGAAAGTGCTTCTGTAAATCTCTTGACCTTGATCTTGACTTTCTTAAAAGAAAAATTCCAATTGTATTTATCAAGTGAAATCTCACATTTTAATAGCTTTGTAAATATTAACTAGGTATTAAACAATTCGTCGACATTGTTATTTACTTTCATGACGCTATACAAGAAATGTTATCATGACTGTTTATGACTGTTCTCAACCTCATCTAGTTTTAAAGAGAGAATTTCCTCTGAAACTTAGAAGAAATTTTATCGAACTGTTCAATTCAAAACTCATAGCAAAAGTTTCTCATAAATTATTTTTTTTCTTGAATTATTTCTTTACAAAATAATTAGTTTCGTTTTAATGAAGCGTAAACTGATAAGTAGCTATCTTATCTCGCGGTAACTGAACACGTGGTCATTAAATGTGAAACTGACCTAGGTTGATTAAAATTGCAAGAACACTTCCGAGAGATATTCTCAAAATAACACTTTTTATGTTTATTGGAGAGTTCATTCCAATTGCGCATATTCCACCACTTTATTTACAAATTTTAAAATGTTCAAACTTCAATTAGACAGTTAAATGAAGTCAGCAAGTCTTAGTTGTAATTAAAAACATTACTAAACTGCAAGTTATATTTATGTACAGGCGAAAGAAATTTAATTAAACGTATTAAAATATTTGTGACTGTTTCGGTATTTCGATGGGAATCTCTCAAGTACAATGACATCGCAGTAGACATAAACTTAAACTGAACACGTGAGAAAAGAAATATTTCCCCTGCCAACAGATTGAAATAGAATCAATTCATTTTCAAGTATTGCGTCATTATATTATTCGCCACATTACACCAAATTTTCTCTCCGCTGTAACGCCGTCTCCGTCTTCAGTCTTCATTCTTTCAACGATTGAAGTGCACACAAAAGAAATTCTTTTCGCAATAAAATCATAAAGAAATTTTCAGTAAATTTCCATTCACGAAAAGACTTTCAAAAGCGCAACTGCAGCTTTAAATTAAATATCTAATTACAAAAGGAACTTCTTATAATCATATCAAAAATGGTTTGGATTTCGGATTTAGATGATCCAAAGGTAAAAAAGAAAATTTTTCTTTGATTATGCAAATAATCGTTGGATAATGTGAAAAGTGTCGTCGTGTTCTCATCGACCTTGAAAGTTTACTAACAGCAAATAATAAGATCTTGAAAGCAAAAAACGTTTTAAAAAGTTTTATAGAATGTCGAAGAACATTCGATAAATATCTTGTTGGCTCAGAAAAGAAAAAGAAAAGCATTTAATGTCCTTGAGGAAGGGCAAGTGAGATTTATTTATTTCTTAATGAAAGTGAAACTTTTGAACAGCTTTTAGCAGTGAATTTTTATTTGAGATAAAAGAAATCAAGTGCAATAATCGGCATTTAAAACCTTCCAAAAATAGGTCGCCACACAATCATCTCAAATTAATTCAGAATAATTTTTTTATCGAATACGGAAGTGATTTCTTTTGTTATGCAATTGTGCAGCTAAAATTTTTTTTATTCTTTTCTTGTTATTAAAAGATGAGCGCTAAAGTTCCTCAACCGAAAGCTGCTGAAGCCACGTCTGCTTTGGATCATCTCTGTCAATTGGACCCCAACTCCAAGACAGCCTTCATTCGTTTGACTGGCTTGATTTGCACCATTGGACCAGCTTCAAACAAGCCTGAGATGTTAGAGAAGATGATGCATGCTGGCATGAACATCGCTCGGTTGAATAAGAGAGTACCGTGAATGCTAATAGTACCGTCGTGGTAATTCTTGTAAGATGAAGCTGTTCATAATTACTCGAAGAACTTGGGCTACAAATATGCTTTGGCTATTGCACTTGACACAAAAGGACCTGAGATTCGTACTGGTTTGAATGCTGACAAAGGTGACATCGCTTTAGTGCGTAACGGGAAAATCAAAATCACAACAAACAAAGATTGGTTTGAAAAGGGAAACAAAGATCAAATCTATGCCGATTATCCCAACATGGTGAGTTGAAATTTCCTTAATTTAATTAATTTAACTTCAATTTGAAAACTTTAAAGGTGAAAGTGTTGCAAATTGGTGATCGCATCTTCATCGACGATGGATTAATTTCACTTGTTGTTGATGGCATCAACGGTGACACGTTGGATTGCACCATTGAAAATGGAGGCAAGTTGGGATCACAAAAAGGTGTAAACTTGCCAAATGTTCCTGTTGACTTGCCTGCTGTGTCTGAGAAAGATAAATCTGACTTGTTGTTCGGTGTTGAACAAGGCGTCGACATGATCTTTGCTTCGTTCATTCGCAATGGCGCAGCTTTAGACGAGATTCGAGGAATTCTTGGTGAGAAGGGAAAGAACATCAAGATCATCTCAAAGATTGAGAACCAACAAGGTTTGCAGAACATTGACGAGATCATTGCTAAATCTGACGGAATTATGGTTGCTCGTGGTGACTTGGGAATTGAAATTCCACCAGAAAAAGTTTTCCTCGCCCAGAAACAGATCACAGCTCGATGCAATCGTGCTGGAAAGCCTTGCATTTGTGCAACTCAAATGCTTGAAAGCATGACGAACAAGCCGAGAGCAACTCGTGCTGAAATCTCTGACGTAGCGAATGCTGTTCTCGATGGAGCTGACTGCACAATGTTGTCAGGTGAAACAGCCAAAGGCGAATATCCACTTGAATGCATCACCACAATGGCAAAGACACAAATGGAAGCTGAAGCTGCTATCTGGCATAAGAATCTTTTCCGTGACTTGGTCTCTCTCACCCCAACACCAATTGATGCAACTCATTCTGTTGCCATCTCAGCTGTCGAAGCTTCTTCAAAGACAACAGCATCAGCAATCATTGTCATCACAACTTCGGGTAGATCAGCACATTTAGTCTCGAAATATCGTCCACGTTGCCCAATCATTGCAGTCACAAGATTCGAACAAACTGCTCGTCAATGTCATTTGTTCCGCGGTATTTTGCCGCTCATCTATCAACGTAAGAATTTTAATTTTATTATTTTTCTATCGTTCATTAATCATTTTATCACTTCTAGAACCTTCTGAAAGTGACTGGTTGAAGGATGTCGACAATCGTGTTCAATTTGGTATCAAATTCGGCAAGTCTCGGGGATTCATCAAAAGCGGTGATCCTGTTGCTATTGTCACTGGATGGAAAGCCGGGTCCGGATTCACAAACACATTACGTGTTGTGTATGTTGACGATTCTGTCGGTGGAATTAATTATTAAATGTTTTATGTTTCATATCATTTTAGGAACTGCGACTAAACTCAATCACTCTGCATCATTGGATCTTGGCATGAAGGAATCTTAATTAACTTTATTCGAATGTTTATCTTTTTGTCCCAGGATTTTTGTGAAAAACTTACTCGAAATATTTTCGTCATGTTGCCGTGATTAAATTTTCATAACATCAGATCAACATTTAAATAACTTTAATTATTTTCTATCTGAGTTAGCCTTCAGCTTGGATTAAGATTAACTTCATCAGATAAGGCTGAGAAATGTTGTCATTTGAACTTCATCACAACTTGTTAATGAATGTCAATAAAGTGAAGAAATTTTAAATTCGAGAAAAAGTTTTAAACGTATTTCAAATTTTCCTTTTCAGACGCATTTCAGATTTTTCTGTAATAAATGATGACAATTTTCACAGGTAGAATTAATTAAGAATACCATTAATTCTTAATTAATTTCACCTGTGAAAATTGTCATCATTTATTACAGAAAGAATCAAGAAGAGAAATATTTAACTTTATTTGAAAATCTCAACACAGCTTTACAATTTCAGAATGATGAACTTTTAACATTTGGGCTGGTGTGATTTAACTCAAATTTAACTGTCATGTAACGAAGATCTCAGTTGAGCATCCCTTAAACGATGCCAAAAGCAACTACAACAACTTCGCATTCTGAAATTTGGTCATTTCAAATTAGTTTCATTTTAAACGCCGAACAATTAACTTTGGATTCTCTTTTTAATAATGAATCTAAGCTGTGAATTTGGAAATTTGGAAATCTTTCTTTATGGGAATGTTTATTACACGTGCTTGATTCGTTCATCTTCAATAACGAAGCCAAACACCATCATTCGAACAATTAATGGCAAACATTTAGAAGGAAAAAGTGACAAAGATGTTGAAGCGATTTTGTTTAAAGGTACAACAGTCAACTACTTCCCTCAAGGATTGAACAAAATTTTTCCTAATTTGAAAGCTGTTAGAATTCATAAATGTGGATTGAAATCAATAACGCAAAGAGATTTGGTTGGACTAGAAAATATTGAGAGACTACGGTGTGGTCACAACAAAATCACTTCACTTCCAGACAATCTGTTTAGATATATGAACAAACTTATTGACATTTCATTCCACGACAATGGTTTGCATTTCATGTCTTCAGAAGTTCTCAAACCAATATTGAAAAATGATTTAAAATGCGTAAACTTTAGTGAAAATCGTGCCATTGATGCTGCTTATTGTTATTATATATTTAATGGAACTAAAGTTGATTCTATAGTCAAGTTAATGGCCATGATTGATGACAAATGTGGTAAACCAGTGAAGAATGATGAACAGACGAGAGCAAACAAAAAATTGAAGGAATTGAAAACTGAAGGATTCAAGGAACTTTGGACGACAGGCCGTTTCTCGGACATCACGATTGTTACTGACACGGAGAAATTCAAAGTACATAAAAATGTTTTAACTATGCAAAGTTCAGTTTTCACTTCAATTTTCGAAGATAAGATGAAGGATCGACCATCTGATGAAATTCAAATGAAAAATATAAACTCAGAAGTCGTCAAGACTTTTTTGAAATTCTTCTACACAGATGAGATCGAAAAAGAAGAAAATTTAAATTTGTTGGAACTTTTCTCTCTCGCAGCAAAACTCAAAGTGGAGACTTTAGTGTCAATCATTGAAGACATGATCATAGATGATCTAAACGATGACAACGCGATTGAAATATTTGAACTTGCGTGTCGATTCAATTATGATGGAATGAAAACTTCAGCATTTGAATTCATTCAATCGATGTTCGATGAACCATTGAAAGACGAATTGATGAACCAACCAGAAGTTTTAAAAGAACTTGTTGAAGCTAAGAGAAAAATCAATTCAATACTGAATAAACTCAAAAGTGCTAAAATTATCACAATAAGATAAAAATCAGGAACATGCCACATAAACACCTCATTGCTGCATTAAATGTTTCATTTGATTTTTTTTGAGTCAAATTAATATTTTGATTTAAAGATAGAATTCATAAAATAATGTGAAAAAATCATGTCAATTGAAGTTCATCACATGTTGTTTATTAATGTCAATAAAGTGAAACGAAATTAAATTTAAAATTCAAGGGTTTTTTTAAACATATTTTGGATTTTCCCTTTTTCGTCATAGTTCTTGATTAAATTTTACCTGTAAAAATTGTCATCATTTATTACAGAAAGAATCAAGAAGAGAAATATTTAACTTTATTTGAAAATCTCAACACAGCTTTACAATTTCAGAATGATGAACTTTTAACATCTGGGTTGATGTGATTTAACTCAAATTTAACGGTCATGTAACGGAGATCACAGCTTAGCATCCCTTAAGACACGCCCAACCAGCTGATAACAACTTCGCATCCTGAAATTTAGCCATTTCAAGTTAGTTTCATTTTAAAACTTGAACCATTCACTTTGATCTTATTATTAAATATGAATTTAAGTTGTGTATTAAAAAATTTGAAATTCTCGCTTTGGGGAAGAAAATATTACACGAGTATTATTATTTCATGTTCAATAACGAAGCCAAACACCATCATTCGAAAAATTAATGGCAAACATTTGGATGGAAAAAGTGACAAAGATGTCGAAGCGATTTATTTTACGAATACAACAGTCAACTACTTCCCTCTAGGATTGAACAAAATTTTTCCTAATTTGAAAGCTGTTATAATTCATAAATGTGGATTGAAATCAATAACGCAAAGAGATTTGGTTGCACTAGAAAATATTGAGATACTACGGTGTAAACACAACAAAATCAGTTCACTTCCATACAATCTGTTCAGAAGTATGCACAAACTTAGAGTCATTTCATTCTACGATAATTCTTTACAATTCATGTCTTCAGAAGTTCTCAGACCAATATTGGAAAATGATGTAAAATTCGTAGACTTTTGTGAAAATCGTTCCCTTAGTGTTTACTATTGTGGCCCATCTTATATGCATAAGAAAAGTGAAAATAAAGTTGATTCTGTAGCCCAGTTGATGGCCATGATTGATGAGAAATGTGATAAGCCAATGAACGATAACTACAACAGAATCAGAAACGTCGCTTCAGAAGGATTCAAGGAATTTTGGACGACTGGTCGTTTTTCAGAAATCACGATTGTCAGTGACACGGAGAAATTCAAAGCACACAAATTTGTTTTAGCTATTCAGAGTTCTGTGTTCAGTTCAATTTTTGAAAATGAGATGAAGGATCAACCATCTGATGAAATTCAGTTGACAAACATAAAACCCGAAGTTGTGAAGATTTTCTTGAAATTTCTTTACACCGGTGATATCGAAATTGAAGGTTCAAATCTGCTGGAACTTTTCACACTCGCAGCAAAGTTTAAAGTCGAGAATTTAATGACAATTGTTGAGGAGATGAACACAGATGACCTAAACGATGACAATGCGATTGAAATATTCGAACTTGCGTGTCGATTCGATTGTGATGGGATGAAAACTTCAGCATTTGGAGTAATTCAATTAATGTTTGATGAGCCATTAAAAGACGAATTGATGAACCAACCGGAAGTTGTCAAAAATCTTGTTAAAGCTAATTCTATGGTAAATAGATACAGAAAAAATTAAATTTTCTTTTTTCATCTTCATATCATTCATCGTCAATCTTCTTCAATCTGATTTAATTTCATTCCATAGTTGTGTTAGTTTGCCGAATAAATGAGATAAATGAAACTAAAATTTTCGCTATTTTTTTATTAAAACAAAAGTTTGAAACTAAAAGATATTTTTAATAAAGTGTAGAAATATTTAGATTTTAATTTGGAGAGTTCAAACATTATGAAGGAAAAGTTGTTGAAGGATTTTTAACATTTTTATTTATGAAATAATTTGAGATCTGTGAATTGTCGTCACATGAGGGCGCTCGTGACTCTTCACTACCACATTTCAACATTCACACAATTTCACCCACAATCGAGCTTATCGTTCACACTTTTATTGTTCACGAAATTTCATGTATTCAATGTTGATGAAGATTCAAAAATTAAAATCTCTTTTCACAACACCGAAATTTAGATTGACACAATCGAAAATATTTCTAGAAAATGCGAAGAAACTTTTAAAGCAAGAAAAATGTTTTGAATCTTTAGTGTCAATTAATAAAAATCTTTGTAGTACTAATGATGAATCAGTGGAACGTGCTGAGTGTTATATTCAACGTTCAAATGTATACTTTAAGATAGGAAATTATGAAAAGTGTATTGAGAGTTTGCAACTCGCACGAGATCATGGATTATCAAGCAGATTGATGGATGAATTAGAAAACAACTGCCGAGAACTGATTCAAAGCAGCAAACCGCGAAAGAATCTTTGGGATATTTTTAATCTTTCTCATCCACCAAACCCTCGATTCCCACAAATTTCTAATTGTCTTGAGCTTCGAGAAAATGAAAATTTTGGACGGCATATCGTCACGAATAAGAAACTTAGACCTGGTGATGTTATCGCCATTGAAAAACCTTTTTTTAAATTCTTGAATTCCAACGCCATGAATGTTTACAAGTATGAAAGATGCTTCGATTGCCTTCGAAGAAATCATTTAAGTCTATTGCCGACAAGCAATTCAGGTAATTAAATTAGCACATTTTGTTTTGTTGTCTGTTTTGAGATATCAAAGCAATGTCAATAAACAATTTTTAATTTTGATAGTGATGGCATGTTCGACATTCTGTCAGAACTCAATCGAAGGAAAAAGTCAAAATTCATCAAATTTATTTGAAACTCAATTTAATTGGGAAATTGCCAAAATGATTCAATTGAGAAATGAATCAGAAAAAATCTGCGGAACTGTAGAAAATCTCGAGAATCTTGTCAATGAACCTTTGAAAACTGTTTTTGATTTCGACTGGATCGATGGAAGAAGTGCTGAGTTGAAAAAGAATTTATTAAAATGTGTTGTTTCATTATCTTCTGGGAATTACAATCAAATAAGCAGCGACGATACTGAAATATTCAAACTTTTTCTCGGTCATTACAATGATCACAACAGATCTTTCATCTCAGGATTTGTTCAACATATGATGGGTGTCTGCGCTAGAAATCAATACTCATTGCAATTCTTCGATGGATTGAGTGATTTCTATGGGGAACTTGGCAATTGTCTTCTGCCATTTGGATCACTCATCAACCATAGCTGCAATCCGAATGTGTTTTGGATTTTTATTGAAAATAAATTTGTTTTTGTCGTTGCCAAACCAATCGAGAAAAATGAACAACTTTTTCATTGTTACAGGTAGAAAAGATCACGCATTAAATATCAAAGAGAAATATTTAAATTTGCTTGTATTTTCACAGACACGTTTTTCTTTACGAGCCACTCAATGACCGCCAATCACATCTGATGAGGCAATATGGATTCAAATGCAAATGCGATGCTTGTACTCAAATATATCCAACATATCCCAAAGTATTTAAAATAAATCCTAAAAAGTTCTTTAGTTCTTTAGAAGAAATTCTTGCTGAAGTCTCACAAAACTGGATTGACATTGAAGTAGATTGTTATAGGGAAATGTTTGTTGAAGTTGCTGAGAAAATTAACATCAACAAAAAGTTACTTGAATATGTTGTGTGGAAATATTTTTAACACGTTTTTAAATTTCAAACTAAATTAACATGAAAATTTTATTAATAAACTTCTTTCAATTAAGAGAAATCAAGCTCAAATTTCATTTAAATAAAAATATTTATGTGAAACGAGAATTCTTCTGAGAATTTTTTCCTATCACAGTATGATACACAGAAGCTCCTTCAAATTTTTTGAAATAACAAAATGAAACAATAAAGTGAAAAGAAATTAAATTCAAGGAAAGTTTTGAAATTATTTCAGATTTTCCTTTTTTCTCATCAGAGTTCTTAATTAATTTTACCCATGTAAAGTTTTATCATTTATTACAGAAGGGAGCAGGTAAAGAAATATTTAAATTTATCTGAAAAGCTCAACACAACTTTATATATCCAGAATGATGAACTTTAACATCTGGGTTGATGTGATTTGACCCAAATTTAAAGGTCATGTAACGGAGATTTCAGTTTAGCATCCCTTATGACACGCCCAACTAACTGATGACAACTTCGCATCCTAAAATTTAGCCATTTCAAGTTAGTTTCATTTCAAACGCTGATCAGTTCACTTGGCTTTTTCTTTTAATAATTAAATAAGCTTACGGATTTGAACGCTTGCTAATCGAGCGAACTTAATAATTTTGAGAAGATAAAGTAAGTATTCGCCCGACAATTGTCCGATTCTTATTAATTCATTAGCATAATTTGTTCCAAGAATTATTAAGAGAGATTTACGGAAATATCCTTTAAAGGAAGTTGATAATGTATTAGTTGATGATTGCACCTTCATGTGAATTAAGATTTATTAATTCTTGTTTGGTTTATTTCCATCGAATAATTCAAAAATCATTTTTATTTGCACAGATTTTGTCATTATGGAATTAAAATGTGAATTTAGATATTTCTATTTGCTTGGAATTGGGCGTAAATACACGAGTACTATTGATTCATCTTCAATAACGAAGCCAAACACGATCATCCAAACAATTAATGGACAACATTTGGATGGAAAAAGTGACAAAGATGTCGAAGCGATTTTGTTTATTGGTACAACAGTCAACTACTTCCCTCAAGGATTGAACGAAATTTTTCCGAATTTGAAAGCTGTTTATATTGGTAGATGTGGATTGAAATCAATAACACGAAGAGATTTGGATGGACTAGAAAATATTGAGGTACTGCGATGTTATGAAAACAAAATCACTTCACTTCCCGACAATCTGTTTAGGAATATGAACAAACTTATTGACGTTTCATTCAGCGACAATGATCTGCAATGCATGTCTTCAGATGTTCTCAAGCCAATATTGAAAAATGATTTAAAATTCGTAGACTTTCGTGAAAATCGTTCCATTGATGCTGTTTATTGTAACTCATCTTATCCGCAAGAAATCATTGGAAATAAAGTTGATTCTGTAACCAAGTTGATGGCCTTGATTGGTGAGAAATGTGATAAGCTAATAAAGAGCGATAAGGAAATGTTTTTAATCGCAGCTCTAGAAGGGTTCAAGGAACTTTGGACGACTGGCCGTTTATCGGACATCACGATTGTCACTGACACGGAGAAATTCAAAGTACATAAATTTGCTTTGGCTATGCAAAGTTCAGTTTTCACTTCAATTTTCGAAAATGTGATGAAGGATCGACCATCTGACGAAATTCAAATGAAAAACATAGATCCCGAAGTTGCAAAGACTTTCCTGAAATTTTTCTACACCGGTGAAGTCGAAATTGAAGAAATTTCAAATCTGCTGGAACTTTTCGCACTCGCAGCAAAGTTCAAAGTGGAAACTTTAATGTCAATCATTGAAGACATGATCATAGATGATCTAAACGATGATAATGCAATTGAAATATATGAACTTGCTTGTCGCTTTAATTGTGATGGAATGAAAACTTCAGCATTTGAATTCATTCAATCGATGTTTGATGAACCATTGAAAGACGAACTGATGAACCAACCAGAAATTTTAAAAGAACTTGTTGAAGCTAAGCAAAAAATAAATTCAATACTGAAGAAACAAAAACTGGCTTAAATTATCACCATAAGATAAAAATCAGGTTCAAGTAACATAAACACCTCATTGCTGCATTAAATGTTTCATTTGATTTTTTTTGAGTCAAATTAATATTTTGATTTAAAGATAGAATTCATAAAATAATGTGAAAAAATCATGTCAATTGAAGTTCATCACATGTTGTTTATTAATGTCAATAAAGTGAAACGAAATTAAATTTAAAATTCAAGGGTTTTTTTAAACATATTTTGGATTTTCCTTTTTTCGTCATAGTTCTTGATTAAATTTTACCTGTGAAAATTGTCATCATTTATTACAGGAAGAATCAGGTAAGGTTCAACACAGCTTTACAATTTCAGAATGATGAACTTTTAACATCTGGGTTGATGTGATTTAACTCAAATTTAACGGTCATGTAACGGAGATCACAGCTTAGCATCCCTTAAGACACGCCCAACCAGCTGATAATAACTTCGCATCCTGAAATTTAGTCATTTCAAGTTAGTTTCATTTTAAAACTTGAACCATTCACTTTGATTTTCTTATTAAATATGAATTTAAGTTGTGTATTTAAAAATTTGAAATTCTCGCTTTGGGGAAGAAAATATTACACGAGTATTATTATTTCATGTTCAATAACGAAGCCAAACACCATCATTCGAAAAATTAATGGCAAACATTTGGATGGAAAAAGTGACAAAGATGTCGAAGCGATTTATTTTACGAATACAACAGTCAACTACTTCCCTCTAGGATTGAACAAAATTTTTCCTAATTTGAAAGCTGTTATAATTCATAAATGTGGATTGAAATCAATAACGCAAAGAGATTAGGTTGGACTAGAAAATATTGAGATACTACGGTGTAANGAAATGTTTTTAATCGCAGCTCTAGAAGGGTTCAAGGAACTTTGGACGACTGGCCGTTTATCGGACATCACGATTGTCACTGACACGGAGAAATTCAAAGTACATAAATTTGCTTTGGCTATGCAAAGTTCAGTTTTCACTTCAATTTTCGAAAATGTGATGAAGGATCGACCATCTGACGAAATTCAAATGAAAAACATAGATCCCGAAGTTGCAAAGACTTTCCTGAAATTTTTCTACACCGGTGAAGTCGAAATTGAAGAAATTTCAAATCTGCTGGAACTTTTCGCACTCGCAGCAAAGTTCAAAGTGGAAACTTTAATGTCAATCATTGAAGACATGATCATAGATGATCTAAACGATGATAATGCAATTGAAATATATGAACTTGCTTGTCGCTTTAATTGTGATGGAATGAAAACTTCAGCATTTGAATTCATTCAATCGATGTTTGATGAACCATTGAAAGACGAACTGATGAACCAACCAGAAGTTTTAAAAGAACTTGTTGAAGCTAAGCAAAAAATAAATTCAATACTGAAGAAACAAAAACTGGGTTAAATTATCACCATAAGATAAAAATCAGGTTCATGTAACATAAACACTTCATCGCTGCATTAAATGTTTCATTTGATTTTTTTTGAGTTAAATTAATATTTTGATTCAAAGATAGAATTCATAAAATAATGTGAAAGAATCATGTCAATTGAAGTTCATGACATGTTGTTAATTGATGTCAATAAAGTGATAAGAAATTAAATTGAAAATTCGAGGGTTGTTTTAAACATATTTCAGATTTCCCTTTTTTCGTCAATGTTCTTAATTAATTTTACCTGTGAAAATTGTCATCATTTATTACAGAAAGAATCAGGTAAGAAATATTCAAATTTATTTGAAAAACTCAACACAGCTTTACAAATCCAGAATGATAAACTTTTCATGTAGCGAAGATCTCAGTTTAGCATCCCTTAAGATACGCCCAACCAGCTGATAACAACTTCGCATCCTGAAATTTGATCATTTTAAGTTAGTCTCATTTGAAACGCTGATCAGTTCACTTTGCTTTTTCTTTTAATAATTAAATAAGCTTACGGATTTGAACGCTTGCTAATCAAGCGAACTTAATACTTTCGACAAGATAAGTAAGTATTCACTTGTCAATTGTCCGATTATTGTTAATTCTTTAGGAAATTTGTTAAAAGAATTATTAAGAGAGATTTACGGAAATATCCCTTAAAAGATGTTGATAATGTATCAGTTGATGATTGCACCTTCATGAAATAAAATTTGTTAATTCTAGTTTAGTTTATTTTCAGACATCAAACAATTCAAAATCGTTTTCATTTGCCTACATTTTGTCATTATGAAATTAAATTGTAAATTTGATGGTATGTATTGGAGTGAATTTAGGAATCAATACATGAGTTATATTTTTTCATCTTCAATAACGAAGCCAAACACCATCATTCGAACAATTAATGGCAAACATTTAGAAGGAAAAAGTGACGAAGATGTCGAAGCGATTTGGTTTAAAGATACAACAGTCAACTACTTCCCTCAAGGATTGAACAAAATTTTTCCTAATTTGAAAACTGTTATAATTCATGATTGTAGATTGAAATCAATAACGCAAAGAGATTTGGTGGGACTAGAGAATATTCGGAGACTACGGTGCGCTAGCAACAAAATCAGTTCACTTCCAGACGATCTGTTTGAAAATATGAACAAACTTATTGACATTTCATTCTACGAAAATGATTTGCAATTCATGTCTTCAGAAGTTCTCAAACCAATATTGAAAAATGGTTTAAAATTCGTAGACTTTCGTGAAAATCGTTCCATTGGTGTTGCTTATTGTGAGTCATCCTATAAGTATACATATATAGCGAATAAAAATAAAGTTGATTCTGTAGCTAAGTTGATGGCCATGATTGATGAGAAATGTGGTAAACCAATGAAGAAGGATAAACAAATGCATTCAAACATAAAATTGAAGAATGATAAACAGCTACACACAAACACACAATTGACGCATTTAAAAACTGAAGGATTCAAGGAGTTTTGGATTACTGGCCGTATGTCAGACATCACGATTGTTACTGACACGGAGAAATTTAAAGCACACAAATTTGTTTTAGCTCTGCAAAGTTCAGTTTTCACTTCAATTTTTGAAAATGAGATGAAGGATCGACCATCTGATGAAATTCAAATGAAAAACATAAATTCGGACGCTGTTAAGATTTTTTTGAAATTTCTCTACACAGATGAGGTTGAAAAAGAAGGAAATTCAAATCTGTTGGAACTTTTCTCTCTCGCAGCAAAGTTTAAAGTGGAGAATTTAATGATAATTGTTGAAGGGATGATCACAGATGACCTAAACGATGACAACGCGATTGAAATATTTGAACTTGCATGTCGTTTCGATTGTGATGGGATGAAAACTTCAGCATTTGAAGTCATTCAATCGATGTTTGATAAGCCATTGAAAGACGAATTGATGAACCAACCAGAAGTTGTCAAAGATCTTGTTGAAGCTAAGAGAAATTTCGAATCTATTGTGAATGAACACAGCAAACATTAAGTTTACTTTTTTCAACTTCATTGAATGCTGTATTGTAAGTTTACCATCAACATAAGGTCGTTTTTATGATGTTCATCAGTGTGAAGCTTAACATAAATATGAACAACTTTTTTTAAACTCCTTTTTTCCAATAAACTTCGAAATAAAACAATTGTGTAAATGAAAAGCATTTCGAATCTTTCAACTATTAGCAATTAAAAGTTTTTTAATTACAGTTGAAATCTATTTAAGAAATTTTTAAATAAAACGAACGTGAATTGTCGGAAATCCAAAATAGACCAAGTTACAATAACTCGTCACAAGATGGTGCCATAGTTTGTTTTGTAATGTGTCTCGACTAAAAAAATGTAAACAAGAAATAAAATTGATTGGATTACAATAAAGTTCTACTTTTTAAAGAAACTCTATGACGATTATTAAGAAAGTTGCACTAGGATTGAGTGGAGGAGTTGACAGTGCTGTGTCAGCATATCTGCTTAAACAAAAAGGTTTCCTAAACTTTATTTTTAATTTATCCATCCAAATACATAATTTTCAATATCAATCTTTCTAAGGATTTCATGTGACAGGAATTTTCATGAAAAATTGGGATGAAACAGATGAAAAAGGGTTCTGTTCAAGTGATCAAGAATATGAAGATGCTCTTCACATTAGCACAAAATTAGGAATTCCATTAAAACAAATTAATTACGTTAAAGAATATTGGAATGAAGTCTTTTGGTGAGTTGAGAAAATTGCAGTTTCCTACTTCAAATAATAATTCTTTAAAATTGAATTTGCAGTAATTTCATAAAAGACTACGAAGAAGGTCTTACACCAAATCCCGACATCTTATGCAATAAGCAAATAAAATTCAATTTATTCTTTAAGTATGCAATTCATTCCTTAAAATTTGATGCAATTGCGACTGGTCATTATGCTCAATCATCGTTTGGATCATTCCTAGAATATTTCAAAGATAACACTGATGCTAGGCTACTCCAAGCTAGTGACAGTTTCAAGGATCAAACATTTTTCTTATCACAAATTCCTCAAAATGCGCTTAGACGTTGCATGTTTCCAATTGGAAGTTTAAATAAACATCAAGTGAAGGAAATCGCTGAAAAAATTGGACTTCAAAAGATAGCTCAGAAGAAAGAGTCGATTGGTATTTGTTTCATTGGTGACAGAACATTTCAATCGTTTATTAGCGAATATATTGATGCCAAACCTGGCAACTTTGTTGACATTGAAACAGGAAAAATTGTTGGAAGTCATCAAGGAATACACAATTGGACAGTAGGTCAACGTTGCAATATTGGTGGCGTCATAAAGCCTTTCTTCGTTTATCGAAAAGAACCAACAACGTCAACAATTTATGTTGCAAGTGGCACAGATAATCCTTTCCTTTGGACTGATATTTTCTACACAAAAGATTCATTTTGGATTCGAAATTCTCCTTTAACATCAAAAAATCTTCTAAAATGTCAATTTCGATTTCAACATACAAAACCATTGACTGCTTGTACAGTCTACAAAGCAAATGTGACTGGAGATAAATTGCTGATTAAACTCGAAGAACCATTGCGAAGCATCACACCAGGACAATATGCTGTGTTCTATCTTAATAATGAATGTCTTGGCAGTTCAAGAATTTTCAATTCAGGACCATCAGTCAACATCCGGTGATAACAAAATAAATGAAATTTTGTAGAACGCATTAGATGTGGGCGGAGCTCACTACGCAAACATAAATTATCCTTCGAGATAGCGAAGCAATTTTTCCATTTGAAGAAATAAAAACAAGAAAAAAATTCTGTTGTTTTGTCACTCTTCGTAAATGCAAAGGGAAAAAATTCCCACGTGCTTTTGGTTTTATCGCGCACACTCGTTGGGAGTCTTTATCGTCACCGAACCCTTCATTAACGAACGAATCAAAACAAAAGTTGTGATGTCGAAAATATGTTACAAAAATTTTATTTTCAGTTGATTCGTGACGATCGCGATAAAACGACGCTGTTGAAAGTGCACCGGCGAATCGTGTTGCATATAAATTTAATTAGTGTAGCATGAATATCATGCAATTATTTCTATAAATAATCTTTTTTTTCTTTGCTAAACGGGAGATTTTTCCGGAAAGAAATTCAATTAACATTGATCATGGTTGTGATTGCAACATTGAAATGTTCCACGTTGTGTATGTTATCACGACAACAATAAGGTTGAAGAAATGAAAGAGCGAAGCAAATGAATGCGTTGCAATGCATAACCGGCGTATGTGAGAATTGTAAACAAACAGCGATAAATTGTTGTGTTGTTCAAAGCAAAGCGAAGCGTCTGTCAACTAAATGAGAGAAAAAAAAACAGCCGAAGAGAGAGAAAACGATGATCAGCTTGCAAGAAACGGCGAGTTAAAAGTCATCAACAGCGAACGAGCGTGATAAAGATTTTTTTTTTCGTTTTCGAGCGAGTTTGAAGAGAGTAGGATTGGAGCTTGTGTTATGTGTCAGATAATTGAATAAACTTTTATCACTTCTCAACAGCAACAGACATTCGAATGAAGAGAAACATTTTCATTCCATGATATAAATAAAAAATTCTTACGTCCCATCACATAGCAACGCTCCCCATCGATGATTTTTAAAGTTTTTCTTGCATTCGAAACTCGTTTGGCGTTCTTCACTTCATTGTGCGCCCGTCTCTTGGTCGAACAAGACGGGTTTGAAAAGCGGTTCACTCTGGACGGTTTCTGTGGATAATTTTTTATCAAAAGATTTTTTGAGTTTCGGTTTTTTTTTTGGCAAATGGTGAAGAATTTTTATTACTTTAAATATTTAATAACTTTTCATATTTTTAATCTGAACTTTCTTCAGATAAAACACGTTAATTTGCTTAAAGTGATTTTTAATCAAATCCAGAATTTTCCGCAGATTTTCCCCCTTTTACACAACATAAGTGGAAAATTCTAATTTTATTTTGTCTACGAAAGAACATTTTATTTTAGAACTTTCATCTTAAGATCGGTGTTGAAATTGAATGAGAAATTCTCGTGCTTTTCATATATGATGAGAAAAATAAAACGAAGGAAAAAAATTCTCAAAGTGTTCTCAATCGTCGTCGTATTTAATTGTTGAATGAAAATTGACGGAAAATATTTTCCTTTATTTTATTTTATATTTTTTCTAGTGCGTGGAGAAGTGTAACAAAAGTTAGAGACGATAAATATTTTTAATCTTGTGGAAGATTGAGAGTTTATTGGCCTCAAAATAAAATATCTAAGAAAATCAAAAAGAAAATTTCTGTGAAAAGTGAAACAAATCGTGACGAATTTTCCGCAATTAAGAAGAAAAAACATCATTTTTCATTGACGATGGGGTCACGGCGCCCCCGTGGTATTTTCATGGGCCGTTTATCGGTTGCAACAGCTGTCGTTTTGATTATGCTTATTGGAATAAATTCGATTGACTCAAAGGTAAGCTTTTTTAATAAAAACATATCGAGAGTGTGATAAGATACGAGTAGAAAAGATTTTCAAATCAAATAAAATTGTATCGAAGTCTAAATTGAAGCTAATGTACAAAACGGAACAAGAAGTGAACTTTGCAAACTTCAGAAATTTTTTTTTGAGTTTGTTAGCAACAAGATAAATATAAAAATTCAGTTTTTGATGTTCATTCAATTATCAGCTTGTTAATTTGCGTTCTCTCGTCATAATCGTTGCAAAAATATTAGCAGCAGATAAGTTACGAATGAACCAGCGAAAATTTATTTTCTAAGATAAATAATCTGGTACAGTGAAATGTCAGTGAAAGGAAATAATCTTAAATTTCTCACAAATTCACAAAAAATATGAAGGAAAACTGAGAGAATTTTCAAGAACTCATTAAATGTAAAGTTTTATTATGCCAGAAACAACTGTCGCACATATCCAAGAAGTTTAATGTGATCATAGTTTATTTTTAACGTTTGAAAGGAAAGAAAAAAAAACCTAAACTCCAAGCAAGAAACTTATCGATTTTTATAAATATTTCTATTTGATTTTGTTTTTTTTTTCATTTAAGAAGAAGTTTATTGATTTTTCTCTGTTGAGGTTTGTGTGCGGACTTTTAGACATTAATTTGAAAGGAACTTTTAATGATAGATAAGATTAGGAATGAATGTTGTCTTTAAAACTTTGTACTGTCTAAAAGGTGAAAGAAGCGTTTTGTTAAATCTCATGCGTGTTGATTAAAATAAAGTTTTTTTAATGATAATCAGGTGATCAAACTGTCGGCGCCCACGGTGGAAATGTTTCATATGTCGTCCACTATAAATGATTTTTGATTTCGATAAATAATCAGTTTAAGTAAGTAAGCAAGCTGTCGATGTTTATGAATGAACAAATTAAGCGAGACAAATTGGCTTCGTGATTTTTTTCGAGCAAGATCGAAGTCGAACAAGAAAACACCATTTTCGGTAAATGAATGTAGGAAACATATTTTAAGTAATAAATATCTACAACAAAAGCACTTTGAACATTTTTACAAAATCGCGAGATCGGCAAATCTTTAACAGTCGACGAATACGCCACAGGAAATTGGATTATGAATTATTATCGTTTTCAGCTATATTTGCAGTTTATTTATTTGTTGACTTATTAAAATGAAGTGTTTGATGAACTTAAACTTGGCATAAAACGAAGATTGAAGATTTTAACTTGACACGATATCGTCAACAGATTATTTAGAAAGACGAGATTCCCACACGCTTGATTAAATTAAAAACATGAGATTATAAGATAATCTTCGATGATCAAAAGCAACGTGAAATTTTCCAACGAAACTCACATTCAGAGCTCTGGTTAGTTAGTTAGAAATTCCTACTTTCAAAAGTTATAAAAAATGCAAAAGATCAAAATAAATTTTTTATTTTTTTCTTCTGTTCTCGTCTTCGGGGCATTTTTTACTTGCACAATCTTTCTTGCTTTTTTTCTCCTTCTCTTTAACATGCATAATTCGCTTCAAGTTCATCTTTGATTCAAGCTGCTTCCATCCGATGTTTTCAGCTGCTGTCGTAAAATAATCTCGAAAAGCCGACTAATTAAAATCCAAAATCATTTGTAGGTGGAAGATTAAAAATATATAAAACTCATGATTTATGGCGATGTTAAAGCATCATTCATAAATATTCATGGCATAATTCCTTAAATAGATTTATTAAAGAATAAAAAATCATTGCATCATTACTACTGGTTGTTATTTGTCTGAGTCTTGTTTGTAAATGTTATGTTTAAATCTGTTAATTCAAGCAGTTTTTACTTCTCTTGAACATTTCCAATTTCCATCAAAAAATAAGAATGTGACGATGACGTTGACACATGGAGAAAAAGGAATTTGCAAACATTGTTAATTAGCTCAAATATCAATTTCAATTTCATGCACAACTCAACGAAAACGATCTTGAGAATCTTTTATTCAAATTACATTCATTTTGCAATGCAATTCACTTTGTGAGCGAATAAAAAACTGACGTTGACGGCTGTTTGGAAAATTTAAAGTAAATTTAATGGAATTATCACGTCAGTTTATATATGTGACATTTTTGAAATCCTTTCCTTTAAATTCTGTCTGAAGCTTTGACTAGAAGTGGTGATTAGAGATATTTATGACTGACTTAGTTTCATCGATAAATATTTATATCAATAAAGATGAAAAACGAAAGGTCATTTACTTGCTTTTTATCACAAATATTATTACTTTTATTATTATTATTAAGACACAAGGTAAACACACTCAAATTTGTACGATAAAGAAGAAAGGCCACAAAGCTACCAAAAAATTTGTTATCACAATTGACATACTTACATTCCTGTATTGATTAGAATGATTACGTCAGTCACCGTTCTTATTTTATATTAATTTCAATCATACATTCGTCAATGAGCACAATCAACAAATTGCGAGTGAAGAAGGAGAAGAAAATTCCAATCGTATGCCGTAATTGAAGTCTCCAATTTCATCCTTTTGAAAGGAAGGAAGAAATAAAGTCATGAAAAGCTTGATTAACTTTGATAAAACAATGAAACATTAAATTACATTACTGCCCATTTTAAAAACTTCAACAAAACGATTGATGATCGAAGAACGATTCTTGTTTCTGAAATAACTTTTTTCATTGCTTCAACTTCCATCGACTTGTTAAATAAGTAACATTTCACATTCACACTTTGGTGATCATTAAAGAATCAATAAGAATATGAAATGTAAACAATTAAGATGTTTATTGAATAGTTGCGTTTGTTCATTGGCTGCAGACCCGTCATGGGAAATCTGGTGCTACTTCTCATGATGTTTGGTTGATGATGGTAGTGAAACTATTTTTAACCATTAAATGTTGTCACAAGCATTCGTTTAGCTTTGGTTTACTTAAGGGAAGTGACAAACTTCTCTTTCTCGTTAAGTGCTCACATAACATCACAATTACATCATTTTCATACAACAAATCGAATACAACAAACACGAATTGAATTCATTGATCGATACTTTGATTTCATTTCTTTCCATTCTCTCTTTTTTGTTTTTTGGGGTCTGAAGTGGCAACACGCGAGCTTGTTAACATTTTTTCTATCGATTACTGAGTGTGACTATCATATTTATTTAATTTCGATTTGAATTTGTAGCAAGCGATTGATTGGGCAATAATTTGTCGCTTCTTTAAATTAGAAAATAATAATGAATAAGAAGAAGAAACTTCCAATCTGATTTAAGTAGAATTGCGATGATGAACTTCTGACTTTTAAAATCAGCTTGAAGTCATTTTGGGTTTGATGTTTATTTAACTTTAAGTTAAACCTTGCACAGCACCGCGGGATATTTAATTAAATTTAAATACATGTACGAGAGAGATAATTGATTGTAAAAAAAGGAATGGAAAAGTATAAATGATGCAATTAAAAATGGGATCGAATCGATTAAAAGTTGAATAATAAATCACGAGAATGAATTAGATCTTTAGTTATCTCGTCTTGTTTCTTCGTTTTGCAATTCATTCAAACATTTTATTCTTTTCTTGCTTCGATTTCAATGCAAGCTGATATGTGAGAAGAGAGAAATACAAATTACAACGCTAAGCGAAGCAACTCGGAACATGAAATCGTTATGAACATAAATCCTATTAATAAATGTATGAAAAGATCAAAAACTACAAAAAAAAAGCTAGCGAAAAAAGGAGGCGGGTAGGCGGGTGGTCGTGCGGCGCATTTAATGCTTGACATTGATCCATAATCTAAGAGAGAGAGACAATTGAACAAAGAACATTTACATATCATCAACACCATAATTTGATTCAGTTCTCCGAACCTTGCAATGCATGATTTCATTTTATTTATTTATGGCGATGATGAGAAAGAAAATTAATTCAACAGACGTGGTCGATGGATAAGAAATTGCCAACAATTTTTATGCACTCCTCGTCGGTTGTCTTGTCTTGTCTTCTTACTGCTTTACTTCTCTGCTTCTTTATTCTGAAATCCATCATAAAAATTGGTTTTGATGGAATTTTTGGCTATAAATGAGAAAATAAATCCTCGACCGTCCTTTCGTCTCGTTTCTTGACTCGAAACAAGACAATACACAAGAAGTAAAAATACAAGAAGTGAATAAGAATAATCATGTTTCATGGCTTTTTTTCTCTTTCTCCATACTCTCACTCACTCACTTTTGGTCTTGCGAAGCGAGGCAAATAAAATCCTTTGGTATTAGACTCGTAATCCCACTTTTCAAAACGCAGCATGAACTTTTCTTCTCTTGATGGCTCTTCAGAACTTTTCTTCACTTTATTTCAAGCTTTATTTGTCCCCCTCGTCTTCTCTTCTCTGAATAATTCGCCACTCTCAGATGAATCAAAGAAATCAAATAAATCACAATTCAAAGCAATGATGGTAAACTTTGCCAAAACGCTTATGACCCGAAAAAATTGATCCGTGCTCGCCAATTAGCAGATGATTTTTATTGTCGACGACATGATGAAGAAGAAGAAGAAGATTTTTTCTTTTTTTTCGCATGCTTTTGGACAAACTTTCATTAGCATAAGTCGAGCACGAGAAGACCATTTTTCCACCCACAAATCTCTTTTCAGTTCGCTTGTCTTTCTTTCTTTTTTGTCTTGCTTCTCATGCAACACCGTAAAAGGGCGAATAAGAAATTATAAATTTGAATCACGTTCCGTAAATTTCTCGATGTTTGTTCTTAAATAACATTTTCTTTTCTGTTTTTCTGTCGATAGGAAAAGCACTTTGTCGATGCAAAAAATTGTCGAGTCTTAAATCTTTCTCGACTTTCTTTCTTTCTTTTCCTTATGATGTAAAAGGAGATTTCAGAATTTTGTCATTGCACGAGACAATGTAAGAGAGTTGGGAAAGAGTGATGACATTAGCAATGCTTGTCTATCCTACGAAAGTACGAAAGACAATATATTTTCATAAAAGAAGAGAAAACGATTCATATTTTTGCGTGTTCATGAAGCTGCTAGGCATCGGACAAAAATAAAAGAAGAAAAATGAAGTCTTAATCCTCTGACCGACATTAAAACATTAGACAATACCAAAAGTCGGGCACAGGGAAGAGGGCATCATCATTAATGATATTCGTTTAGCAAGATAATGAATATTATTACACTTTCTGACTTTCTTCTTCTGTTGTTGATGTTCGTGGAACGTGTCGTGTCTTCAGTTATTCTCAGGAGAAAAGACTTAATCACCATATAAAGAGCTAATGGAGAATATCTGAAGAAGGTTCAAGGATATTTAGCATAACTTTAAGGCGCTACTTACCCTATTTTGAACACTGGAAATTCCGGGATTTTCCAAGATTTTCCAGAAGTCTCCAAAAAGTTCAAAATTCAAATTATAAATTTTCGTTAATTCTATTCTCAATTTCACTGAATATGAAAATAATTTATAATGAAATCAAATATCATTTATCACCATCATTTAGATATCAAATTACATCAAACATCCTTTGTTTAATTAATTCACTTCTAATGACCTTTTTTATTTGTTTGCGTCATATTGAATGGACTTGAATTACGGAGCAGAGACAAAAGATGGAAAATGTCTCTTGATAGCATAATCCATCGCCGCCTTCATTATATTGGATTGCTGTCACAATAAAGATAGAAACAAAAGATTGAATCATCTGAAGTTTTCGTCACGGGAGTGTGGTAATATTTACAAATGAATTAAAAGATTGTTTCATTTTATGAAAAGCCATTAAAGATTTTAGATGATGCCCTCTTGACTTCGATGATTTATTCATGTTCGCATATATTACAATAAAAATGATGAATTATTTTTCATTATTAAAAATCGAAAGAGCGAGAATGAATAGCTGAGTATAATATGTTAATGTCCAGCTTTGCAACAGCGAACATGAATATTCTTGAAAAAGAAAAATGAAGAATCTTAAGTGGCAATTTATTAGATAAAAACAGAAGTTGTTGAAAAGGAACTAAGCATGAACATATTTTTTCCTTCTCACTGTTACAGATCAGAATCCCGACAGTTAGCGATTTATCAATCGACATTAAGGAAAATTAATATTTTTTACAGCTTCGTCTTCAAACTCAATTTAGTTAAAAAGCATCACGAGTTAAGTTTTTTTTTATAGAATGTGATAATTTAAATGTGACATGCTGGAAGTCGTCAACTCTTCTTTCGTAATCTTGTAAATCGTTAGAACGATCTACATTTATTTCAACTGTTTTCCTTAAATTGATTTCAGTGAAGACAAATTTAATCTGTTCGAAAACTAAGTGATCCCAAGGCAGCAGAAGCCCACGATGACAATTTCATCTTCAGCATTAGAAAATTTATTGTTATTGTACCTGTTATTTATATCTCATGTTTCGCTCTTTTCCTCAAAACCAAAATCGGTTTAAAAAAGATTTTTTTTTTGTTTGGACGTCAAAATCTCTTTTTTCTTTCTTCTTCTTCATGGCAATGACATAACTAAGACTTAAAGGTAGATTGTTGTATGGCACGATTTTATAGACAAATAAAAATAAAAGAAGTTTCGATTTCATTTGACATGATAGCAATGTTAGTGCTTGAAGATGTTTAAAGGCCGTCAAGTGGGTGACTGTGCTCGAAATCGTCTTTTTATAGGTGAAAAACAATAAAATCTTAAGATCTTCAACTTTAAGTCGTTCTTCCAAATCTACAAACTGATATGAAATATTTTTCTAGCCACCCATAAGTTGCCACATAAATTACAAGTCTATGGCCAATAATTTGCACATTTAAAAGATTCTTAAAATGGGATTAACAAGTCTTAGGATGAATCCGAAGTAGTAGCAATCTAGTAGTCACTTGTTGATTGATGATCATGATATTGATTGATCTGTCGACGATAAAGGTCAATTTATAAAAATAAAAATAAAAATTTCTTAATCGAATGGAAGCATCGATCGACACTTAAAAGTAAAAGATGAAAAATTTTATTGCGTGTAAGATCATAAAAGAAAACTTAAAAGATTCTCGTCTGCAATCGTTTATTCAACACTTGGATTATTTATTATAAGAAATTATAAAATCACCCGCTTCATGGTCATTCACATAGTCGTTTTAAGTATTTTCAATATGTGAACGATTGTGCAATAAAAATGAAATCCACCCGAAAATAAAAAGAAAATTATTAATATTTTAGATATATTCAAAAGCGAGACGATGAATGTAGATAGATATGTGAAAACCACATGATGACTATACGCGCTCCAGTCTCCCATTCATCATCCGAAGGCACTTAAAGCGAAGAGATGGGAAATGTTTTCATTTAAATTAAGTGTGTTTAATTGATGTTGTGAAACGCGATATTTTCTCTGTTATCTCTGGGAATGTGTGAACTGCAGGCGCGTTGCTATGCTATTGACGATGCTGTCGCGCGCATTGCTTTCTAATTTCAACAAAAATTAATTTTTATTTTGATGCCCAAACCCACGGAGATGCGACAGAAAATATAAGAAGAATGAATGTCGGTTGGATTATTTTTCAGATCTGATCTCATTTATAAAACTTCTTCAACGATGATTCATGAAGCGAAAAGAAGTTTTTTTGTTTTGCGAATTAATTTTTCTATGGTTAAGATTTTTTTAGTTGCCAAGATGAAGTGTTTAGATTTAGCTGCTAAAAATTTATCGACATCGCATGTGTGTTTGCTTTGCTTTGTTTGTCTTACGAATGATAAAAATTAGATGAAGAAGGAATAAGATTGAAGCATCTGATTCGATTATGAATTTGATATTCTGATGGCTGCAAATTAATCAAATTAGCTTTGTGACTCATTTCTGTGACTAAAGAAATTTATGAAGTGTTAAGACATCCATAAATCGCTAAGCATTCCCCAGAATAAAATTTATTACTCGGCAAATAAATCAGCGGAGAGTTTTTTCAAGGTCTTAAAATATTTTCTTATTTTTGAATATTAATTTCATCCTCCACACGGTGGCGAATGGTCCTAGAAAAGAAAATAAAGTTAATTAGATAAACACAGAAGCTATCTAAAACGATGCCGAGATGATCAACGACAAGATTCAAAATGAATTAAATTTTTCCATCTCGTCTCGATCTTCTTTCTTTTTTTATATTTTCTAACCGACTTATCTCTAAAGAGAAGAACAATATTTAATTCAGCAAATTAGCTGTCATGTTAGACATTGACAAAGCCTCTCCATTACCCGTTTTAAAGCCGTCCTAAAGCCCATCAACATGATCGCATCCCACATTAAAAAGATAAAATTTCATCTCACGACCCTCAGTCGCTGGTGTTAATTAAAAGTTATGTTACGACGACGCGACATACTCTCGGAAGCGAAATGAACCGGTGAAAAAATTTACATTTTTAATTCTCGTCTTTCTTTTCAATTTTCAAGCTTGGACTGATCGCAAAGCGTGGGAGGATCGATACTCGTTATCTTTAAACACTTAAGAGAATATTTTGCGATGATTTACTCGAACTTGTTAATCATTTTAAATGAGAAAGTGTTTGAAATGTAATTGAGAAAACAGACATTTGGAGACAGATTGCTGTCAGCAAAATGTCGCGTTCGGACATGAAACTCAAAACCAAAGCATTTAAAATTTTTTTCTTTATTTTTTTAAAATTTCTCATAAAAATTTCAATCGTTGTCTGGATGGCTGCCTGTTGGCTTTTTAAAGAGAGATTAAAAATTATAAATGCATTCATATAAACGAGCCAATGATTAATAATTGAAAAGCAAGTCTTTTATAAATTGATTTTGATTAAAATGAGTTATGTGTTGAAGAAGGGTGACCAGATTAGTTATTTGAGAGATTAGAAAATATTTTATTCACATAATCTGGTCATCGTTTGAAATGAACTTTAATTTGATGCCCATATCACTAATAAACTTCACTCTGCATTTGTTGAGTCGTGCATAGAAAATTGATCAATTTTTCTTTATTATCTGTGACGTAGTCAATGCACTGAAACTTGTTTAAAAATCAATTTCTGTTCTCAGTTTAATTCGATGTAACAGTTACCGGATGAATAAGCTTTCAACATAATCTCCACTTGTTGCTTACTTAAGAAGTTCTTTCCTTCGTTTAATTCTTTTGAGTGCTCATTAACATCTTGTGGGGTTTTTTAAGGAAGGAATTTGCGAAGGAAGAAGAAAGAAAAACTCGAATTTGTTCTTTGGATTTACTTTGAGTGCTTCTTTTTGCCTTCAATCTTCTTCTCTCCTACCGTTCAATGTTTACATCAATATTTCGATGACATTTTCGTCACTGACATCGAGAGTAAGATTAAGTCGTGAGATTTCAACTTTAAGAAATCATTTTTTATTCCATTTTTATCTTAAAAGATGTTTACTTTACGGAAAGTAATCTCATACCAAAAACGATCACGTTTCATTCACGAGAAAGTCGTCTTATAAATTACGTCATAAGAACGGAATAAAGTGAATTGAGATGAAAACTTTGCTCTCAATATTAACATAATAACAGTAATTTCTTGTCTTAGCAATTCATTATGTTGTTGATCATGACGACGATATGCAAATAAACTTGCGCTTTACATTCGTTCAATTCGTTAAAACGCGAAGAAATAAAACCTTGGAATTTCTTTCATGTCCATTTCAAGAAGTTCAATTATTGAATTTTTGTATTTTTCTGTCTTTCACGCCTTCACATTTATTTCTTGCTTTTGTATTTATTTAAAATTATTTGAAATGTGCTAATGTCATCAATTTGCACTCCTTTATAGAGTTGCAATTTGTCATTCGACTTCACGTAAATCTTTCATATAAAACACTCAATGAATAAAATTGGGATGAGATTCTATTTCATCAGAATTCATAATAAATGCTTCAAGATGTTTACATCACAGATATTTCTTCTAATTTATGAACGATCCCCAATAGCTGATATTTCTAAACAACAAACCGCAAAAATAAATGTCTCGTGTGGTTTTTATCTTAATTTATTGCAACAAAACAGTGAAGAATGAAAGACATGGAAAAATAAAATAAAAATCCATTAAACATTATGCAGTTCTCTTATTCATAAAATGATTTTTTTTATTATTTTCATCGTACAATAGAGACAACCTTTTGACTTCTCCCTGTCACATCAACCATAAAATATTTACTCGTTGTTTCAAGCCGTTTTTTTATTTCGTCTCCTTCCCAGTTAAGTTATACATGTACACATGAGCGAGCATATATTTACTTTAATCTTGTGCCATGAAATATTTCTCTAACTTAAGTTACTGACTGTGAATCATCTGGTTAAGTTAAAAGGGAAAAGAAAAAGAGTTGAACGTTGCGAAAGATATTGCAATGAAACGGTGATCATGCTATGTATGAATTTTAAAGTGCTTTCAGATTTAAGTCAATAAACTTTTCATTTCTGCTCGTGTCAGCAAACTTCTTTTGAAGTAAAAGAAAATCACATTTTAACTTGCGATATTTGAAACTGTTTCGTGGAAGAAGTTTATTTATGCAAACGTCGCCAATTGTTAACACGACAAATTGCATTCCTAAACTTATATGATGAATTATTATTCAACAAGCAAGCATTTTGTGATAACGTTTGTTGAGCTAACACTTCAACAAGTACTTTGAACAACAAAACAAAAACGTGTCGAAAGTTTTGTCAAGTTCAAGCCTTTTTTTGATGTTCATCGGAGAGTCAGAGAATGTGTTTGTCTGTTTGTGTAGCACAGATCTGGAGGGAAAACAAACAAAACAAAAAATGCTGTTANGTCGAAAGTTTTTTTTTTTTTTTTTTTGATTCAACTTATTTATAGTGGTTTGAGCTTGTAGCCATTTCCCCACTTGTTACTAATAGTAACTATCTGTATATATTTATACTAAAGGGCCGAAGTATCTAAACTTCACTCTACTTCATGACCAAGTCGGGGTTCGAACCCGGGACGTATGAATTGTACGCCCGACTCCAAGCGACTTAAGCCAATGAGGCTATTTGACCCCTTTAATGTCGAAAGTTTTGTCAAGTTCAAGCCTTTTTTTTTGATGTTCATCGGAGAGTCAGAGAATGTGTTTGTCTGTTTGTGTAGCACAGATCTGGAGGGAAAACAAACAAAACAAAAAATGCTGTTAAGCATTGATAACAAGTTGTAAAAAAACATCATTTCTTATGACTTACAAAGAATGTTTTAGAGTTACAGAATTTAAGTGTTTTGTTATGTCGCGACTTGAGTGTTGGGATAAATTGTGTAATAAGCCGACTACTGTCTTCATCTGAATTCAATTTAAATGAAGTTATTGATGGAGTGTGAGAGGAAATGTTTCGAGAAAATTTTCTATTTTCATCTCAGATAACTTCTTAAAATTTGTGCATCATTTTCAGGCGTAAACTTTGAAATATTTTTATATCCAAACAACTCAACATATCAAAATCGAGGATAAAAATATCAAAAGAAAACGTGAAATTTCTCTTAATTTTCCGCTAAACATTTTCGTTCTTATTTTATTAAGCAACAATTGAATTGAATTAGCTTTGCCATTCTAAACGTTTTGAGTGAGGTCGTTTTTCAACATCTTAACTAATATTAAGACTTTCATCACGAAAAACTCATTTATCAATAGACAACAAACAAAACACGAATGATTGATTTGCGGTGGTCAACGACTTTAGATTTTAGACATCTCAAAGCGTCAAAGAAGTTTTTTTGCAACAAAACGCCTGACACAATATTATTGTAATGATCAATGATTGATATTCGACATTTACATGAAAATGTTTATCTAGAACACGTGAATGAAGATGAAGAAATAAAGTCTGTCGTGCATGTCGGCATCGGCGGCACTTTTCTTCTTTTTCTTCCTCGTTTTTCTTGTTTAACAATCGCAATGTGAATTTTGGCAGTTTGATACGAAAACTTGAAAAAAGTTTTGTGCCAATGTTGAAGCTTCAACTAGTCGAATTGTTTGATCGTACGCCAAACTTACATATTTACATCTCAAACACTTATTGATTGTTATTACTACAATGTATGTAACACATATGAATGTCAGTAAAATGATGTCACATGCTGTGTGCTTTATCTCCATCGTTTGCCCTTTTCAACTGAGTCGGAACTATTGGGTTTGATGAAATTGAGATTTTGACCCTCAGATTTAAAACACGCTTCAACATTCATTTGCATAAATTTCTGTAATTGATTTCAGACAATATGATGTCATAGACCGAGACTACCTATAGTCATAGACCCATTATCATTCTCATCTTGTCTTCATTCACAAATTAAATACTCGTTTTATTTCTTCGTTGATCATCTCCCTCGCTTTGTGCTCGTGCTTTTGTCTACCCAAATTGTTCAGCATACGCTTGATTAAGTTTTTAAAATATGGATGTTTACAATGAACAAGAGCGCTTTAAATGTTTCTATTGCTACTACAACAATCGACATTTTCTTCACAAATTTATCTCATTCTTAATGGCTTTGCTGTTTGTTTTAAAACGTGAAATATTCGATCCCGAAAACCCGAATCATTCGACGAATGCATAGATTTGAGGTGGGGAAAGCCTGAAAACTTTTGATTATTTTCTCACAGCAATGTTTAAAGAATCGTAACATAAACCACACAACTTGATTCATGCGTTTTGCATGAACAACCCAGGGAATAGCCTTAAATCTGAATGTTTACAACGCCCCAGCATTTCTAACTTAAATATTGATCTAAGCGAAACAGTTAAAAGTTTCAAATGTATCTGCAAAATTTTTTCTGACGGATAAATTAGCACACTTTTCGGTTTTCAGTTTCACATAAAAGAAAAAAGAACTTTAAATAAGATTGAGTGCAGACATAAAGTTTCCAACATGTAAAATGTAAGTTAAAGCTGAATGAATATCCGCAAAATTTTCCGGGTTTAGATGGTGCGAAAAAATAAATGTTCGCAACGCAAATTATTTGTGACTATAAAAATTACAATGTGACGCTCTCCATGTGTCAACCTTCTGTCATCTTCCATTTCTCAAACGATAAAATGTATTAAAATGACAGCATAATAAAACAAAGATGTTCTGACTATTTCGCCAAAGTATCTAGTTGTGAATCTACCGGTTCGTTAACATCTGGCGGTATTAAATAATGTGTTCGCGATCTTCCCGAAAATATAAACTCGAACGATGATGTCTAAAAATAGATTTTCGTGTTTTAAGTTAGTTTCAGGAAGGCAAGGTTTGTTCTCGTTTTATTTATATTCACAGTTCTCACTTTTGACTCATAAATTCGATTACTTCAAGTGAAACCACGTGATTGCAAAGAAATTTATTTCTGAGATAATTAATTTTGAAAAGAAATCAAATCATTTTCCGGTTGATAAGTAATCGATATCTATTTTCATTATGTTTCAAGGGAAATCTAATTATCTACTTCTCTTGATAAATATGCCTTGTTGCTATCCCGTTGTTTACAAATCAACCAATAATTAAAAAGGGTTTTCTTCCCTTGTTTACAATTAGATTTTGTTTTAAATTGAATTAACTGGAAAGCTGCAATAGCAAACGACATTTAGAATGAATCTGCTTTCACTTGAATATTGCGTAAGCCTGGAATGAGTTATTAATGTTAGACGTTGAATAATTTTATCGTCTTAAATAGAATCAAAGAAAATCTAAATTAATAATTAAGCCATAAAAGAGTAGAACGTGGTTATTCTGTAAACACAAAGCGTACCGATGATGACGGTCGTGATAATCCTCCGGCAATGCTTCATAAGAAAATTGAACAAAGCATGCGGAGATTATTCTTACTAATCGTAGGCTTAACTGAAACGTCAAAACACTTTCGTTACTGTTTATTCTTAATCAAGAATGAAAGATCTTGTAAGTGAAGAAAAAGTGAAAAATGCCGTCTAATTATATTTAGCAATGATTTACATGTTAAACACAGATCAGGCATTTGGGTTAAGAATCTATAATTAGCCTTCGTTACTTTCTTAGCCGTCTTAACATGCGACTACACGAGATTCCCTCAATGAAAGTGAAGGTGACGTGCCACAAAGAAGAAAATGAGAGAAAATCTAACGACAAGAAAATGTAAATCACGATGAATCAACATCTGCTGAGTGTATCGATGATCTCAAGCATTTTTCAAACGAATGTTAAAGTGAATTTGAGTGTTTCACGATCATGAAAATTTTTGTTGCATGAAATATGTTTAATTAATGTTATTATGGCTTTTGCAAATTTACAACTTTTATTTATTTTTTGGGTTTCGTTTATGGTTTCATGAAATTCTGTAGACGAAGAAGAACTTTTATTGAGCGATTTTGAAGCCACAACAAAGTTGAATGAAGTCATTACTTAATTATTTTTAAAACAGAGTTTTTCTTGGCTTTGTATTTTCAACATTTTTCGGTTTATTCGATAATTAAGCAAAAATGAGTCTGGTTATTAATTGACGAGCACAGCAATTGCAGTCACACAGTTTTAATGTTCATTTAGAAAAGTTGTGCAATTTTACAACGAACGAATGATGATGAATCGTTGGAGGGAACATGTAACCAAATAGGGAAAGAACTGACGATTAGAATCAATTTAAAGAACAAAAACCTTTTTGTAATTAAAATAAATTGGAAACTGAATGATGATGTCAGTGATTGCAACATGTCAAGACGATTTGAAATTAAAAACTGCCTCACTTTCGTGTTAATGTTATGTTAGAGTCGCAAAACAAGTTTCATTGGCACTTCAAACACGTTTCAATCGTAAAATGTCGCGTATACTTTATGACTCCTTCAAACTAAAGCGAAGTCGATTGAAGAGTTTGGTTTTTGGCTCTTGAAATGTGTTCATATCCCACGCAATGTTTTGCTGACCGTAACGGATTGTAAATTCCATGACGACAGTTACCAACATAAATTTATGTTGAGAATTATTCATCATCAACGCTGTTCAGAGATGTTAAAAGTTTAATGAGTTTAATTTTTTTACTTGACTAAATATGTTGTATGTTTGTAACACAAATTAGTATTGATGATGATTTCAGAACCAAATATTATTAAGTCATTTAATAAAACAATAAAAATTCCTACACAGTTTTACAACGCAAATGAAAATTCATTTTAGAGTGATTAAAACATGCTCTAGAAAGCTTGAACCATAAAATATCCATTAATCTCTATTTTATGTGTTTTTATTTGAATTTCGAATGCTTCAAAATCTTTTTCATCTTCGATACAAGATAAACATATTTATCCTCATAACATTTAATAGCCCTGGTTGAAAATCACAAAGTCGTGAAAGAATCAAAAACCACAAAGAATTTCGTCGCTCTTGAACTTTATGCTTGAAAACATTTTAATGAGATGAATGCAGAAAAAAGAAACTCATCATAAATTATGCATAAAAAAGTGACGATTTTTCATACTCAACATTTATGAAAAGATGCATGTCTGGGCCACATCATTAACGAGTCTCATTGCCAAAATATTTTTCTTCATAACATTCTGCTGACTTCGCATTTAGAATGTAACCATGTGAACTCTTTCTTCCTTCTCTTTGCTACTTTAATTTACGCTTTCGCATTTCCTAAACACTCCGAAAACATTGTTCAACAAACAAGTAGAAAAAAAAAATCTTAAAATAATTGATTGGGTTTCATGTTTCGCAATTAAAATGTTCAGATAATGAAGTATGAAATAAATATTATCAAAGTTTAATTGTTGTTGAAATCTAGGTAAGCAGACCATCATTGTTATGATATTCTATTTTGTTGTTGTTACTTTAACGACCTTGACAATAGTTAAAGTGATTTATATAATCAAAGGCAAAACCAATGGGATTTTAAAGACTCATTATTTAAATTTTCATTTTCTATGGCGTCTAATTAAATAAACTTTCAAATGTTTACAGTCCTAAAATGTTGTCCAATTAATCAACCCACGCTGTTGACATTTATCTTCAAATCATTCACATCAAATACTTCTAAATTAAATCCTAATTGTGTTCATTTTTGGGTGCGTTACGTTACGATTCATTTCATTATGAAAAGTCAACTTTTTTCTCTTTTTTTTTCATTTAAATGCAAATCAAGTCACGTTGAATAAATAGCAAACTAAACTTCACTACTTATGATGCGACAAGTTGCAATGATTCAGTGTTACTGCATATAAGCAAACAGATTAAGTGCTGCTACTCGTGATGAAAGTCATCGATCATTTTCACAACTGGTGTCACTGTTAAGCCACGTTCGTGTAGGTTGATCATTAAGCATGAGAGCCACTCAAGAATTCTTCGAATTCAAAGAAAATCTCTTGACATTTCTGGATTTTAAATGGTTGAAAACTTCAAAGCAAAAAGGAAATCTCAACGCTCCGTAATGAACTTTTATTCAAAAGAAATTCGCACGGATCATGTAGCTTATTGTCTTGTTCTTTCTAAAATAAAAAATCATTGAAATTAGCATAAAAGAAGAAAGAAAGAAAGAAGATTACTAAGTCGACATGCATTTGAATTGAAAGATTAAGTGTAGGCGGGCAAAAATCCGCAAGAGAATAAAGAAAAGAATAAAAAGAACTTGAAGTAGGAAGAGAACAATTGAGAATAATGAGAGATGGGGCAGTATAAAGCACACCGTCGTGTTATGTCACAAGCAATTTAAACTGAGAATGACATTGTACTTTTACATATACGCTTATTTATTGGCATATGACCCTGAAAATGAAATTGCTATTCGTGAGACAATGCAAATTAAGGATGAGGCATGTAGGTATTTATGTTATCAGGTCAAACGACTTCCGTGCGATATAATATTAAACATTAGAATATTCTTTCAACTCTAAACGTCTGACGTATGAATGTAAATCGTGTTCAAAGACTTTTTCATTAAAGTCATAAATATCTATTATAAAGTTCAGAAGCTGAGTAGAAATTTGTTAAGGCGATTTTCATGATTTTTGGATTTATTTTAGATAATTCTACAGTCAAATGATAAATAAACATGAAAAGAATTTTTAAAATTATTTGAATGTGTCAATCAAAAGCAAACCTTCAAAAGCCTTGAACTTTGTGCATTCGATTATGAAGTTCAAATTCATAAAAATATCATAATTATAGTAAGTTAAAATACTTTTCCGTTGTGCAATAATAGCCTCGCAAACGATGTTATAAAACATATCAATGTTCCGCAATGTTCATTTCACGATTCGGAAAAAGACTCGACGATATTGGGATCACGTTTCAGGAGGGATTTTCTATGGTATCATATTTTAAGTGGAAAAATTATTACATTTTCGTTGCCTGTCATGGATATTTACATTCTTAAAGCTATGCTTTAATGTGTTGGTTCTGCTTGTGTAGTAAAACGTCTTCGCTTTCTTCCTATGGACAGGTTAATATTTAATTTTAGGGAGAAGAAAACGAAGATGTCAATATGGGTCAATGATATTTTGAGTGATGGCAATGATTAGATTACATCATGATGAAGATTCTTTCAAGCGTCGAAACTTGTCTCCCTTCACGGACTTTTGAACTCTCTTTAAGTAAAAGAAACCTTTTTTTTCTTCACCACAACTGAACCCTTCACTCTCCGGAAAAGACAACGACGAAGAAAAAAATTTCCTTAAACTTTATCACAATTACCATGAAGAAGACATCGTTGAGGAAGAAAACAGAGAAACAACAACGAAAATTGCTACAGCGTGTGCTGCATCGACAATGAGCGGACGGAAGAATTCTCAGCTTTCATAAATGCTTTATAATGTCTTCAAGTTGTCACTAAAGTCAACTTCGTCAATTTTTCGATATTTAGTGTCGATTAATTTTAAACTATTTTATTCGAACTTTAATCATTTTTATTACATCATCAATTAAACATTTCAAAAAAACTGAATAGCTTGTCACTAAGAGACGGAACAAACTTATTTCGATTGAAAAAATATCAAAATGAGAAACATATGTTGAGCCATTGTTTAAATTGATTTTTAAACGGAGCCATCGACCACTTCACATCATTCTCGTGGTCGAATTGATTAAAATTTGAATAAAGTAAAGAATCGAATGAAAAGGCGAAGAGTTATTAATTGTTTACGGATTTTTTCGGTTAATTGATGTGAGTGAAAAGGTCAATGGTTGTCAAAATGATTTATTGAAAAATTAACAATTTAAACTTTATCATCACGCCTTTGGTATTGTCATCATGGTGTAAAGAATATTTGTTACTTCTTTATAAGAAGAAGGAAAGATATTCATCATTAACTATCTTGAGTACCGGCTGCTTCTTTCATTCATTCATCCATTCATTTGAAAAGCGATACAAGTAACATCAAGTGTCGTTTGAGTCTAAACATGAGCATCACTCAATGCAATGTTGAGAAATAAACAATGAGAGTTTGTTAAGAGGAAGACAAAAAAAGATTAAAGATATCTTCGGTGATGTAAAGTTGACTGAAAGGCTCAAGGAATGAAGTTCATTGAAGTGTAAGTTGATTCCCATCGTGTGATTTTGAAAGTAGCTTTCGGTGGCTTAAACTAAGAGGAAATGAATAGTCAAGTTGAAAGTTCAATTGAAGAATTCCGCATATAGAAGTTAACGACCGAATTATGTAAATGACATCGATTATTGAGTGCAACAGTTTTGGTTTATTTATAATTTTCAAAGGAGGTTTAATTTCAATGTTGTTAACATTGACACATGCTATGAGATTTAAATGACAATATCGGGAAACCTTAAACTTACTTACACGTAAATAAAACTCTTGAAAAGAGAAGGAAGCGCGACATAACAACATAAAAATGACGGGAAAAGTACATCGGATGAATGTCAATTGACAATTTGAATCTTTTTCATGTTGAAAGCTTAACTATGTATCTGAAAATGCCCTCGATTGTTTTGTCTGTCGACAACGATATTATGATGACATCAAACATGTTTCACCCTCAAAATCTTCTCTCCCTTCAAGAGATTTGTTTGCATAACTTCGTAGAGAACAGTTTTGTGAGGGTGGAATGAAAGGAACAAGCAACATTAAATCTCACCACACGTTCTGAATTTTTTATGTGGGAAAATCTTTAAAACTTCCCCGTCTTGCTTCAAAAATATTTCGAATTCCCAATCAATTCTTTCATCGTCATAAAATTGCAACAAAAACTTCTTTTTTCTTGTTTTGATTTCATACGAAAAGAGAATGAAGATGTTTAAAGTTCATGATCTCACACACAAGTTTTTATCGTTGTGCGATATGATTTTATGGCCTTCAATTACGTGATGATTATTGCGATGCATTACGTAATCGTTTAACCGATCCTCAAGCGATATGAATTGAGAATATCAAACGAAATGTTCACGTTTTTCTGATTCAATTATTTATCATTATCGAAGTTTTAATGTTTAACTTTGACAATAAGAGAAAGTGAGATATTTATGACAAATATTTGATGGAATGTTGAGTCGGATTGTAAAACCATTCAACATAGAAAAATTGTGACTGAAAGATGCAAAAATGTGGGCGTGGAAAAATCAACGACGAGTTCGTCGTATTGAAAACGTATCGATGCGTGAAAGAAAGGGCAAAGCATAAGAAAACATAATGCATCGGATATTTAGCTTTATTTTATGATGTTTTAAAAAGAAATGGGCTATTGGAAATCATGTTGATCGGGAGGTGAAATGTGTGTTAATGGGCATTAAACACCTTTACAAAGCATCTCTGTCTACAGTTGAGATTCTTTTGTGTTATTGCATCAACTGAACGTCATGCTGCGCATTAAATAATTTGAAGTTTTTCTGTACTTAAAATCACCATGAAATATTTATTTAAGAAATTGAAAGGAATAATAACGAAGACACCATGAAAATTAGTCGTTTATTTCAGGTGGAGATGTTTTAATTTATGTTAATATGGTTAAGCAACGGAATAATTTATTTATTTAAATGAAACGACAAACAAAGATAACTTCGAGGGAAAACATAAACACATGAGTTAAAAATGAAAACATAAAAGGGAAAAACATAAAACATAATTATTTGATTACTTGTCATTTGCATTATAGATCGAAAAGCGCGTGGCGAAGAGAGTTAAAAAGAAAATTGAAAACGATTCGATCGCCGTTAGTTTGTGATTTCAAGTTAAGCGACTTTTTAACTGATGAGGTTTCCTTTTCATTGTCAAACATAAACAACAGCAATATAAAGGCAATTAACATTTAAAAAAGACTCATAAGGCGATGATTTATTGGTGGTTGCGCTTGTTAAAACATTTTTTACAACTTTGTCATGAATTTTAAGGGTTTTACGACATCGATAACTGATCTTTTGTTTTGAATATTTATTGATTTTTCTTTGTTTTAAGGTTTAATGATCATTGATTTAATTAATAACTCGATTGTGTAACTTTTTTTTCTTTCTTCTTCCAGAAGCCCGATGCAGATTTGACGTTTGATGACAGCTTAGGAAACGTCTTAAGTGATGGAAAAGTTTCTAATCATGTGAATGAAAATTCGAGGACAAAATTAGTTAGTAAACGTAGTGTAAGTGATGATAGCGATAAGCTCAAAGTAAATGATAATCAAAATGAAAGTGATCAGAGTTGGTTGAGTCGTATGAAGCGCAGCTTCTCAAGTTTTTTCACGAAAGGCGATGATAAAATTGTTGAAAAGCGTGACTCAAATGAAAAGTTGAAGGATATCAACAAGAACGATATAAAGTTGGAAGATTTGAATATGGAATATAAAAATCCGATCAGAAGAAGACGACAATACGAAGATGAAGAAGATGATGATGAAGATAATGAAATAGCTTCGGGAGATCATGATACGACGCCAGATCCTGATCCAATTACACCACTCATAACAGTTAAAGATGACAAATACTGTAAGCATATAATACATAAGGTTATAAAATATTTTTTAATATGAAATTTCCGTAATTTTCATTCATAAATATAGTCCGATTAAAATTGACGGTAAAAGAAATTTGGAATGATAATTTCAAGGACAAAAGTAGCACAGAATTCATAGAGCTCGCTAAAGCATTGAAAGATGACATCGAATTATTGTATGAGCAGCAGAATAATGAGGGAACAACTATCATGGCTCAAGTTGTTCAAGTGCGGTAAGAAGAAAAAAGTTAACTTTTCATTCATAGATGGCGCATGACGTCCAGAGCCATCTTGTGATGGGATTTTTAACTTATATTTTCAATTTACTTTTAGTAAAACTGACGACATATTTGAAATTTATGTGACAATTGACATCGCTGCTGAAGCTAATAAAATCAACGGCAATGAACTCCGCGACATCATTTACAATGAAGTCAAGGAATATCATAAAATCGGCTCCCAAACAATCGACTTGAAAGAGTTTTATATAACAAACTTGGAAGGTAAATTAAAGTATTCTCTTTTCTCAATCTTCCTGCTTTCCTTCTTAAAGTATGTTCATCATTGGGAGTTGACACCATTCATTGCTTAATGCTGAGTTTCGTCTAATTTCATTCTTTATTTGTTTCCTTTTTTCTCTTTGATTTCTTTTACAATTCGCTTAATTTCTGTTGAAAAATAATGCTTTGTTTAAAAAAAAAAATGAAAACTCGTGTTGTAAACGCAATCTCAGGCTATGCAAAAGGTGAACAAGAATATAATGCATCACCTATTGTCGCTGATTCAGAAGAAAATGAAAATGAAATCGAAGAAGATGTGGAGCCGGAAGATTATGAAGGCGAACGATGTTCCGAGGATCAATTCACATGTAAAAACTCACAATGCATTTCTGTTGATCAACGTTGTGATGGAAAACAACATTGTAGTGATGGATCTGATGAATTAAACTGCGCAATTAGCAAACCATCAGGTGATTAGTTATTTGCGTTCAGGCTTTGTTATGCTTTTCACTCCCGGCCGAGTGACCGTGAAACTGGTGAAGGTTTTCAAAATCTAATGAAACAGAGAAAAGAGTTCATTCAACTGTAAATATAAAAAAAAATTAATAATTGAATGTTCTCCGATTGTAAATATTTTTAATGCTCGCTCGCTTTGCTGTGTAAAAAAAACAACTGAAAAACAGGAATTAATCTAGATTATGGGCAACAGTAAGTTTCCATCATGGTGTTGTGACTGTTTCATTGAAAATTTCATGTCTGATGAGAAACTTATAATCTGTTGTGAAACACAGTGAGAAAAATATTGTTGCATAACTTTCTTCAAGCTTTAAAGTTCTTTGTAAGTTTTTGCAATATTTTCGCTCAGTGTTGACAATTAAAAAAGCTAAAATTTTAACATTTCCATTTTCTGTACTGCTGTAAAAAAAGTTCACAAAACAGCTATTTGGCATTTATCAATCTGTACATTTTATTTGCACAAAACCATTGAATTAAACAATTTGGCCTCATAACCGCATCAATTGCTTTTCGGATCATAAAAAATCCATCAAATTGCGTTGTAAAAATTCTAAATTCATTCAAAAATTTTTATCGTACAGAAAGTGAAAGACTAAAAGAATTAAATAATACCGACTATGAATATGAAGATGTTCTATCACGATTGCAACCAGATCATCATAATCCGACGACTAGAAATCCTTTAGAAGATGAGGAAACGATCGAACATGATGAGAATATTCTTGTAGATGAGAATTTGATCTCAGGAGAAGTTCCGGAAGCTGAGGAAATCTACGACAAATGTCGTGGTGATGATAAATTCCGTTGTGGCTTGTCTTCAGTTTTCATTTGCGAAATAGAACATTGCGATGGAACCAAAAACTGTCCAGATGGAGAAGACGAAGAGAATTGTCCAACATCAGACAAAGCAATCTTCGATGATTCTGAAGCAAGCGGTGAAGAACCTGAAAGAGAAACAGAAAAAGTCAAAGATTCAGAAGCACTTGAGTTCGAACATGAAGCTGATGTTGATGAATATCCCGATGGTGATTTTTTATTTTATTTTTTTATGATTTTATCAATTTTTTCCCAAAGTTTTCCTGAGAAATTTTTCTTTATTGAATTATTTTATTTTCAGTTCGGTGTAGATATTTAAATATGCTTTGAACAGTTTTCTTAGTTTAGGCTATTTACTAATCACGTTAACTCAACACGTGTACATAAATAAATTACATAGATTTTGTCAATATTTAGGATTGTTCAGCTACACTTGAATTCTGGTTGAAATAATTAACTTAAAATGAAATTTAAATACGAGAAATGATCACCAAAACATTTAAAATTAAGAAAATTAAACTCCATAGATAAGATTGCACAATCAGTAGCTTGAGGGAGCACTTTTTAATGGAATTAAGTTGAAACTGGAGTTCAAGTGTCATTCGCGAGTTTGTTAATTGTTAAAATCGTGTATGCAATTGAAAGGGTTGGAAAAACCTTTAATAACTTTTGACATGAAGAAAAATGACACTAACCAACATAATTAAAGTTTTTTCAAAGGATCTTTAACTAACTTTTCTCATAATAATCATCAACAGAATGTGGAGCTGGAGAATTCTCATGTGACACCAGTCGTTGCATTCCTGAATCAAAACGTTGCGATCAAATTAACGATTGCGATGACAACTCAGATGAAACAAACTGTCCAGAACCATCAACAATCAGCCCAATTGCTGGTGAGTGCTTTTAATTACTTTTCCTTGTTATTGAAACAAAACTTCATTGTAACAATTTAATGAATCGCGAAAGTTACCGAACATTCCACAAAACTATTTTGTAATGAAGTGATTTACAACTGTTATGCTAATTTAGTTGTTTATCTTGAATAAAGCAGTGAATGATTCTTTTTCCACAACATATATGCGTGTGTTTGCTTGTTATGATCAATAAACGGATTCAGATTTTAAATAAACGATGAAAAATCCATTCGAAACTATGTACAGTAATGAAAAACCCCAACTGAGCGAGAATGCTTTGAAAAACGAAGGAGAAAAACATTTGGCGAGATTGGAAATATTTTTTTATTATATCTTTTGTAGAGCAAATGAAGAGATGTGAAGAGGGCACCCAGTGCGCCGCCCTATATTCAAAAAGCGAACTCCCACTGTGATGTGACTCTAATGCATGCGGAATTGTGCTCTCTTTTGCGGGAGGATAATCTTTAAAATTTCTTTCGACGCTGAATCAGCGACAGAAACTATAAAGAATCATGATGAAAATCGCATTTATTGCTTCTCTTTGTGGTTCTTGAGCTATGAAACATTATGAACTGACATTGACTGTAAATTTAGACTGCGAAAAAATTCAAGAGTTGTCGCGAAAAAAAAGATTTAAGTTAGACTTTAATTTTTAAAAACTGAAGAAGAATGTTTATGATTAAATCAGAAATAGAAACTTGCCTAGAAATGCACATTGAAAGCTTTGGAAGAAGAAGCAACGCGACATTCCTGAGTGAAAAAAGAAAATCTTAAAGTTTCAAACAATTTATTATCATCATAAATGGGGGAAAATGTTTCTTTCCATAAACAATTTGCTTGTGATGAAAAATTATGCAAAAGCTTTTATGTTTGATATTAAGTTATCTTTACGCCCCCTACTCGATGATGAATTTTCAAGAGTGAACTGAGAAGGAACGAGAAAAAAATCGCTTAACATCTTATGTAAGTTGAACAAGACGTTCGTTCTATCCAGATAGAACAGGAAAAAGAAGATGCTTAAGTGAATAAATGGAAATGCTGTCAATTGAAAGTCACACCGGGACCACAAAGTCAATTACACAACAGCTTCGTTTTCTCATTACACTTCATTCGCTGTGCCATTCGCAACAACAGTCAACTATGAACTGCGAAAAAACAAAAAATATTTTTAAATGGAAATTCTTCCTCCTTTTGTTTAATCTCATCCAACACTCAAGATCAAGAGAAATAGCATTGAGTAGTAAATTAAATAAGTTAACATGTTAACAAGCTATAAAAATGCGTGAAAAGAAAGACAAAAAAAAAAGATTAAGAGCTGATTGTTTAAGAATTTAAAGCACAATACATAAACGACAACAGGTTATTACAAATTATGTTGTCACTTCAACTTATTCTTATTATTTCTTTGCGTCGCTACTGTTTACTGAGCATGAGCCACTCAATATTTTTCTCTTGTCTTGTTCGACTTTTCTTCTCTGCTACTTCACATCGATGCCGCTGGGGAAGCATTTTAATCTTTTTCTGTAATCTTAACTTCAGAAACACGCGCGTCATATGGCAATAGTGGAAATTGGTTAAAAAAATTCATTCTAACAAATTCTACCATCATAAGAATAATTAAATTGTGGAAGATTTCCAGCCACAAGTCTTAATTATTTACCTCAAACAAGCTTAACAACTCATTATGCGATAATTCTTTTAAGAATAAAAAAAAGGCAGACAAGTTTGTAAATATTTATTAATGACTAATTTCCACATGTACTTATAAATATTATTTAAAGGCAGAAAAAATATTCTAAACCGATATTATTGACACTCCAAGTGCGATTGTATATTGCACAGCTATTTATGGATTTTAAATATAATGACTTTCCTTCTAAAGAAACTCAATTCATCATTATATGGTTCATTAGCATCGTCAATCACTTTCATTAGAGTTAAACTATATTGTTGTCGACTGTCGCCTTCGAAGCGTTGATCAAAGTCGAATTTTTCCTTACAAAATTGTTCATGACGATCTATTTCAATCAACCACACACCGAGACTAATAAAATTTCTAATGAATTGATAGAAATGTGTCATCATTTAATTAAATGATTTAGAGCGTTGCCTATCTATCATTGAGCCACACTAGAGTTACTGATCGATAAAGCTCGTGTCTAAGGGAAAACTTTTAATAGTTTCTCCATTTATGCAAATTAATATGAAAAAAGTTTTTCTTTTCCTTTTATGAGTCGTAGTTTAATTCTGATTCAAAAGCAGATAAATTGGCAATTTATTAAGTTCTGCTCTATGAGTTTTGGGGAGCGTACAGTGCTTTAGTGATCATGAATGAAACATTATTTCTTTCTTTCTTTTTGAATCTAAAAATCGACATGGCAAACATTACTTGAATTAATTTATTCATTAAAGATTAAAGAACAAGAAATGAAAATAATTTTCTGATACGAAATTTTTTATCCTCCCACGACAATCAATTGACTTTGCTTAATGTATTTAAACCGAAATATTTTATTCTCTTTTCGCAACTGAAAGCAAAGAAACAATAAATCTCAATAAAAGCAACATCGGTGCTTGTAATATTTTCTTTCCGCTAGATTTTTGTTATCGAAAAACTTGTTGAAACAATAAAATAAACTTAAACTTTATTCGCGATTATGATTTTTATAGGGAGAAATTCGATAAAAATTCTGCTTGAATTGAAATCAAATTTTCTCTTTTCTATCTTTCAAGTCAACAGTTTTTTGATGAGTATTTTTGAGATCATCCGAGATGTGGGTGGAGAAAATCGATTTTTATCTTTTTCGCATGTTTTCCCTCATTGATATCAAATTTTCACATCCTTCTTTTTATCGAATCGATGCTGCCCTCATCGTTAACGTATTCTATTGAATCGAGACACAAATAGATGTGTAGTGATTGTAAAATGATCATCAAACATGAATCCTCTTGTTCTAGAGCAAAGTGTCAAGTGCTGTTCTCCTCGTATGTTTCAAGTGCTTGAAGTTTAAAGGAAAATAATTTCCCAACAATATTTTCCCTCAGATTAATTGAAGAGAAGAAAAACGAGAAAGATTTTAATCGATAATCACTAGAGTTGTTTCTAGGGAAATGAATTCGAGATGAAAAGAATTTCTTTATGAATTAAAAGTATCAAAACAATTCCTGGTTTAAGCACTTTAATTAAAATCGTTTAAAGATCTCATCAAAAGTTCATTTGAAACATAAAAAAAATATTCTAGTTAATCATTTAAAAATGACGCTAACTTTAAGTATTCAAAGCCTTACATCATGACTTGCCAGTTGCCACTTGTGACAAGAACATAATGACACAGAAGCAATTAAAGAAAGTTCTTCTTCTTTCACCGCTTCAACCAAAGAATGAAAGCAAAAGGAAAAAATGAACACGCTGTAATAATTTCTTCGACAAACAACTGAAAACAATAAATTTATGAATAAATTAAGTCCCTCGGTTTCAAGTTGTGGTCGTAAATATTTTCTTCCATCCTCAAAAGCATTATGGAACGAAAAAGCGAGTCAAAACATGCTTCAAATGGCTTAAAGTGAGGTCATCGCTTAAACAAATTTGCTGCATCGCTACATGATGAACGCAAAAAGTGAAAGAAGAAAATGAAAAAGCAATTGAAATGAGGAAGAATTGCGGAGAGAATTTCAATTAAAACAGCTTCGAAGTGAAATGAACTTTGATCTTGATAATTGAGATTTTATTGACTTTTTTAAATTTTTAATTTCTTATTTTTTTTTGTTTTGAACTTTGCCATTAATTGTTATTATTATTGATGTTTATTGGAGTACATTGAACATACTTTGTTAATCTTCTCGTACGCAAAGTGAAGGAAAACTTTTGATTTCATTTTCCCCTTAAAACTTCCACCTACGTTAAAGTTCGAATATCAAAACAACTGTTGCTTCTAACTAAGTTAGACTTTCTCACTTTAAAGTGAGTTAGAAAATTTCTCGTCGGTTATCAGTTTGATTTAAGGTTCTCCTTATCAAATTGAAAGTGGAATGAATTTTATTCTGTTCAGAGTTTGTTGCTTTGTTCTCGATTCAAGTAGAACGAAAAGTTCAAAATATCCGCGATCTTTTAAGATTTAATTTTCTTTTGCATCAATAAATTTGTAATTTGAATGAAATGAATGCAATATAAAAATGAAGTCGATGTTTTGATTGAAAACATGCTGAGCGATTATTTTATTGTTTTGAAATATTATAAAGAGTTGATCACGGTTTCAGCTGCATCAGAATACTCGGAAATTCTTCAAGCGTTATTTCAGTTTTTGCTTCAAAGCATTTCTTTATGTAATGTTTCACGTGATTCGATAAGAATTTATAAAGATTATCGTGTATGTTTTCCTTTAATGACAACTTGGACGAATACACTTATATCTTACTGGAGTTTATTTCCATAATTAATAAAAATAAAAAGCCATACATGAAGCATTATAAAACTTATTTCTTTCCACCCTCAATTTATTACAGTAAATGTAGGAAATAGAAAATGGAGCGATTAAAATTAATTTAAATTTAAACTTGACCCTCTTTCCAATTGTGTTGCAACACAAGTTCGTTTCTTCTTTTATTTGCATGTGAAATATTAATTTTCATTGGGGGTGGAGTAGACAAGAGATGATGAAGGCCCGCTGTGGCACATCATAATAACTGTACATGGAAGTCAACATAGACAACAAAAAGTAAAACACGAGAAGCGGCAAATGTGCATAAATATGTACGTACAGTTGAAGTTCTTCGAAGTGATTGCTTTACAAAACAATAAAATAACTAAAGTTACCAAGTTTTGCTTTATGTTTCCAAACTCACAGTGAATGTTCAAACAAGAAAAAGTTATCAGCGATGACTTATTTACACTAAATGTTCGGTCCACTCCCACTTAAGGTCTTCATCACTGCAACGTTCAATGCTAACTGAGCTGTGATTGTACTTCTAACCGAAACAAACATTGGAATACAATTCGGTTGCATTTTAAATACTTTTTGCTGCTTCTATTTATGATTATTCACAGTTGATTTATGAATTTAAATTTCCTTCTGTTTCACCCGATTTTCTGCAGAATAAAAAATGCCACAAGTCCCAACACGAAGTTCACTTGGGGGGAATGAATACTGAAATAATTCTCTCAGTGGAAAAACTTAAATTGGTTTTTTTCTCCAGTTAAATTGCTTCGTAAAACGAAAACAAACATACAAGAAGCGGACAGAAAAAAATTGTAATTAAATTATTTTTTTTTCCAATTAAGATTAGAGGCTAATCGTGAAAATTTGTTTAATTAAATCAGAAAAGAAGTTTGATAAGAAAAAGAGTTAAAAGAGAATTTTGTTCTTCAATAGCACATCATCAATTGAAAGATCGAATCGGCATAAAGTGTGGAAAAACGTTTAAAATTCTTTAATTTAATGCTCGTGACGTGCATCTTCTCAAGTGTCGAAAGAAAGACATGAAAATTGCGAAATTGCATCTTCAATAATTGAATTCAAATAAGTTTTCACTTTAAACATTGTCTGGCGTTTCTGTTTACTTGTTTCAGAGGCTCGAAGATAGACAAATGACGACATGAATGGTGGAACGATTAAATTACATTTAAAATGCAAAACTAAAATGATTTTGTAAATCTTTGTCGGGTTTTGGTATCTTCTTTTGAATCAAACAGGTTTAGGTCTCAACGTATGGTGCAGACCTTAAATGTTTAGGTGTTAAATGTTTCCCTGTAGAGTAATTACATTTTAACATAAAAGCAAATATTTGCTTTCCTTATTCATATATTAAAAAGCTATAACTTTGACAATTCCTTTTATATTCCATATCTAACGCGCTTAACCATCCGCTAATTGACTTTATTTAGATAGTAAATGATATTGTAATAGTGCTAATGACATTCACGTGCTTTTAAATGAAAGTTCTTTCACTGAAAGTGCATTAGTGACACGACACTCGTCGAAGTATAATTTGAAGTAAGTTTTGATTCCATGTCTGATAATAATGTGAGTTTTATTTAAAACTTAAATAAAACTGACAGATTATCGACGCGAACATTGCAACATAAATGCGAGTGAGGTTCCGCGTAAGCTTTTGTTTCTTAGTTTTTACGTTATCAAAGCCTAGTGAACTCATAAAGCGATTTGATCTTGACTCCGTAAAATGCGCAACGACGATGCCTGCAATTATGAAGAATGTGATGCTGATAAGCTTTGTCTTGTCTTGTTGTTCATAATGTTCATTAATGTGTGGAAGTATTTTGTCAAATACTCAACAAAAATTAATTAGGAAGTGAGATACATTTCACGCCACAACAAATCTCGAGATCAAGTAAAATAAGTCTGCGATTTGAGTAAGCTACAGTTTTGTTGACATACAACCAATTATAATTTACATAATCATCGTTTACTTAATGCCCTTACTAAGACGATGACAACAACGTCGAGGATGATGAATCTTATCAACAAAAAAATTCACTTTGAAACTATTCAACTCAAAAAATGAAAACGAAAACGAAAACTCAAAAGACAAACGCCATGATGATCTCACTTGTATTTAAATACCACGCACACACCATTGTCGACATTATCTAATCTTGATTGTGTCACTTTAAAAAAGAAAAAGAAAAATTAAGAAAATATTTTTTTTCTTAAAACAAGAAATAAACGTTGTGGCCCAAGAATTCCATTAAAAGTGCAAACACAACTCGTGTCGATCGACACTTATGTCTTTAGGTGCAGGAATGACGAGCATTTTTCACGGTCAAATGGTCGGTCGTTACTATGATCATAAACGAAATAATCAGGTGTTAATTTTAGTTTAACTTTCGCACCAAGCAGTAGAAAAAATCAACATCATAGGCACATATTGACTAATCAAAAGAAAAGTAAATAAAATTTCTTGTCAAACGCTTTAAAAGAATCTCCAGTCGATAAGCTGCAAAGGGTAATAAAAAATATTACAAAACATTTGACTCGAAAGATCAATTGGTTTAATTAAGAATTGAGATTTTTATTAGCCCGGGGAAGTCATATCTTTCTGACGGCTTTGCTTTGTCCAAGGGTAACCGAAATAATGTTTTTCGATGAAGAAATTACTATAAAAACAAAATTATTTTATTGCCGATAAAAAATGAATGTTCTAGAATTTATGATTCATGTAAATATTTCACTATAAAAATTAATTAATGTTTGGTTGTGATTGCATGCAAAACAAAATCTAAAGAGTTACTGAACTGATGAAAAATTTCATAAGCAACTTTCAAGTATAAATAATCAAAATGTTTGTTTTATTGGCGACATTACGTAAAGATAAGACTTTATTCAGATACAGACACTCCACCTAACCATTATTAGTGAGATAATTTTTGGTGTGAAACTCGACGAAGCAACAAATTTAGTTACTTTTTATCTCAACTCGCTTCTTTCCCATCATGTCTTTTTCTTGAATTTTAGTTAGAAATTCATTCTCACAGTTTGCAGAAAATTTGCAATAAAAAGCATCAACAAGATGTTCATTTTGTTGATGAAGAACATGTGTTTCCAATATTGCACATTGTAACCGAATGTTGGTGATCATAAGCCGCGAATTGGTCGAAATCATTCATCATTGTGCCGAGAGACTGCTTAAGAGAAGCAAAGCATAAGAAAACTGAGCAATAGGGCAAGCAGCGAAAGACACGAAGCCGAAGCGGTGAGCACGAGAAAAGAAAAAAAAATCGTTTTTCAACTTCTCAACGTTCTCTGCCTTTTATTTTATTTTATGCTGTGTAGAATATTTTTTATACTTTTTTCACATTTTCTATTTTACAATTCGCCGATTGTTCAGTCAGTCGCGGGATTTTGTTGCGACAAGACATAAATTTTCCTAAGCGGAAGGATTGCGACTCGCTTAAGTGGATTTGACTTCTTCTTTTCTCAGCTTTTTGTGGATTTTTTTTCTTGAGAAATGAAAAATTGAAGAAGCAAAAAAAAATTTAACAAGAATTAAAATAAATTGAGTTGTGATCGACGAAAAAAAAGGAAAGAAATTAAAAAGAAATCTGTGAGTGTCTAAAGCAGTGAATTAGATTGAAATCTTTTGTTTTAAAATATTCTCAAGAAAAATTGTGAATAGAATTTTCATGAAACTAGTGCCGTTGAGTATCGTTTTACAAGAAAGAATTTTTATAAAAAATGTGACAATCAAATGTGCAATTGCAATGAAAATTATTAAAGAGAAAAAGACTCATAAAATAAATAAACACTAATTGTGACTTCTAGATAGGAAGACGAAATACAATTTTCATGTCGACTAGTAAAAACGAATTAATAAAAAACATAGCAGGAAAAAAACATAAAAGTTCAATTAGCAAAAGAAATAAAATAAGAAGAATTATGCCGGAGCAAATATTCGCAGTGCTTAACAATTTAAATTCTAATATTGTTAGAAAACTTACTCGACTTGCTACCTTTCGCTCTCTCACACAATTCGTCGTTGTCATGCATAAAAAATGCAACATGCACTCTGAATAATCCTTAGTCCCATAAATGATAAGCTGGACTGGAAATATCTGCATGAAAAACCTCAGTGTAATGGTGGGAAAATAAATTTTCCCTCAAAATCAACAAATTTAATTTTTTTTTCACTGTTTTATGGAAGTAAAACTTTTTTTAAAATAAAATTTTAATTTTTCGCAATCAGTGGGAAGTCGTCAGATTATAAAATTTATTTTTAAAAAGTTATCGCATAGATTGCAACATGTTTTAATTAATTTTTTACGATATGAAGATATATTTTATGTGGAGCATAACAAAATAAACATAAACAAATGTTGATGATTTGTTTAATACTTTTTCTAACTAGAAAATGCTTTCAAATCACGAGGGAAAAATTGTTTTTCATGTTGTTTTTACATTGAGGTGTTGAAAAGGCTGTGAAAGTGTCACTGGCCTTCTTCGGAATTTTCTTTTCTGTCTGGCGAAAAAGCAAAAATATAAGAGAGATGAAAAATTTCAACGCGGAAAAAGTGAGAAAACAATTTAGCGTGGAATTGACGAAAATAAAATCCACAAAAAGTCGACAACTTTCAGTAAAAATCTTCATTTTAAAGATTTCAAAATTGGTTTTGCGATTATAGAGGTCAAGAAATGGCAAGGCTATTGATAACTCATACCGCATGAGTGTTTTTGTGTAGAGAGATCCGGACTTAAATTCTCAATGAATGTTCTAATTTCAAAAGTGCATCGACAATTTAATGTCAACTTTATTGATGATTCTCTTTTTTTATTCCACGATGATAGCGAAAAAAAAATCGAAGTAAATAAACAGAATAGAAAGGAGACGGTGAACAAACAAAAGATTAATAAAAATAGAACGAGTGTGATGTTTTTAATGAAAATGGCTTTTCCCACTAAACATTTTTAACGTGAGATGTTTTCTTAATGTTTCATATGACAGATTTTGTGATTTAAGCGAAAGTGAGAGTTTTTTTTAACTCAACGATATTCGTCAGATGTGGTCAAAGAGTTAATTAATTATGAGAACACACTTTGGGAGGTTGAAAGAAATCATAAAAAGATTTTCTCTGCTGTTGATTTCTCACCATATAATTTGTTGCTACCAAGTCAAGTTCTAACCAGATGGTGACAAAAAGCACTACCAGGAAATTATATTTAGTTTGAAAAAAGCAATAATTATGCTTTACACGATGACTTGATGATTCTTGAGAATTAAATGCTTCTCTTGCGGCTTTCTTTCATGTGCATTGGCAGTTATATGAAGAAAGATATAAAAAATTATTGTGCAACACGAGTCGAAGTCGCCATTTGGAAAAAATGAGATGAAGTGTCTTGTGAATAACATTATGCAGATCCAAATACCACAATTGTGGCAATTCATAAAAAGTCATTTCTTTCATTGCTTCTAATTATGAAATGATGTGTGAAAAATAATGCAGAAGCATATGGTTTTGCATAAAACAGAAATAGGAAACGATTGACATGACGACTTTCCGCATTCTATGAAATTCCATTTAATAATGAATTTCTTTCATTAGAAAATAAATTTGTTTTCATTTGTTGTGATTCAATTTGACCGCTGAACTTGTTAAGCTTCAGATGTCATCGTACTTTCTATATATAAAGTTCCGAGAAACAAACTTCCCTAGCAATTTAAAAATTTCATTAAAGAAAGTGAAAAAATAAATTTGAAGAGTATTTCATTAACTTTTTAATCCATTTTACATGATAATAGAATATCGTAAGGGCGCTTTCATGAGAACAACTCAAAGATTATATTCCTTTCAGATTTCTTCCCTTCTTTAACAGTGTCAAAATTAATTTGTGAGTAAATTTGAACAATAAGTAGGGTTTAAAGACACGTCGAGAGTCGAGTGAGAGTAAAGACGAACCGTGAATCTTAAAAGTTTGCATGAAAATTATTCAGAAAGAGAGGAAAATTCCATAAAGTTAATTTAATGAAATCAATGTTAAAACGGTGTAAAAGAATTCTTTGAGAAATATGCAGTGACGTGCTTCTTAAAATTCTATTCACAAGTTTGGATAAAGAGAGTGTCAAGCATGTGTTGATGATAGAAAGGAATTTTCTTTTTAGGGTGATTATCGAAGGATAATTTCTAAAAAAATAAATAAAAGATTGCATCAGACAAGTAACATCCCATACCAACATGGGGTTGTTAAGATTTAGGAATTTAATTACGTTTACACTTCTGGCAGTGATTCTATTGCCAAAAATTCGAGCTGATGGTGAGTTGATTTGATGTCTTAATTCATGCGTTTACATTTTTATTTCTTTACAAATTCATTCCGCATTTATTCAACTGGTTATCCAAGATCTTTTAAATGGATGATGTCAAGAAATGACGATTATGCAATTCTTCTTGTGTGTGAACGAAATTAATCTTATTTTTTTCTTCCTCTCAGTTTTATGATGAGCTATCACTCGTATTATTACTTTTGATGTTACAAATATACATGTAATAATCATAAATCAATCATTCATCCGCTTACGGGTCTCTAAATTTAAATATAAAAATAAAAAAAAATCAAAAACATTTTCATCTCTCGTAAAGATTTGAAATCTCGTCCAATGCTTAGCTTGTGGATGACGAGATGTGAAAAAAAAGTGCGGAGAGGAAAAAAATCACAAAATTTGAGATAAGAGCGATTATTGTTATTTTTATTAGTTTTTGGGTGCGTTAAGGTTATCACGATTGATGATGGCACATAAGTCGTTGAATCTTTTTTGCAGCTGTGTTTGAAATGACTTCGTAGCGTCATTTCCGTATTACCACAATCACAAGTAACCTACACAAAAGTTTCGTTACATAATTAGGCCGATGATTGTAAATATTTTCCATGTTAACTGATCTGATTTTAAAATGAAGTCTTCTTTCCAATTAATTCAATTGAAATCGAAGACAAATAAACATCGAACGAAAACAGAATTTTGAAAATCTTTTCAACCCTTTCATATTAATGCTCAAAGCTAAAATCATCATTAGACATTGGATTATATAACGTTAATGATAATAATTGAAACATTATTTAGAAATCTGTTTTGAATTTTCCTGAGTTGTTTTTTGTCTTCATTTTCCTTCTCTATACAAAACACAAAATTTTGTGTACACAAATATAAAATTTCAAGATGAAACTTTTCGAAACAGAAATCATCGAAAATATTTAATGAAAAGAATTTTGTTTTTGATGAGAAAATCATTCGTAAAAGTGACTCTAAAAATATCAATTTTGCACAAAACATATGCTTAGACGTCTTAAAATACTATCACAACATGTATGAAAAAATCATCATTGCCAAAGCGTCAAATGATTGATCTTAAGTTTCTTCTCATCTTAACATTCAAGACTCAGCATTCAAATTAAAACACAAAACAGATTATGAATTAATTTTAAGCGTCTTATACAAATATGTTTAGAAATAGAAAAAAAGAATAACTTGAGGCATTAAGCAGAGACACAGCATCAGAGTGTATGCTAATTTCTGCTAATCTTTAAATTATTTATCGGTATTTTTAAAGCATTAGTAACAAATTCTTCAACATTGCTAAGCCTATGCCTGTTAACCTTTATAATTTTATGTCAACTCATAAGCATACCGAGAGGTCGAAGATTATCTAAACATTTGGTTCTATGAAATGTTTATTTAATTCATGAAAGCTTTTTTTGATAGCATTTTGTATATAAAACTATCAAGTAATTGTCATATATGTTAATTAAAGCTTCAACGAACATTTCATTAATAAAATATAATTTGTTGCTGAAAAATATCATTATAATTCCATATTTCATGATAATTTGAAAATTTTATTTGGTGTGGAAATCGTAACTGGTACAAACATACCTGCCGTCGATGCCTGTGAGTTTCATTTTCCTTTAAGCTTGTCTTTCTCTCTTCTGAACCCTTTTTTCTTCTTCCGATACCCTCTTTTAGTTATTTCATTAATATTTATTACCAAGAATTATTAAATTATGTCACAGTAGCAGGCGAAATACAAAATAACATTCACGAAGCTTGCGAGAATCTTTTTTCGTTTATAATTTTGTCGTTGTCTGGAACTAAATGAAATTTGTCTGCTGAATGAAAGCAGAACATTCTTTAAATCACTGCAATCAGAAATAATAATAATAAAAAACTTTTTTAAAAAAGGCATGAAAAAGAAATGAATCGCATGCAAAATAATTCTTCGTGAAAAGTTTTTGTGGAAAAGATTTATGAACGATTTAATTTTTCTTTTGACCAGAAAATTGAGCACTGCCGATTGTGCCTGTTCACTTCATAAAACGAAATGTCAATCAAATTTAGTACATAAACTTGTTGTCGAGTATCTCAAATCAGTGAATTTACGATTATAGGATTTTTAATCAAAACAAAACCTGATTCATGCGATGATCGAACAGGTGATTGCTTGCGTCTCAACTTCGATAAAACGAAGACGAAACCTTGCCAGACAACTGCCAGACGAAAATCTTATGATTAATGTCATGAAAAAGGAGTTCAAGAAAGCAATCGATGATCGATTGCTGATTTCATATTGCAGATAATAAAACCAAATTTAGTTCCTAATCAGTTTCAATCTCAATCAAAGGCCTAATTAAGTTTGACAAAAGTAAATCATTTCTTAATTGGGATAACATAGTTGCAACAACAAGATAAATCTATTTAAATAAACGACTTAATGAGAATATAAAAATCATTGATACGATGTAGTTTTCCTGTAGATCTCAAGTGGATCATCGGAATTTTAAGAGAAACGTTTCGCAAGAGATTCCACCTGTTTACAACATAAATAACTTACGATGCATTCCCATAACTCCCGCGAGGAAATTTAATCAGATGAAAATGTTGAAAGAAAGAGGAAAACACGTCGCTAGTGTTCTTAGAGTAGAAATCAAAACATGTCATGAAATCAGATAAACATGCATATGTGTCATTATGATTTAATATCAGAGAAATTCATTCTCCAACCTTTATTTCATCTCATTTAGATTTCAATCGTAATAAATAGAAGAAAATGAAACGTCATTTGACTTTCGTACGTGATTATCGAATGAAACAATGAAAGATTTGCGAAAAGAAAAAGAGAGAAAAAGTCTTTAGAGATTTGATTGTTAATTCCAAATCGACAAATTGGGTAATTTGATAGTTGAAAAGCTCTCGTCAAAATGCCTCGTATGTTGTTTATTGGTTTCAAGAGCTGACTTCACAATTCAACAACATTCACTAAACAAATTGTTGAGCTATTTAACTGACATGAATGTAGAGTTTTCGTCGGAATAGATTTTCTTTCTTGAGAAAGATTTTAAAGATTTTTTTCCAATGAATGACTTAACATTCATTGTTTCATTTAAATTCAGCATTTATTTGATTCAAATAATCTTCATTATAACTGTTTCAATTTAACTGAAGGAACATGTAATTGAATTATTGGTCAAAGAGTCGCCATGTCTACTCAAATGAATTACAAATTATAATGTAAGAACTTCTTAGGTCATTTAAGTAAATATTAGTCTTTCACTATCGCTTTTACTTTGTCATTTTATTAATGTTGATCTGTTAAATGACCTACAAACTACTTACAAATTTTGTTTATTTCTTCATATCGTTCCTCAGGAATTCTTTTCATCATAAATAAAACTTACAGTTCAATCAGAAGTGACGCCTAAAAGAATTGGAAATAATTCATCTTTTCACGTTGATTCTAAAACGTCATCTAACAAATCAACCGTCAATTGAATTGAACGTGCCATTGACCGCTTTGACCACCAATTTGCTATCGCCCTTTAATGGTCGAAGCTCGCGTTCATGTAATTGATAGTTCTTTGAATTATCTTTTCTCTTTCTCTTTCAATTCCAAATTTCACACACCAAAAATGCATTTTGGATGTAAATTCTTTGAAGAAATTTATTTACAGTAATAAATCAATTCTCGTTTTTGTTATGAAAATTATCTCAAGAACTTTTAAGCACAATCGATATGATGATGATGAGATTAAAAGATTATATTAGAAGAACAAAATATGAGAAAGAATGAGAAGAAAAGTTTTTTTGTTCGGTTATGGTGCTTTGTGCATCAATCACTTGTCATCGAAATAAATTAGTTGGATATTATTAAATCGATATTTCATTGAATCTTCGATGAAGTTTAGCTTCCAGTCATGCTTTCTTCTTATTCATCATTGAACTCTTAATGGTTTTTTGCCTTTTACGTTTGTAGTAAATAAAAAGCATGTTGATAAGTCAAACATAAACAATGTAACAAAATTATAACAAACACTGCAAAAGATTAAGTAAGAAAAGATATCACGGATAATTAGTTTTGACTCTATCTCCTTTCCAGAATCTTATAATTAATGTGTCGACAACAAGCTGATTAAGGAACACAAAGAGTTGAAGTATTTAATGCTTTAAACAGAAGCATAAAGTGGCGGGTTAATCTTTCTTTCCTGTTGCCTCAGTTCTCACTGAGCTTCCATTGTTTTATGATTCACGTGCTGTGAAGAATTTCTTTTATGCGTTTTCATGCTACTGTCTGAGACATCACGTTGAGTTTGATCGTATGGATGTCAGATTAATTAATTCATTGATTTGAATCAGTGCTTACAAAAACTTTTGAAGATTTATTGGAGAACTTTAATTGTAGTGGGAGTGAGAAATATTTTTATTTTGTCTCTTTGATAAAAGCCAACCAACTACTGAACTACTCTCATCCCCACATGCAGTTTTTCCACTCTTCCTGTTGTTTTTATTTTGTTGCTTTTCTGGGGGAAATCGGAAACCGAGAACCAACACAAGCCAGGACTTGCCATTGAAATTCAATTCAATGTTTAAAGCATCATTAAGCACAAAGAGTGAAAAATCTTCTTTACTCTTCTCTCGCTTCGACACTTTTTTATTTCGCCATGAGTCTCATTCACTCATCGCTTCGAGTTGTTTGCAATGTGAAATGCTTTATGTTGAAGGTTTGAACAAGACGGAAATAAAATCATTTTTATAGTTTGTTTGTGTTTTCTATAGAATAGATAATAAAAAATGAGGTACTTGAACTTTTGATTTTCCTCCTTTATTGATGATTAAAGCGCCAACAAATTGATTTGTGAAGTGAATGTAGAATCAAAACCAACAACATGAAATCACAAAAAAGCATTTAAAGGCAAACTGAAGCCTGCCTCGAAAAGAATTTAAATTCTTTATTATTTTTCACATCTTTTACGATAATCTTTTTGTGGGATGGATAACTCAAGATGATTTTAATATCCCTCAGCTTCTGATGTAAATACATAATATTGAATATTTGAAGAATGAAAGATGATAAAAATATGAAGGGTCGAGAAATGTTTCACTGCGGATTTTCTTATCAATGAAGAAGAATTAAATTAAGTGTGACATGTTCAATAATTCATCGTAACATCATACATATGATCAATTTTTATTGAAATAAAACAGAAGTTATGAAGAAATAATTGTTAAGTATTCATAATAAATCGTGAGTTCTCTTTCTTTACACTCAGAATAATAAAATCCATAAAATAATGTTCTAAAGTTATGTCATTTTTATTTTTAAACAGTTTGCTTCATAATTTTAATGAAAAGACGTTTCATTGAATTTATTCAATCACAAAACATTATTTTAATGAACAACACTTAATGGAGTTACGCCTCCAAACATTTACAATAATAAATCTTAAATTGCAATTGAACGCATCATTATTTTAACGTTGAATCTTCAATGTTTTATGATTCACAGTTATTATTTATACCGATATGTCATTAATATTCCAACTTGCTCACATTGAAGATTAAAATCATTCTATGAAAATGAACGTACACTTACTTTGTTATTATTAGTCTTGTCATGAGATCATAAAACACCGCAGTAAACAAATCACAAATTTGCATTCTCAACACATCATCTGTTAGTTTAAAGAATTTATGACTCGTTCGTATTTTTCTATTTTTACTTTTATTGAAATAACTTTGTTAACGTGTCATATCCTAGAGCGAGTGCGAATGTATGTTGAATTTAATCTCCCAACTACGAGAGTTCCAATACGGAAGAAGTTTTCGTTAAATTAAATTTCATCTTAAGTTTCCTAAGCAACGATTTATCAGATGCCATTCAATGCTTTTTCTCCAGCTAAATGAAATGATTCTTGTGGAATGTTTGGTTGTTTCATGTTTCATTAGAAAATATCGACAATTTTAAGATGTTTTCAAACTTTCTTTTTCCATGCTTTATTCATGTCGTATCATGTTGCTTTAGAATACTTTGAAATTAATCGCCTTCATTGGTTTTCAGTTTGTGATGAAAGAGAATTTGCTTGCGATGATGGATCATGTATTCCCGCTGCAGACAGATGCAATAGAATCGAAGATTGCCCAGCTGGAGAAGATGAACTCGATTGTCGTAAGTGAATTTATTTAATAATTTTAAAACCAACTATAAATATCTTATCGATAATTAAATTAGTCGATTATCTTCTTCATGCCTACTTAAATATATTTAAGCTATGGTCGACGATAAAATCCCTGAATCGCTAGATATCTTCTTGAAACTTTACATTCTATTAGAATATGTTCTTAATTTCTTATTTTTGCACTCTGTACTGTATTTATTTGAACAAAAACATGCACACCTAACACTCCTGTAATTATAAACAATCTATTGTGGTGGAGTAGAAAACGATGAGTGCGAAGATGGCTATCAGTGCGACGATGGTAGATGTTTAGATATGGATAGACGTTGTGATCGTAAACATGATTGTCCTGGTGGCGAAGACGAAGAAGATTGTGATGAAGGTATTTTCTATACTTGAATTAACTTTGATATTTAAACACTATTTCCAGCATAATGAAAATTTTGATTACAAAATTCATCTCCGATATCTTTCTTTGGACAAAAATATCTTTCAGGAAATTTGATAAATTTATTTTGATTATTAAGAAAGAAAAAGAAAACTTTGGAAACTTTTATTTTGATTGACAGCCAAAAAAATGAAAGAAAGCAAATTTTGATTGGATTTAATTAATAATGATATGCGAAATAGTGCGTAAATGAACTTGCTACATAAATATTTTAGATTTAACTTTATGCTATTTACTAACATCGCGTCTTGTATTTTTCTGATTATTTTTAATGCTGCTTGGAAAACAAATATCATTGACATTCCCAATTTGATAAATTCTCGTTGATAAAAGTAAATAAAAGTAGAATAAAGTTTTTTTGTGAACTTGGAAAGTTTACATGCGGCGATAACACTTGCATATCGATAACAGCTCGATGCGATGGAATCATTGATTGTCCAAATGATCGTGCTGATGAGCAAGATTGTCGTATGTAGTTTAAACATTTTGCTAACTTTATTATTGCTATGGTGAATGAAATCTTTTACTAACAGCTTGCGGTTCTCATCAATGGCAATGTGATTATGGTAACTGTATTTCACTAACCAAGCGTTGTGATGGTAACATCGATTGTCCTGAAGACATGTCGGATGAAAGAAACTGTCCGAGTAAGTTCGCGAGCAAATTGGTTTCAAGATTAAACTTTTTCTTTCTTCTCACTCTGTTTAAAATACTCGTTCGCGATATCGTAATTGAAAGGTAGGAGTAGAAAATTGCATGAGTAGAAGAATAAAACTTTACATTTAATTTCATAATCAAGAAATTAAACTCGAAGCAATTTATTTTGTTTTGATGCAAAAGTACTTCAATTTAATTCAATTCATATCTCAACATGAGTTGATTGCGCAACTGAGAACATTTTCTGATTACATTAATAATAAGTGTTATCAATGTAATGTTTAAATGGTTAATTGACCATTGACCATCGTGTCAAAGATCATACGATGAGACAATTGATTTCAAAACAACTGATGTAGTGAATTTCTGGGATTTTAGTTGATGAATTTTTATCTCTTGAGTTGATTAATTCTTTTTTATTACATCAATTATCGGTCAATGAGGCTTGTTAGAAATTTTTGATAAGTAGAACGAATGCATTAAAGATTCTTTAACTAGTATTTATCACTTAAACCATTTAAGTAGTTGACATATGCTTCGTTTATTGGAGTTTTATGTATTTTTGTCATTAATAAGTCAACTTATGAATTCCTTTATTTATATTAAAAGAAGAGGTCGAAGCGCAAGAGGGAAATTGTAGCTTAGGCTACAGGAAATGTGCTGACAATATTCAATGTATTCCTGAACAATTTTGGTGTAATGGATTAGTTGATTGCAAAGATCATTCTGACGAGGCGCATTGCCGTAAGTTTCTCCTTCATGTTCAATGTTATTTCATGTCAGTCGTCTTTTCATCTTCTTATGTGATATCTAATCAAATTTCTTTTACGAGTTAAAATGTGAACTTATGCTGCGTCGATTAAATGAAATATTTTCTCGAGTCTTCAAAAAATAAAAAATTTAGAAATGAGTTTATTGTCGAAGGTTTCAATCTTCACTTTTCAATCGAAATATCATCATTAGAAGATTTTTTTACAGTTAACAGTGTCAGCTCCATACTCGTAGTGTCGTGACTAAAACTTTACATGTTCAAAATTTCTTTATGATTTAAACTGAAATATGTTTCATTGATTTTATTTCTTTTTTTACTTTTTTTTTTATTCGATCGACGAATGTGAAACCAAAATTGTTCAACTCACCGAATGCCTGATTTGGGTTGTGGATTTTTTTTTCTTTCATAACATTTCGTACTAAAATAAATTTGTCTGAATCAAAAATTAACTAAACATATCATGGAATGCTTTCGTTTGGTTTTTTCTGCTAAATCTGCGCATCTGACATTGAAAACCAGCATGTAAGCCTGACAATTTCAAATGCAATAACGGCGTCTGTATCAGTCGCAAGCTCTGGTGTGATGGTTTTTATCACTGTAACGACAGATCTGATGAAGAGAACTGCCCTCTGAGAAGTATAACAATTTACTTTCTTCTATGAATGTCTCAAACTAACCTAGGGCTAGAAAATGTGTTTCTTCTGTGATTAACAAATCGTTTGCAAAATCCACTAACTTACCTTAGGTATTTAATTAATTACTAAGAAGCAAAATCCGATTTGCCAAAGTTCACAAAAAACAAGAAAAGTTTTCAAAATTCAATTTCATTTTTTATCATCATTTGTAGAGTCATAAACGTTATCTTGTAAATATTTTTTATAAATTTATGGAATTTGTATGCATCATTATATCTTATTTATATAAATGTGTACACAAACAGCATGCACGGTCGATGAGTACACATGTAAAAGTGGTAGTTGTATCCCACAACTGGCAGTATGTGACAGTGCCAAGGATTGTCCTGATGGTGACGATGAAGAAAATTGCGAATGTGCACGCAACGAAGTAAGTAATAATCACCTCACCTTCCTGATCTTCCTCAAAATTCCTTGAAAGAAACAAAATTACAAAACACACAAAAACCATTTACTCTCAGTTCAAATGTGTTCGTGGCGGATTGTGCATTCCATTAGAAAAGAAGTGCGATGGAGATTACGATTGTCTCGATGAAAGCGATGAATATACATGTGGTAAGTATCGTTGGTTGCTGTCATGTTGATTAAATTCTCGAGGGAACTGGAATTGGCTAGCTTTATTTCTTTTTTTCTTCAACATTGCACAGATATGTTCAAAATCTTCTCAAACAATTGTTTTCATACAAATTGACTGAGAACTTCTTACATATCTTCTTGTATATAAATGTTGTACATAATTGTTAACATAAATCAATATCATAGCAATTAAATCATCTCTATTGTGTTTAATCTATGTTCATTTATATGTTTATTATTTCTTTTTTTTTGTTTCTTTCATTTCATATTTCTGTGAAATCTATCACACAAAACTCATTTCAATTGTACATAAAATTCATCAATGCACAAACAAAATCAAAAATCATGTTCATACATAGCAAAAACCACTGTCAAGCCACATCTTAAATCATTGGATAAAACTTTGGATAGTAAAGCGCACAGTAGAAATCATTTTGGAAAGGGATGTAAAGAAGGTGAATTCCAATGTGAATCGGATGGAGTTTGTATCGTTGGTTACAAAGTTTGCAATGACTACAACGACTGTACTGATCATTCAGATGAGAAATATTGCGAAGATTTTGAAAGTGGGGACTATCTTGGTAAAGCACATTTCATGTTTCATGATCTCATTCAAATCAATCGCAAACATTCAAAACTTTTACTTTTTTTTTATGATTTGGCAAAAATTCTTTCATTTCATTGCATAATGATTTGCTATAAATATTTGTAGAATTCAATAATATCAGCGAATACTAACTTTTGGCTTCTATTTTAATAAGTAAATTGGTTTGGCTCAATCAAAATTTAATTGAAAATAAAAATTCAAAAATTGTGTAGAAAATTTTGTTAAATGTTCATTGGAAGTTGTCAGAAAGTTAAAGTTTGAAATCATTTCTGACGACTTTTAATTTGCTTCCAAATTATAGTTTTGAATGCAAATATTTATATTTTACATTGAATCACATCCCATAGATCAAGAAAACCAATGTGAAGTCAATGAAATCTCATGTGACGGTAACAAATGTCTCCCAGCTGCATATAAATGCGATCAAACTGTTGATTGTGAAGATGGAACTGACGAAGCCGATTGTGATCCACAAGGTAGATTTTAGATTATCTCACTGTTGTATCTCACTTTAGTTCTGTTCATTGAAGGAATTTTTCATGTTCATTGTCTTTTCATAAATTTCTTTGTCAAGCACATAAGTGTTGTTAAATAATAGCTAGCACACACATACACACAACATCAAATTTTCTTATTTTTATTACGTAATTCTAACACCAAATCATTGTAGAAAATTGTCGCGAAAATGAATTCCAATGCGAAAATCAAGAATGCGTTGATATTCGCGATCGTTGTAACGGCTTTCAAGATTGTTCAGACAATTCGGACGAAACAAATTGTGTCAGTTGCGGTGCCAACACTTTCCAGTAAGTTAAATTATTCAAAAAAATGTCCACATTAAACGTAATTGGCATAATTGAAATTAATAATTATATAAACAACATAGTTGTCGAGTCAGTCAAGAATGTATTCAAGACTATAAACAATGTGACGGAAGTTATGATTGTGCTGACAATACCGACGAGGAAGGATGTTCACGTAAGTCTTACGTCAATAAAGGATTTCATAGAAATGTAGTGTGCTGCTAGTAACTAGAATTTTGATAGAGTTTTGTATATAGAAATGAACAATCTGTGCGAAGCTTCTTTCCTTCAATTCTTTTCTAACGAATTGTTTGCTAATTAAATAATTTTGAGTTCGTTGCTTTGTTGTTGAACTACATTTGAACAATTTTTTTTTTCATATTTTTGTTTTGCTTTTGACAAATTTTTGGCTTCATCCAAACCATATTATCACATGACACGCTTTCACAACACACACTTACCACACGTCTCCAATCCTTATCGAAAACCAATTGAAATTGATTCGAATGATAAGGAAGCGACACAACTGAAAGTCCTCAAGGATCACAGGAATGTTCAAGTCATGAGTGGCAGTGCCGTAATGGCGAGTGTATCAATTCTGAGTTTGTCTGTGATGTGACAGTCGATTGTGTCGACTCGTCAGATGAAGACGAAGCATTCTGTAATCAATATCGTGGAAAAACTGAGATCGATAATGAAATCGATGACAGAGATCCAGTCGATACATCAAGTAAGTAGTTGCATGCTTTTTCATATTTCAAATCTCGATGCAGGCAAGTAAAAGCTTTAGACAGTTTGTGAGTAACATTCACGAGTATATCAGTGTGAACGACTAAAAGGATTTTAACTTCAAATTCATCTATTTTATTTTAATTGAATTTATTTCCACAATTTCAGCCGATCATTGTCAAGATGATGAATTCTATTGTGGTGGAAGATGCATTGAGTCAGAGAAAGTTTGCGATGGTGTTCCTGATTGTGTTGATTATAGCGATGAATACAATTGTCCACCAACAGAACAATCATCAGTCAAACCAGTAATTTACTTGAACTTTCCCTTATGTTATTTAATATTAAATTTTCTTTCATCTTATTTAGGCATGTCCTGAAGATGAATGTAATGATGGCACATGTATCTACAAATCACAAATGTGTGACGGTCAAAGGGATTGTGCAGGAGGTGAAGACGAAAACGATTGTCGTAAGTATCAAATTTCATTCTTTTTCAATTATTTTCCTTAAACTTTTATGTCATGGATACTCAAAGAACTCACACCCTTACGCACCATTTCAACCTTTTGTTTAATATCACAACTTCTCACAAATATTTCCCTCTCTCACTAACAATTTATCCTTCTTTTGTTGATTTGATATTTAATTTTGCACCTGAAATTACTCGAATTACCAAAAAAAAACTATCTACAAATAAAAATATATTTCTTTTGAACTTAACTTGTATTTAATCGATTGCCCGATTTGGGGAGATTATACCTTCAGATGCTTGCAATGAAACCGAATTCACATGTTCTGATGGAAATTGTGTCGACATGAATTTGCGATGTGATAGTTACTACGACTGTAAAGACTTTTCCGATGAACAAAATTGCTTTGGTTAATAAAAAAATCTTTTTTCCTAATTCTTATAAATTACGATTTGTTGTAATTGTTGTTTAAATTTCTCTTAATGTTGTTCATGTTTCCAAAATATTTTTAAATGTTGCAAAATGGAAATTTTTTGAGAATTGTAGAAATTTTTTGATAATTGTTTTGATTTTGATCACAAGCGTGACTTGGAGAAGTCACAAAAAGATTTTTTAATTGAACTATGTTGATATGTCAAAGTTCAGCATGAAATGAAATTTGTATTTTTACTTAGATAGTCACAAATGCATGCATTTTAATCCTTTCTTCAATTTTTTGAATCTATTAATAATGACACAATTTTGACTAACTTCATGTTCACAATTCAGCTTGCCGTGATGATGAATTCCAATGCAGAGATGGAGTCTGCATTCCAGCGGACCAAAGATGTAATCGTCGCTATGATTGTAGCGACGGTTCTGACGAACAAGATTGTCCAAGTCCAAGGGAACAACAAAGATGTCGACCAGGAGAATTCCAATGTAACACCGGCGAATGTATCAGTGACAGCAGAAAATGTGATCGACATGTTGATTGCCGAGATGGAAGCGATGAGAATGATTGTCGTAAGTATTCGCACAATTGACTGTGTTTACTTTTTAAATGAAACGTAATTTGTTGCAAAATATTTATTCATTAATGGATGTGCCATTGTAGTTTAGTTTACATTATCATTCAAATTCATGTTTGTTTATTCAGCTCATATCCACTCGCACATTTTTAATCGCACTGAAGAATCAAGAGATCCATACTATCCACCAATCACACGACCACTCACCACAACAACTCCACAACCACGTTATGAATCGCGAAACTTTTGTTCGAGAGAAGAATGGCTTTGTGGATCTGGCGAATGTATTCCATTGAATGCTAAATGTGACGGTCGCTATGACTGTCGTGACTTCTCAGACGAAAAAAGCTGTCGTAAGTTTATAATTTTTTATCATTTGGAGTACATCTTAGTTTATCATTTTATGCTTTCTATAATGTTTAATGTTTAGTTTTCCATAAACATTTATATTAAATCTCACATGATTTTTCCATAATTTTGCACAACATATTCATATAGAAATCGAGAGTAGGGAATGTGATCGAAACATGTTTAGATGTGAGAATGGACCATGTATTCCCGAATCGTTGCGATGTAATGGTAATGTTGACTGTCCCTTCGACACATCTGATGAACTCGATTGCCGTAAGTGCCATCAATAATGGAATGAAATGACAACAAGTTTTCGCTTCACTCATCAACAAAACATTAATCGCAATTAACCAGCCAAGAATTGATCTTAATTTTTATTATAAGCAACTTAATAATTTAATGACAGCTTTTGATAGTTTTTATCGATTGAAACTTTTTATTAATTCAAAACTTTTTTCTTTTTATTTCATCGACAGCTCGCAGTCAACCACGACCTGATTCTGGAGTTGGATTGAACTTGAAGACATATCCAAATGAACAAATCATTAAAGAAAGTGAGTGAAATATATCTTTTATTAAACTTTTTTATTTCTTCAATTAAAATTTTTGAGAAACTACGAATAAAAAAATGAACTTTCAGTATTGCAATTACACTTTCATGTGTGTTTTGTCATCAACTTTAATTATCTAAACTTTGATGAATTGTCTTAAACTGCAAATTTCAAATTTCTTTCAATGCTCTTTCTTAAATGTTAATAACAATGTAAATAACAATGCTTTATTTATATCTCTCAAAATCTTTTTAAATGTTTATTAAATGCTTATATATTTTTTTTACATTAATTGCAAACCATATAACGCTTCGCTTATGTAGGAATAATAAAAGAGGGTGAGTTTTCCTGAATAGAGCATGCTAAACAAATAAACCAACAAAACTATTAACTACATCAATAATAAACTTGAGCTATTAACTTGATTGCATGTTAAGTTTCTTTATCCAAAATCATTATAAAAAGTCAATAGAAAGCTTTCTATTTTTGAAAGCAACAAGTGAAAGAGAAACGCCGAGAAAATTGTTTGCATGTTCAACGTCAATATTACTTTATTCGAAAAGGGAAGAAACATGTTGTCACACAAGGAGAACTTTATTGACTTTCCTATGAATGGTTTTTAACATTCTGTTTTTAATTCCAATCGAATAGGTCGCGAAGTCGTCTTCCAATGTCGTGATGAAGGTCCAATTCGTGCGAGAGTTCATTGGGTTCGTAGAAACAATCGTCAACTTCCACCTGGCACTCGGGATCTTAATGGACGTTTAGAAATTCCAAACATTCTTGTTGACCAAGGCGGTGAATATATTTGTGAAGCTGTCGGATATCCAAAGTCAACTCCTGGAAGTTCAGTGTCTGTGTTCTTGACAGTTGAGAAATGTAAGTTCAGAAACAATTTAATTTCTTCATTTTAAGCTTTAAAGTGAGATCATTTTTTAAATCACGGAATGCAGCGTGGAATCGTTTAAAATTTATACAAAAAAACCGCAAAATTCGATTCGGCTATGTGCCGCATATTGATAAAGAATTTTTCGGAACAGGTATAAAAGATTAATAAAAAAAAATTTATTGACTTGAAACTGATTCATTGATAAAATTTAATTTTTAATGCGAAACTCTTTGGATCTCGTGGTAAATTTTACATGTTATGGAGATGAACGTTGCGACTGCCATTTCATCCTTTTTAACTTTAAAATTTCACTTTCTTTCAACAGATAATCGAACTGACTATATCGTACCGTTAGCTTGCGGCCCAAATCAAGCAACATGCATGAACGGTGATTGTATTGCAAAATCAAAGATCTGCGATGGAGTTTTCGATTGTACTGATGGCTCAGATGAGAACAGTTGCAGTTCAGGACGTTGTGAACCAAACGAATTCAAATGTAACAACAGAAAATGCGTTTTGAAGACATGGCGATGTGATGGTGAAAATGATTGCGGTGATAATTCTGATGAAGATGGTTGTGGAGCGTCACAAATTGGAGTTGGGTCTTGTCGCTTCGATGAATTCCAATGTGCTAATCGTCAATGTATTCCAAAATCATTCCAATGCGACTCACAATCGGATTGTAGCGACAACACAGATGAAATCGGTTGCATTGCACCAGCAGTTATCACGCCACCACCACCAATGGTTCGTCTTCAAGCTGGGGTTGTTTTTAACATCACTTGTCGTGCTACTGGAAATCCAATTCCTTTAGTTGTCTGGCGTTTGAATTGGGGACATATTCCTGAGAAATGTCAAACAACAAGTGACAATGGCTTCGGTACACTCACATGTCCTGATATTCAACCAATTGATTCCGGCGCTTACTCTTGTGAAATCATCAACAGCATGGGAACGCACTTCGTTTCACCTGACACAATTTTAGTTGTAGCTGGGCGACAACAAGAAGACGTTTGCCCAGTTGGATTGTTCAACAAAAATGCAATTCGTCGTGAAGAATGTATCAACTGCTTCTGCTTCGGTGTCAGCACACAATGCAAGAGTGCTGATCTCTACTCGTATCTTTTGAATCCACCAGTAACATCACAAACTGTCGTTGGTGTTGATGGTCCATGGAATGGCTTATCAGACATTTCTGTCGGCGAATACGATAGTCACAGATTAACTTCAACACGTCATGGAGTTAATTTCCGTGCCGCTGACATTCCAGCAGCAGCTAATCGTGTTTATCCTTATCTTTCACTTCCATCTGAATACACTGGAAATCAATTGAAATCTTACGGCGGATTTTTACGTTATGAAGTTGAATTCAGTGGTCGTGGTGGATCAAATGACATTCCTGATGTTATCATTCAAGGCAATGGTTATACTCTCACTTATCGTGTGCCAAACCGCTTGTATCCCAACTCGAGAAACAACATCACTGTTGGTCTTACAGCTAACAATCTTTATAAGATTGATGGAAGTTACGCATCAAGAGAAGAAGTCATGATGGTGCTTGCTAACGTCGACACCATTCTTGTGAAACTTCAATACATCGATGATGGTGAAAGAGATGTTGAATTGTTACATGTAACAATGGATTCGGCAGCACTCAGAGACATGGGCTTAGGATCTGCTTCATTAGTTGAAGAATGTCGTTGTCCAGCTGGATATGTCGGATTGTCATGTGAAACTTGTGACGTTGGATATGTAAGACAACAAACGGGACCATGGTTGGGTCGTTGTGTTCGTGAAGAAGAACCATGCCGACCTGGAACGTACGGTGATCCAAGTCGAGGAATTTCATGCAAAGTGAGTTGAAAATAAATGAAAATAAAAATTGTTAATTTATTGATTATTTTAATTAGCCATGTCCATGCCCAGTTCCTGGTCAATCACGTGCTAGAACATGTTCAATGGACACATACGGAAATGTTATTTGTAATTGCGATCGTGGTTATAGCGGCCAACGTTGCGAAGAATGCGCACCTGGTTACATGGGCAATCCATTATCAAGCCAAGGATGCATTCCTCGACCAACTTCAGATTGTAATCCTTATGGAACTGAAAGAGTTCGTCCCGATGGACGTTGTGAATGCAAAATTTATGTTACTGGTGCTCGTTGTGATCAATGCTCAGCTGAAGCTTTCTACTTAGGTCCAAGTGGATGCATCAATTGCTTCTGTATGGGAGTTACAAGTCAATGTACCAGCTCAAACTTGTATCGTGACTCAGTTCGGTCATCATTCACATCACAACAATCCGACTTTGCTTTGGTTTCTGGTTACGATGAGCCAACAAGTATTGCTGATCGTCTTCGTGTTGAAAATCGTGAAGTTGCTTATCGTAACTTCGCTGTCACTGATGAAACTTATTACTGGAGTCTTCCTCCAAGGTGAATTTCTTTAAAATATCTTTTATCATTAATCATTATTCATTTCAATTTATTTATTAGCTTCCTTGGAAACAAATTGTCTGCTTATGGTGGAAATCTCACTTACACTGTTCGTTACACACCCCAGCCATCAGGTGGCGCTTCAAGAAGCAATTCACCAGACATTGTAATTGTCAGTGGAAATGAAATCACATTGCATCACTACCGACAAGATAGTTTGCCACCAACAGGATCTCAAACATTTGAAGTTCCAATGTATGAAGATTACTGGCAACATTACTCCGATGGAACGTCAGCAAATCGTGAACATTTATTGATGGCTTTGGCAAATGTCACTGCAATCTACATCAAAGCTACATACACAACAGTCGCTGAAGAAGCTGGTTTATCTCAAGTTGAATTGGATATCGCATCGGAACAGAATTATGGATCAAATCAACGTGCATGGGAAGTTGAACAATGTACATGTCCACTTGGTCACCAAGGATTGTCATGTGAAGATTGCTCCCCTGGATATTACAAAGGAGAACAAGGCTTGTATTTGGGACTTTGTGAACCATGTTTCTGTAATGGGCATTCTGATGAATGTGATTCAAAGACCGGAATCTGCAGAGGTTGTCGTGACAACACTTATGGTGATAACTGCGAATTGTGCTTGCCAGGATTCTTCGGAAACGCAACATCCGGTGGATGCATTCCATCAGATGGTTCTGTGCGATGTGACGATTGTGATGTTGAAGGAACATCGTCTTGTGACATTCGACGAGGAACATGTAATTGCAAACCAAATGTTGTCGGTTCCAGATGTGATCAATGTCGTGAAGGAACATTCGGGCTTTCAGAACTTAATGATTATGGATGTCGTGAATGTTTCTGCTCAGGAACAACTTCATACTGTTCAGCTGGCATTTACTTCCGAGATGAAATTCCACTCTTCATCATTGACGAACAAAATCGTTTCTCTTTGACTGATCGTGATGGAAACAACGCTTTGCCTGAAGATTTTGAGAGAAACATCGATGAGAATGAAATTGTTTATCGATTCAATGACGATTCAAGCTTGTATTATTGGAATCTTCCTCAAAAATTAACTGGCAACTTGGTTTTGTCTTATGGTGGACATCTTCAAATAACACAACACACTGAGGGCACTGGCAGATATACTGACGATCAAGACATCATCATCAAAGGAAATGGAATCACTTTGTTCTATGTCAGACCAAATTACGAACAAGTTACTTATCGTGTTCCATTTGTTGAAAGCAGCTGGCAAACACAGAACCAGAATGGACCGCATCCAGCATCTCGCGCTGACTTGCTTACAGCTTTATCAAATGTTGAAAGTATTTTGGTTCGTGCATCGTTGAGATCTTACACAGCTGAGTCTAGAATCAGTGACATCATCCTTGAAACTGCTGTAACACAACGAACGTCTTATGGACGAGTTAATGATGTTGAAGTGTGCAGATGTCCACCAGGATATCGTGGAACGAGTTGCGAACAATGTGACAATCTTTACTATCGTGATGTATACGATCGATCAGCAGGATTACTTGGAACATGCAAACAATGTCCATGTGAAAATGCAGAATCATGCGAAAGTGGACCAAACCGACGAGTGCAATGTCGTTGTCTTCCTGGATGGACTGGAGAATACTGCCGGGATCGAGCTGGTAAGTCAAACAATTTAAAAGTCATTCATCATTCCAAGCATGACATTTTAAGTTTTCCTTTTTTTATTTCACTAAAAAGCAAAATTTTCATTAATTCATTTGAGAAAACTTTTTTTTCTTCATTTCTTTCATAAATTTCACAATTTTTATAAATCTCTATTCATTGCATCTATTAAATCGAAGCTTGAAAACAAAATAATAATAATTTCGATACCTTACGAGAGAAAATAAAATTTTGAAGTCATAAAAACTTAAGCATCGAAAGATTTCACTTTTAGTTTTAGATGATTCTTTAAATCACACGAGTGAAGCATTAAAAATCAGAAAGTTAATAAAACTGAAAATTTTATAAATAAAACCAAAATTTAAAAACAACATTTCCCATATGTGCCAAGGAGAGGTGAAAGCATATTCCAAAACAGATGCCACATGGATAAAAACAATAAACTGCACTTCGTATGAAATCACATTTGATAAGCCCAAGTTGGATGCGGGTGAAGGCGAATATCGAATCATCAATAAGAATGGAAAACGTGTGGGAACTTTACGATATTTGAAAGGTTTTTTTTCTTTAAATTTAATTTTATTATAAACTTCAAAGAAGTTTCATAAGATATTTGAGTAATGGGATTTATTTAGATGAAAACTCGAGTGGAATTACCTTTCTTAGTCCTTTCCTGTAAAATATATTCTTCCATCTTTGTAATCCTATGTACAACTCGAGTGAGACGTAGTGTTAGAAGTTTCAATCTGTCCAGAACTTTCAAAACACATTCGGACATGGCTTTGTGTTATAAAAACGATGGAAATTGCTTTTGATTAAGTATCAACAAATGATAATATTATCAAATTATTGATGATATTAAATTGCAATTAAGATATTTATTGAATTGTAATCAATTGCAATTTATCAGTTTCTAATGGAAAATTTAATTACATTTTAAAAATGGAACATCAAGTCATGACTTTGCGATGTTATTCAATTTCATGTTAATTTAGTGATTTAATTTTGTTCAATATTGAGGCAATTTGTGATAATTTCAATCGATCAGCTACTGTAAAATCTTTGAAGAAGAATAAAACCTTAAGCCATGTTAAAAGAAACTTACGTTTTGGTAGCGTTCGTAGTTAATAAGAATAGCACAAACTTATGTAAAAAAATGTAAATACACACAAAGTATTGATAGATTTGTAAGATTTTATTTAAGAAAAAATATTGTCAAACTCGTGTCTTCTTAACTATCAACTTTTTATGTTTATTAATAATCATTAACATATCATTTTAAATATTTTAATGTTATCTACTTAAAATTCTAACAAATCAATTTTAATGTTTTTATATGGTAAAATTAGTTATTAACAATGAATATTATAATAAATTATTCATTCATTAATCATTCAATTCTAATCATTACATAAAATGAAGCAAACTTTGTTAATATTTTCAATGTTTTTAATTCAGGTGCACCACCCACACAACCGCCACCATCGGTACGACCACCAACAATCAAAGTTGTCATTAACACGCCTCAAATTAAGATCGTTGAGATTGGCGAAACAACTGAATTCAACTGTAATGGCTACTACATTGTTAATAATGTAAATTAAATATTTTATTTCTTGATTATTGAAATATTTCATGACAACATGAAATTTTATTCAGGCACCAGTTACAATTCGTTGGTACAAATACGAAGGAGCTTTCTCTGAACGTGCATTTGTTGATGATGGAACTCTCTACATCCAAGACGCTCAAGTTGATGACAGCGGTGTTTACATTTGTCAAGCTCAAATTGGATCTGAAATTGTTCGTGATAATGTCACTCTCACTGTTGGAGGTAAGAAGAAAGTTTAAACTTAATAAGTTGATGAAGTTTTTATCACGATTTTTATTGAAAAGCTTTCTCTGAGGAATATATTAGTAAAATGAGTATGGAAGATTAATTTCAATGAATTTTATTAACTTTTTTTAAATTAAATATTCTAAATTTTGTTTATGTTTTATCGGTTCAGATTCTGAAGGTTCTTCGCGTGCTCCTGAAGTTGTCGTTTCACCAGCAATCATCTCGCAAGAAGAAAACTCCGTTGCTGAACTTCGTTGCTCGGCAACTGGATATCCTGAGCCAAGAATTCAATGGTACAGACTTGATGGTCAACCATTGTCTTCGGATGTTGTCATTCGTGGTGGATATTTGAGATTCAATTCCTTGCGTAGATCTGACGAAGGAACTTATCGTTGTTACGCTCAAAATAATGTTGGCGATTCTGATCAAACTGTTCAAGTTTACATTCGTCGAAGCCAACCGGAAGCTGAAGAAATTTTCGTTTCCCCAGATCGTTATACTGGTGAACCGGGAGTAGATGTTGTTCTTCGTTGCAGTTCATCACCACCTGGTCGTGTAACTTGGACCAAGACAGGAGCTGTTGAGTTGCCACGTAACATTTTTGTATCAGGAGAAGAACTTACAATCAGATACTCAACTGTTGATGATTCCGGACGATATGTTTGTAACATTCAATTCGCAAGTGGCAATCAAAGATCTTCATTTGCCGAAGTTTCAATCGTCGCAAGATCAAATGAACAAACTCCAAGAATCACTCCACTTGAGCGAACTTACACCGTCGTTCAAGGAAGTGATTTTGAATTATCTTGTGAATCAAGCGGAAGTCCCTATCCAACAATTGCTTGGTCAATGGTAAGGAAAACTAATTTTATTTAATTAAAATGCATTAAATGAACAATCTTTGGAACAGAATGGCGGACAGTTCGAATCAAACGCAAAACAAACTGGAAACGTTTTGAGAATCTTAAACGCTCGACCAGAAAATAGCGGCGTTTACATCTGTTTGGCATCAAACAATGCTGGAAGTGATCAAGTTGCAACAATTGTTGAGATTGAACGTAAGTTTCATTTAATTATATTCACAATTTGTTCTTAAATTACTTTGCGAATTTTTAAATTATAAATTACAAGCAACCGATAAGTCAAAGGGTAAAAAAAAAATATTGAAAGATTTCAAAGTTTGAAATGACATGAAAATTAATTTATTTAATTTTATTAACTTAGGACGTGAACCTCCAGTCATTGAACTCTTCCCTAAGGAACCACAGAATCTTAAAATTGGAGAATCAGCAAGATTAAGTTGCCGCGTAACTTCGGGCACGCCATATCCAACAATCACATGGTCACGTCGTGATGGACGTCTTCTCTCGACAAGATTCTCTGAAGATTATCCAGGTGTCATAACACTTCGTGAAGCAACTGTTGAAGATTCCGGTACATACGAATGTAAAGCCATTAACGCAGCTGGAGCAACAACACTTACAGCAACAATTCAAGTTCATCAAGTGCCTGTGATTATTCTCACACCCGACAGGCAATCAATTGATCTTACTGAAGGTGATGAATTGAGATTCAGTTGTTCTGCAGTTGGAATTCCCGATCCAACAGTTCAAATTAAAGTACCTGACAATTCAAATGTTCGTGTGAATACTCCATACTTTGCCGCTGGCAGTGGTGGACGTCCAGAAGCTTCAATCAGTCATCCAAACATTCAACGATCTCAAAGTGGATTGTATGAATGTATTGCTATCAATGATGCCGGTCAAGACACGAGATACATTCAAGTCAATGTACAAGAGAAACGCGGTGATGTCGGTAAGTTTAATTGAACAATTTCATGCTTGAGATTATTGTTAACTTGATTGAATTGAAAGGTGTTGAAGGAGATGATGGAGAAGACAATGAAGTTGACTACAGACCTCGAAGACCAGAAGACAGAAGACCAGATGACAGAAGACCAGATGACAGAAGACCCGAACAACGACCAGATGACAGAAGACCTGAACGACCAGATGACAGAAGACCCGAACGACCTAACTATCCACCATACTATCCACCAGCCGTTGAACCTGAAGGCACAGTCATTGATTATCCACGAGGAAGTGAACAATCTTCTTTCACAGTTCATCTCGGTGAACGTGCTGAGTTCAATTGTAAGGGAGAAGACAATTCAATGGCAACTGAATGGCGTCGTGCTGATGGACGACAACTTCCTTATGGTTCGAGAAACTATGGTGGTCAATTGGTGATCGAAAATGTCAGAAATGATGCTGCTGGTATTTACGAATGCTACGCTTACGATCAAGTTAGAAGACGACCAGTCACATTACTCGTTGCCAAACTTATTGTCGTTGCTGGTCCACCAAAAATAACCTTCAGCCCTCCAATGCCAATCGTTGTTAAAGCTGGAGAAGATGTTTTGATTTATTGTAACGCGACAGGTGAAGGTGCATTGAATGTTCATTGGCATGCAGAAGGTGGTCATGAATTACCAATGTGAGAATCTAATCAATAATTGAATAAATTGAATTAACGTTTGAATATTCGACTAGCTCGGTTGATGTCAGTGGCAACTATTTGAGATTCAATCGAATTGCACCAGCTGATGAAGGACGATATGTCTGTACAGCTTCCAGCATCTATGGAAATACGACTAAAGTTGCAGAAGTCATCGTCAATAGTAAGTTTTGATGCTTTAAAAGATGAAGAAAATTAAATTATTTAACTTATTTTAAAGTCAACTCACCACCACCAGAAGAATTGCCAAGTTACGGACGAACAAAAGAAGCTTATGAAGGCGACACAGTTTCGCTGACTTGTTCAGATGATAATCCACGAGGCAGATTTTCGAGAGTAATATCGAGTCGCATTTTATATACAAAATTTACTATTTCGTTCTTTTATGTTATTCTCATTGATTTAGTTTGAATGGGAACGTGAATACGAGAAACTTCCACCACTTGCTGAGAATCGTGACAATATTTTGATTCTCTACAACACTCGTTATGAAGATGGTGGTCGTTACATTTGCAAGACGTACTCTGAAGACGGCAGAATGACACAAAACTATGTGGATTTAATTATAAAGCGTGAGTATCGTCGCCGTCGTCAAAGCCGAAGAAATCAAACCTCAAGGCGACGAAGAATGCATAACTTTAGCCAGTAATTAAAAAAAGAAAAAAAGTAACTTTTATGATTTGATTTTTAAAAAATTATTCAACTTAATTTGCCATCGATGAAGAGAAAATGAAGAAGAAATACTCTAATTATATTGATTAACACCACTAAACTGCCAAGTAACTGAGTTAGGATTAGCGCGTTTTTCAACTTGACAAAATTTAAAAACTTTTCTCTAACATTTTTCACTGCCTTTAAAAAATGATAAAAAATGATTAAAAAAAATTAAAATCTTTTCACTTACCCGAGATAAAAACAGAAGAAAGAAAGTTTTGTATATACATAAATGATAAATGCATCCATTTAATGATGTGTCGAATCCATTAATTAAATAACCATCCAAAAGCCTTTTACTATAATTTTCACAGAGGGATGAATAATATTAACCAAATTATTTTTTTATTATTTTTTTAATATCCCGAGAAATTCTCCTTTTGAGTTCTCTCCCATGAGCACCATGTTGTCTGTGATTTCATTGTGTAAAAATGTCAAATTCCAGCAACATAAAAGCTTTTTTTGATTGAAGAAAAAGAAATTAAAACTTTACTCAAAAAATTTAAGCTCACAAATCGTCACTTTCAATTTTTTTAAATTGGCTTCACTTCCTAGAAACCTCAAACTACCAATTATCTAATACAGAATTTTATTTGCCTTCTTTGCCTTTTTATCATATTTTTATTTTTTAATTAGTTTTAATTTGCATGCAAAAGTTTTTTTGTAAAAAAAAGTATAAAACACTTTTCAGTTCGATTAATAAATATTCCAATATTTTTTAATAACACAAAAGACAAACATTTATGGACAATTAATAATTCACCCCCGCACATTTTCTTTCCGTTACTTTGGTTTTTCTTCCTTGTCGATTCATAACGTGCAGTTCACTGTACAGTTCATGGTTTGACGATTTTGTTTTCTCTCCTTACATTTTTTTTTGGATTTTGAGTTTATTTCATTTATTTTTAATCCTTAAGTCGGTGTTGTGAACAAACTTCATTACTTAATTCAATCAGTAGCTACTTTTTTTAAGTTTTATGCATGAATGAGTGAGAAAGTAACGATTGTAAAAACAAAAAGAGAAAAAAAAAAATTAAATCACAACTAGTCATTGTGTCAGGTGCCAGGAACAACTCCAACTTCTTTTTTTTTGGTATCAATTCTTTACATAAATGGCAAAAAGATTCTTTAATAAATAGTGTGTCAGCCACCTGACACAAATCTGTTGCACCAATCACGATAAATGCACACAAACACACACACATAATATAAATAAATTACACCATGAGTATGTATCGATGTTTAATCACTTCGCTGATTACACGAGTTTATGTTCCTGTCATTCACAATTAAAACCTTTAATTATCTTCTTATAAAAGTTTCCTTTCTAATAATTATGTTGAAGCATTTTCTCTTTGATTTCTTTTTTCTTATTTTTATTATTTTCTTTTGCATTTAAATTATTGATAATGATTATTACACATAACTTGATCTATCCTGATTGCAAGTGCAAAACAAAAAAATATTTATAAATCATAAAACAAATCTAAAGGTTACCGTGACATATTGTATTATGTGTGTACGCCGGTGTACGTTCATTGTCGAAACACTCGACACTGTGTGCGCTCGACGAAAATATGCAACGGACTTAAAAATTGCATGAACAAATGGAACTCGAGTAATGACTGTATTCATTTAAAACGGAAACTGCATACATTGAGCAATGATGTCAACGTCGTCCAGAATTCGCCAGCAAGATTTATTGGTTTGTTTTTTACAGCTTTTCATTTTAATAATATATTTTAAACAACATTTAGTTTATCAGAATATCTAACTAGTGTAGAAAGAAAATATCAATCGTGAACAAAACAAAACAAAAAAAATATTTAATCTTCATTTTTCACATAATTTCTTATCAGACAAAATTCGTTTTGTGTTTTTAGTGTAAAAAGTTATCGGATTACAATCGGAATAAAATGAAGCAAATGTCTAGCAAATATTTTCAAAATACTCAACAGAATTGGTATTTATTATAAAAAGCAATAAATTATTAGAAAAAGAAAAGCGGAAAAGCTTTTTTGGTTGATTGGAAGCAAAATTGGATTTTTTTATATTCTTTAGATATGTTACTTAGCTTACAAAACTATTTGCAAGACTAGTCACTGTGTAGTTTGTTGATGTAACTCATGGTAAATGTGTCGCTACTTTGCTTCAATGTGTCTCAATGTTGTCGTCGTAAGCAAAGCAAACTTTTTTGTGCTTCTTTTTTATATTTACTAGTTCAATATAATAAATTTTTCGCAATAGTTCATGAAAAACTCAAAATTCAAAAAAGAAGAAAATTATAGAAGAGCAAAAATTTATTTATTGAACTTTTTATCTTTCTGTCTCTTCATTATTCCCCGCAAACAACTTTTATTTGCTTTTTGTGTGTAAATGTTTGTTCTTTTTGTTGTTAATCCTTTTCTCATGCTCCTATTTATATTCTATTTCTATCTTTCTCTCTCTTCTTCCCGGTTATGGTTTCTATGGCTTATGCAATTATGCAACAAACTTTTCTTCCCATACATAAAATATAATTTAATGCATTTTTGATGAAAGAAAAGAAATGTCTCGTGAGCATTTATCTAAAGTCATGCTTCCAACTAAAACACTTTTTTTTGTGCAAAACGCTCAACCACAAAGAAATATAATTAAATAATCATGATCTCATAAATTAATATGAACAAAAAAAATTCATTGAACACATTCATATACAAAGCTATGTAAATAAATAAATTAAGCGGTGATGGAACAAGAAAAAACACAATCAAATTGTATCAAAAGCAATTTAATACTTATAGGATAATTAATAAGAAAGAAAACAAAATAATGTGTGTTAATATTGAACTTGTTGATGTTATCTATGCTGCTGATATCACCAACAATTAAATAGTTCAATTTATGTGTTGATTAACTTTAAGAGATTACAAAGTCACTACTTTTAACTAATTAATTAAATTTACTTTCCACGTCATAATCGCGTTTGTAAACCTTTAGCGCCAATCCCATTCTTGAAATTGAACCCATCAAGATCATTCGCAAAGCCTGGTGACACTGTAGAAGTTGAATGTACATCATCAGTTGGACCACATGTTAAAGTGACTTGGGAAAAGCCTGGAAATCAACCATTGCCATACAACTTTGAGGTAAATTTTATCAATTAAAATATCTGATCGAAGAATAGTCTTTAGTTGAATAATCCCATGATTAGCAATATGGAAACAATTTGATTGTCAACAATGTTCAAAAAGAAGACAGTGGAAAATACAGTTGCGTATGTTACACCGATGATGGTCAAGTGTACATGAGCGAGTATGAATTGAATGTCGAAGATAAACCAGCCGATATTCAAGCACCGAAAGTTGAACATGCTGAAGTTGGAGCGACTGTTGTTTTAAGATGCAACTCAAGGAAACCTTCAACAACTTATGCATGGTCAAGACTTCATGGAACGTTCCCACCGGACATGGACACTTCTTCAGAAATCTTGAAACTTATTAACGTTCAAGCTAGCGATGCTGGAACATACATTTGCACAGCAACAAACAACGGACAATCTGTTGAAATTCCAACAACTTTAGTTGTGACTGGTGCAATTCCATTCTTCCCTCAATCACCAAGAAGTTACATGAAGTTCCCGAAATTCGATCAAGCTTATTCGAAATTCAATTTTGAGATAACATTCCGACCTGAACGACCAAATGGTTTGATTCTTTACAATGGTCAACGTCGTGGTGGCGGTGATTACATTTCACTCTCACTTGAAGATGGAGTTCCACAATTCAGATATTCATTTGGTGATCAACAAGGCATCTTAGCACCAGAAAAGGCATTGACACTTGGTGAATGGCATACAGTCAAAGTGAATCGTGTCCGAACAAATGGATGGATGATTGTTGATGATCAACATCCAGTCACATTCCCACCAAATCAGAAGTTCCAAGGACTCAATCTCGAAGAAGAATTGTTCATTGGTGGCGTTCCAAAATACGATCACATCGCACCAACAGCAAGTGATGTTAAAGAAGGATTTGTCGGATGTGTCAGTCGATTAATGTTGAACGAGCGTGAAATTAAACTTAATCAAGAAGCAATTTTAATTGAAGGAACAACATCATGCGAACCTTGTGCAGATGAACCTTGCATGAATGAAGGTGTTTGCTTGGAAACTCAAACTGAACATGGTTACACTTGTGTCTGTCAAGAAGGATACACCGGAAAGAATTGTCAAGTCGAAGGTTTCCAATGTTCATTAGGAGTTTGCGGTATTGGACGTTGTGGAGAAACTGAAACAGGAATTGAATGTTATTGCCCACTTAACCGAACTGGAGATCGTTGTCAATACATCGAACACTACGATGATGGAATTCTCTCGTTTAAAGATGGAAGTTATGCAGCATACAACAAACTAACTGGAAAGAAGAACATCAAATTCAAGATTCGACCTGAGACAGATGAAGATGGCGTCATTCTTTATGCTGCCGAGTCAGATCGCGCTTTTGGTGACTTTATTGCTGTTGTTGTTAAAGACAAGCATATTGAGTTCCGTTATGTGGTCGGTGGAAAAGTCATACCCGTCATTATTCGCTCTAAAGACCCAGTGAAAGTTGATGAATGGATGGACATTTCAGTGGGACGATCACGTGCTGGTTTGGGATACTTACAAGTCGATAATGAACCACAAGTTAACGAAGTTAAAGCTGGTGGACGTGCACAAACTTTGTATCTGAAGTCAAACTTGTATATTGGTGGATTTGACAGAAGAAATGTTTTGAATCAAGGTGTTGGTGTCACCAAAGGATTCCAAGGATGCGTTGCTGGGGTGAGAATCTTTATGGAACTTTTTGTGATTTATTTCATTTCTTTTCCCAATATTTTCTAGTTGGAAATTGCTGGAAAAGGCGTTGATATGATTGCTGACATGATTGAATCTGCTAATGTTCAAAATTGTGGACATCAAATCGTTGGTGGCGAAGATGAATCGGTGAGTTTTTTAATTTCAATCTTTTGTTGATATTTTATGAAAGTTTCAATTGCAAAAAAAAAGTCTGGAGAAGCTGAAACTTCAACAAATGTCCCAGCACCAATTTGTCGACCTGGTTACACAGGACGTTCTTGTGACATCATAAGTGACATTTGTCTCGCGAATGAACCTTGCGAACATGGAGGAATTTGTACAACAATGCCAGACAATAATTATCACTGTGATTGTACTTTAGGATACACGGGAGAAAATTGCCAACACATGGTCGCACTTAAAACTAAAGCTCGTTTCAAGGGCGATGGATATCTTGAATTAAATCGCAGCACAATCGCCACCAGTTCATCACAATTATCAAGTGGATTGGCTGTTCTCTTCTCAACAAAGGAGCCTAATGGTTTGATCCTTTGGTATGGTCAAGAGAGAGGAAAAGGATTCAATGGAGAAGATTTCCTGTCATTAGCTGTTAATGATGGAATTTTAGAGTTTACCTTCCGAATTGACGATGAAGAATCAGTCATCAAACATCATTCAGTACCAGTCATACCAAATCGACGTCACATTGCAATTCTCAAGCGTACAGCAAATCAAGCCAGTCTTGAACTCGATGGCTTCACAGAATATGGAGAGACGCCGAGACCGACTGAGAAGAATGAAATATTCTTAGCTGGCCACGTCTTCTTGGGTAAGTTAAAGACATTAACAAAGAAATTTTCACTTAATTTAACTTCCTTTTAAGGTGGAGCACCTGATCTTAAGAGATTCACTGGTGAACGTTACAGTAATGGATTCATTGGATGCATTCACACTGTAGAGCCGATTTTAGGTGGAGCTATACAATTAGGAGAGAATACAATTAGCTCCTTGAACGTCGATGATTGTTCACCGTAAGTTTCTTTACCTGTTTCACCTTTTTTCTTACGATTTATCCAAAGATTAATTAACAAAATTGTAGGAAATGTTTTAATAATGAAATTTCTTCCATTCATGCTGCATTTAACTTTTTCTTGGATTTTTCTTTTACTTTTTCTTTTTTTCTCTTATTGAAATAAAGTCACACGTCGTGGGTTCCATCGTCGCTTTTAAATGATGATGACTTCGACGATTTCGACTTACGCTTCGATCCAACGCGTTTTGATGAGATCGAAGAGCCACCTCCAGTCCACATTCTTTATCCACGTCCGTCATATAATAAAGCATGTAGCAAACTCAGTAGAAATTATAATCAAGTGATAAATTCAACGTTGATAGCATCGAGTCTTTTTATTTATTTCTCAATTAGTCACATGTTTTTATGAAACATGATGTGATATTATGAAGCGATCGCGATTAAATGTGGCGGTGGGTTGTCTTAGTTTTCATAAATATTGTTTTTGTGTAATGCACAATTAGGATGAAGATGTGGCAACGAATTAAAAAAATATCCTTCCAAGAACAAAATTAACTAGCTCAATTTGTTCAACAAATAAATATTTAATTTCTTTTGTTATCCACGTGGATTTTTCTTTTGTCAAAGCAATATTTAAGAATGAAGAGTTTATCAAACTTGTAGATCGTTGACACGATGTTCTATGTGAACTCTCACCTGCAAATGTAAATATGATAATACAAATGTATGTCGATTAGAAGAGATCGATGTACGTAAAGTTTTACACTTCAAATATGTAAATATTTATATCAATTAGCTAATCAATTAACATTGTGTTGTAAACTCATAACTTATAATTTGTAAAAATTGTTACTGATCATTTGATTTTCCTTCAATTCCAGCGACAACGAGGAAGAAGATGATGATGACGATTTCTTTGGCACAGAGCCTCCAGTCGTTTAAGTTTAAAAAATAAAATTAAAAACAAAAGTTTCCGATAAACTTTCAAACTAAAGTGAAAGAGATAAAAAATGTATTCAAAATACTAATTACCGTCATTGAAATTGTTTGAAGGAAGAATTTTTTTGTCAATTTGTGCCAAATTCTCATTGAAGTAGTTCATAAGATTTTTAAAAATATTTTTGAAGAGAATGAATCTTAATTTCACTGCCTTTAGTTCCCTTTTTTGCATTTCTATGCTTGTCTCCTTTTTCGGGTCAAGCCCTTGTTATTGAATTTTTAATTAAAATATTCATTTCTATGACATTCAAGCCTCGAATAAATATTTTCAATTCTTCTTAAGAAAGTGCCATTAATTTAAAACTTTTATTCGTCGTTTCGTTGACAAGTTTAAATTTTTGTTGAGGTGCTATGACATCGTTCAAAATTCTTAATCTCGCAATATTTGTCTATTATCAAAGTCATATCAAAAGTCATGGACTGGCAGCAACTTTAACAATTTCTAAACTTGCTCTAATTTCCTTCTCCAACTTTAAATAAATTTTGAGTTAATTAGAAACCAGTCTTTGACGATTGCTACCAAAAACAAATAAAATTTCAATTTTCCCCTAAATCATTCTTTATTTGATGTTGCATTTTATGTACAGAATCTTTAAAGGAAATTTCATTTTAATGGAAATTCCATCTTCGTTTTGGATATTTTTTATTAAACATGATCAAACAGAAGAGTTTAAAATAAAGAAATACGATTTGTATCACTTGAAAGAAAAGAATAAAAAGAAATTGACAATAAACGAAGTTATTATCAACAGAAATATTGTTTTTAAAAAGCTTTTTAGTCAAGCGAGCTGAATGATTGTTACAATATAAGTTCACCCCGTCGATTGATCATCCGAATGTTGTAATTCACTTGAAAAGTTTGTCAAAGGAAGT